CTGTCCTGTCACTTCCTTTCTAGTTCTATCCAGTTCTTGTTCATTCTTCTTATGCCTGTCTCCATTTCTCGGCGTAATGTGTTCTTTGATCTTTCTCTCCTCCTTTGGCCTTGAGGATCCCATGTGAGTGCTTGTCTTATGACGCAATTGGCTGATTTCCTCAATGTGTGCCCAATCCATTTCCATCGCTTCTTCCTGATTTCTTCCTCCGCTGGAATCTGGTTTGTTGTCTCCCACAGTAACTTGTTGCTGATAGTGTCTGGCCATCGGATCCGAAGTATCTTGCGGGGACAACTGTTAATAAACACCTGTATCTTCTGGATGATGACTTTCGTAGTTCTCCACGTCTTCATCCCATACAGTAGAACTGTCTTGATATTTGTATTGAAAATTCTAATCTTGGTGTTGATTGACAATTGTTTTGAGTTCCAGATGTTCTTGAGTTGTAAATATGCTGCCTTGCTTTGCCAATCCTCACCCTCATATTTATAAAAAGCTTAAAATTATCATAGGAAAAGAATTGAATAATTTACCCTGATTTTGCTCAACAACCAAATAATCTATTCAATAACAGTATAAAGCAACATCTTATTAAGAGAAATTCCAGTCTTATTGATTAACAGGTTCATTTTTTTAATAATGAGCATTTAAATTAGGTTGCATTGAGTAGGTAGGAGATTTATCAGAAAGAAAATAAAATGTTCCGTAACTATGGGTTATAAAAACCAATAAAGTGGTAGTAAATTTTCACCAATCCTTCGATTGAAGACAAACTAATCAAGCCTAGAAATTAATTTTTAAAAAAACGTATGTTATTAATTAATGGATGCCGGCTCAATGGTCTATCGGTTAAGTGCTCTGGCGCGAGACTGCTAGGTCCTGGGTTCGAATCTTGTGAGGCGTTATCGTGGATGTACACTGTTGAGGAGTCCAATAATAAGACGAAACGGCCGTCCAGTGCTTCGAGGTTTTCCATGGTGGTCTAGTTTCAGTTGACTCATGATTTCAACTATGTAAATACTGAAATCTCTACAAAACCTCTTCTGCTCACATAATCTTTGGGAAGATCATGTTATCCCAAGTATTAGAACATGAAATTCCACTGAGTAATCTCTTCTAATCTTATAAATTCTGATTATTAGTTCTGAGCAAAATAGGGAAGAGAATTTGAATTTGATCACAAAATGGATAATTTTGAATTTGTTTCTTTGTACTCAACAACTGAGGTCCAAGTCATCATGAACATTGACTTTTCGCAATAAAATCCTTGACCAATGTATAATAGTAACATTTAATTGGGTCTAACTGACCTTCAAGTATTCTCTGATTGATGGGTCTTTATTAGTATAATGGATTATAGATTAACTGTGATTATTGGTTAATATGTATTTTGTTTGCTACTGCCTGCTCAAAAAATCGGATAAATAAATGACGTTTTACCTAAGAAATGCACTATGTTCTCCTAAACGATTCATGACTATAGACTACTCACATCAGTGAGACGTCCTAGTATTCCCCAGATTTCAAGGATCATTAAAGTGATATACCATATTTACTAAAGCTTTATTGTATCCTTCTGTAATGAACAAAGACTCAATTGGAGACAACCAGTTTATTGTTTAACACAATATTACAAAATCTGTTAATGAAATCTGAGAACCATACATTAAATATTTCATTTACGAATCTTCTATCAATTGTCCTTCACATTCTGTATGATTCTTTGAAGTCACAATTCCTTTCTATTCCTGTATCCGTTTTCTTTAAATCGATCTTCATAGCCTTTTGCTGACATGCCTTCGTCTTTTGATCAATGTTACATACTACTTATATCTGTCAATATGAGTAACATATATCACAGTTCAAGTTCAACTTGCGTTCTATCGGAAAAACGTAATCTATGTATAGAGAAATACTAATCAGAAGCATCTTATAAACATATTCATACAGATACATTTTGTTTACAAAAAAAAGACTAGAGTTAATATTGAACAACTAAAAAAAATCTAAAACTAATCGGTCGTTCAGTGATTCAATAATCATCAAGAAATTAAAATAATATCAATAGCTGAGATCATGAGTCAATTGAAGTTAGAGCACCACGGAAAACCTAGAAGCACTAGATGGTAGTTTCGTCCTATTGTGGGACTCCTCAACACTACACATCCATAATCCCACCTCTTGAGGTTTGAACCCAGCACCTATCAGTCTCGCACGCGAGCACTTAACCTCCAGACCATTGAACCAACCGGCATCCAACGGTGTTGATGTCTAACTTCAACTAATACACAAAATTGAGTAACACATCTATCATTGTCTTCAGTGAGTTACTATCTCACAACAGACGAAACTGTCATCCAGTGCTTCCAGGTTTTCCATAATGGTCTAGCTTCAACTGAATCAACTTTAACTATTCATACTGACTACTTAATTAATATATTTATCAGATGAATAAAATAACTGGATAGTACTCACTAAATTTGTATATTATTTATAAACACTTTCATTAAAATACGTTTATTACAGTTTGTTAAAACATAACGAACCATCCTCCCCCCCCTTCAAAAAAACAAAAAAACAAAAAAAAGATTTATGATAGATAAGTGTTTAAGGTGAACTTAATATGAAACTACGAATAAAGTAACAACAATAACATATCACTACATAGATGCCAAATAAGTTCGAGGTTAAATTTCTAATCTGTAACCTTATAAGGTTTGATTTGTTTGTTGTTTTTTTTGTTTTTCTTTTGAAGTCACATTATCATTTAAGTTTATACATATAAACAGAGATACAATTGCACCTTTACTATAGTAACAGAAAATTAAATGATAATAATTAATAAAAAAGTGATCGATATAAAAAAAAATATGGATAATTTTATCACCGTTTTTTGTTGTTGTTGTGTGTATCCATGTTTCAATGATTAGTAAATAAGAAAGAATAAGGAATTATAATTTTTCAGAAAGGGTTTTGTGAAGATTTTAGTCATTTTATCGAATTAAGATCATGAGTTAATTGAAGCTAGATCACCATGAAAAACCTGGAAGCTATGGACGGCCAATTTGTCTTATTGTGAGACTCTCCAGCAGTGCGTATCCACGATCCTGCATCAAGAGATTCAAACCCAGAACTTGATCTATCGGTTAGGTGCTCTGGTGTGAAACTGGTAGGTCATGGATTCTAATCTCACGAGGCGGGATCGTGGATGACTTTTTGTCATTTTTTTCTTAATAACTACTCATTTCATAAGAAAATTGTGATCTCCAGTGTATAAATTTTTTGATTTTATGTCCTTATTATTTCACGTTTGCACGTCACATGTGTGTTTGTGTGTGTATATGTACACTTATAACTTTCCCATTGTGAAAATTAGGACAAAACATGTAAACGAACAGTTGTTGATAATGATCTAATTGAAAAAAAATTGTTCGCTTACATGTGTTGTTCTAACTTATAACTTTTTTTCTGAATGCCTATCTCTTCATATTACGCATTATCTACGTTGTGTTATATTTACTCTTGAAATGAGATATATTGTAGGTAGGCACGTTCACCCTATCTGATCCTTTTATCATTTCTTATTGTCTGTTAGCATTAAAAAATGTGTGAAATATATGTACTTAGAAATCAATCTCCTATTTCACTAGTATTATTCCGTCATTCACAAATGTGAATAAAGTCGATGAATATATACGAGGTTAAGTGGGATATTAATTTTTTTTAAACATTGATCATCCGATAAAGATGAAGTGAGAAAACGGCCCTATGCATTCATAACCCCACTAATCATCACATTCAGGACCTCGTGGTTTCTTGGTGAGATTTTGACTTTTAGACTATTAAGGTAACATTTAACGGAATACAATTTTAGCTTCAATCATTTTGTGGTATTGAACAATCGGTTTTCAATATAAATTAAAAGAGCTTTGTAATACTCTCTACTTTTCAATGATTATTTAATTAAACTTAGTCCAGTACATAAACTATAGAGTTCCAATAATCTCTAAACAATAGTTGCAAACTATTAATTGTTTATTTTAATTTATAATATAGTTAAGACAATATTCTATTCCATTGGATGCCGGCTTAGTGGTCTGTCGGTTAAGTGCTCAGGCGCGAGACAGTTAGGTCCTGGGTTCGGATCTCGCAAGGCGGGATTGTGGATGCGTACTGCTGAGGAGTCCCACAATAGGACGAAACGGCTGTCCAGTGCTTCCAGGTTTTCCATGTTGGTCTAGCTTCAATTGACTCATGATTTCAACTATGAAAATACTAAATCTCCACAAAACCCCCTCTGATCAATATTCCATTTGATCGAATACTTCTCATAAGTTAGTAATGCAGAGGTTTGGCATCATGTAATCAGGCTCAGAGACGACAATCCAATTGGTGTCACCATCTTGAAACATCGACTTCGGTGGCTTGGATATGTTCTACGAATGTCGTCCCAGAGAATTCCACATCGTGCATTATTTTGCCGACTTTGGGACTGGTTGGAAAAAGCGGAGAGTTGGCCAGTGTATGACACCGTGTCGTGGTATGAAAGAAATCTTCAAAGGGTTAGCTTCTGTTAGTCCTTCACGACTTCCTAGCTGGGTGTCCAAGAGATGGTTCTACACAGTGGCTAGAGACTTTATCAGATATGGCTCAGAATATAAGCGAGTGGCGATCCTACTGTAGCCTTCATAAAGAGTGGTCATAACCTCCTTAACTGGAAAAGTTCTTCCGGTTGTACATTTCAGTTCCCCCCATCATTACTGTTATATTTTCTATATATGCATCTTATCCCTCTTCTCTTCCCATTCTCATTGTTTTGTGTGGCGCATATTTATCTGGTGCCCCTTGTACCAATATTAATGTGTTTAAATGAATAATAAAAACATAAGTTCACTTTCACCATAAACATTTGGTTTTCACCTTCACAACAAACTAATATCAATATCAGAATTTGTTTTGTGGATATTATAGTAATTTCAATAGCTAAAATTATGATTCAATTGAAGCTAGACCACCATAGAAAACCTGGAAGCACTGAACTGCCATTTCAACTTAGTATGGAATTCCTCAGCAGTGTGCATCCATGATCAAACCTTGTGGGAATCGAACCGAAGACCTATCAATTTCGCGCGCACTCGAGCACTTTACCTTTCAATCAATAATTGAACATTTATTGTCTGTCTATCTATCAATCTTTGTGTACACTATATGTATGTTATAAGATGAATTTGAGAATAGAAAATTATTTCGATTGTGTTATTTATCTGTTTGTCTATCTAATAATCCTTTAATGTGTAAATTAGTTTATTATTTCACCTATCAAGTACAAATAGAATCTTTTATATTAAAATATAAACAATTTGATGTGATTATTACCTTTACTACTTTTTGGATTGTTCTCATTCTGTTTTTTTTTGTTTTTAAACGTAATTTGAGACTTATTTGATAAATTAAAAAAAAAAAGAAAAAAAGAGAAAAGAGAAAAAAGAGCACAGTTACTATTATCATATAAAAATTGGATTTATTTCTATGGTGGAATTATATCTGATCATCATTCATGTTTATATGAATCAACATTAGAGATATATATCTGAATTGATCCCTCCCTATCAAGTGTTCAAATATTTGATCCTTTAATTATAATTGAGTTACTATGATAAGGGTTTCAATGAATCAATATATGTATATATAAGATCCAATGTATTTATTATTATATGACATAGAGATTGGAGTCAATGAAATGAAAAATTATTAAAGTTTTTCATAATCAATATTTTATGGAATATTAAAAAAAAGAAAAACAAAAAAAAAGAAAGGAAAACAAAAACAAAAAAAGAAAAAAAATGGATGAGTTTGTTGAATTTTGGTCTGATATACTAAATACTAAATTGAATATACTTAGAAGTAAGAATATTTATTTATGTTATTTGATTAATATAATGATATAAATGATTTGGAAGAATTGGATTTCATTCACAAGAGAGTGGAGAAATGTAAGGAGATGTAGTCCCATGATAGTCGGTGATCAATAATTGGTTTATATGTCATTTGTTCTTTCAGGATATTGGAACAGTAGATAGATCCTCCATATCCATCAACCCGGTGAAAGCACCGGACATTCAATTTTTGTTCTCTCAATTTCGTAAACCACACCCGTGATGCTAGAAGGCATTGAGTAGAACTACCTTGACAGTGGTTGTATACAGGTGACCGTTTGAGGGCATTTTGATTGGATGACTTCACTCTCCCCAACCTTGGTTGTACCATGGCATTTGGGAACTTATAGTTATCATTAATTCCACTGAAACATTATACCATAGCAATTCGATCAATCAAATTTTAACAATTAGATTAAACAAATAAATTATATATTTGTAATATCCCAATGAGTAGAAAAATTCGATTTTCTGACGTTTCGTGACTCAGTGTAAGCCACTTCTTCAGAGAATAAATAATCAATTTATTCAAAATTATCAAATCAAGTCTTGGTAATGACACCTACTAATTAGATTAAACGTTTAATAGCCGTGTAGTATATTCAACTATATTCAACTTTATACTTTAAAGATCCAGAATATGTATTGAATTAGTAATGTTTAGTTGGTTTTATTTTTTTAAAAATAAGGTAACCGTTGAGAAGAATCATTACTAAATTATACCACAAAACGGTTATCAAATCCTAATACATATGATGATCATTTCAGTTCACCATCGGGAGTGTCAAAAAAGTCAGATTATTCAAATTTAAAAGATTTAGAAGATTTTCTCCAAATTCTTTAATCTATATATCGTCTTAGAAATTAGAATTGTGGTAATTTTTTTCTAAAGACTTAACCTCTATTTTATTTATCATAAAAGTATTAACTTAAGCAGTTTAATTATATATATATTTTTGATTAACTGACATCAACTGAAGAACTATTGAGAATCAAGAAACTATCCTTAACTATCCTGTTCTAAGCAAAGATGGATAGTGACTAGCAGTGGGATTCAATACGCACGTTTCGTCCTATTTGGTACTCGTCAACTGGATGTACCTGCATCTCAGAGTTGATGTTCACTCTGGGACTCGAATCCAGTACCTTTTGCCATCATATTATCCACTAAGCTACTGAGTCCTGATAGCCACTTGCTTGTACTATGGAGTGAAGTTGAAATTCACTTAGTATTGTTTGTTTGTGAATTAAGGCTATATCGAGTCAATACGTACAGTATGCACATATGCCAATACGAGGCTGACCAGTTACAGTCCTAAACATCAATGGGAAGATTCAAACAAACAATACTAAGTTAATTATCCTGTTCTAGTTTAGGAATTTTCAGTAATGTTTAATATATAAGCTCAAATGAACTACATTATTTAGCTTTCGCGTCTCACAGTGAAGCACGATATATAATTCAATTTAGTCAGAGTTCAGTAATTCATATTTTTAACTAAGGTCAGATTTATTTTGTAGGATCCTCAGATCATATTTAATGATCAAAGTTTTATAAGAGTTCTATAGATTATGCTATTTTTAAAAGAAAATTGTTCAAGAATTAGAAGGGGATTTTGTAGAGATTTTAGTAATTTTATATATTTGAAATCATGAGTCAATTGAAACTAGACCACCATGGAAAACCTGGAAGCACTGGACTGCCATTTCGTCCTATTATGGGACTCCTCAGCCGTGCACATCCACGATCCCGCCTTGCGAAATTCGGACGAAGGATTGTAAAATTATACTGGATAATCAATTAAATTAATATTCATAGTTGTATGGTATGAAGTGAGTAGTTTTGAAATGGCTTTCTATACAATTTGGTAGCTGATATAACTAGTGAATTCTTTCAGATTGGCAATAAAATATTATCAGAAGGGGGGTTTTTGTGGAGGTTGTAATAATTTAATAGTTGAGTTCATGAATCATTTAAAGCTGAATCACCATGGAAAACCTGATAGCACTGGATGGCCGTTTCGTCCTGGTATGGGACTCCTCAGAAGTGCACATCCATGATTCCGCTCACGGGATTCAAACCCAGGACTTTAAGGTCCTTCTTTAATTGACACATGAACTTAACTATTAAATAAGATATTAATTTATCAGCGACATAAAATGACCATCTCATTTTAGTACTATTCACATTTCACATTGAGAACCTCTTTCATACATAAAACTGATATGTGTTTGTAAATAACGATAAAATAGTCCTTATTTTCTTCTTTATCAGTCTTTCAGATAATCTAAAAAATTTATCAGTATGGAGATTTGTGAAGATTGTAGGATGAAACAATTATCCAATGCTTCCAGTTTTTCTTTGATGTTATGTAGTAAAGATCATGAGTCAATTGAAGCTAGATCACCATGGAAAATCTGGAAGCATTGGATGACCGTTTCGTCCTCTTGTTGGACTCCTCAGCAGTGCGCACCCACGATCCCGCCGCGCGAGATTCGAACCCAGGACCTACCAGTCTCACGCCAGAGCAATTAAATTTTCTTTGATGGTCTAGCTTAGATTGACTTGTAATTTCAACTGTGAAAATTTAAGATATTTTTAAATTACTCACCAAAACTTGACAATTTAGTAAAATGAAATTAATTTTAAACTAGAGAATTTTGAGTATTGGTTTTTATTAGTACTTAACGTCAAATGAAGAGTTATTAAACGTCAAAGATGATGAGCCAGTTGTTTACTTGACAATGCATAACAACGTCCATATAGAAAATTATATCGAAAAATTGTAATGATCACACAATACCACAATATGATTAAACTTTAATTTGTAGACTAATTAACTTTAGCGGGATCGTGGATGCCCACTTCTGAGGAGTCCCATAATAGGACGAAACGTCCATCCGATGCTTCCAGGTTTTCCGCAGTGGTGTAGCTTCAATTGACTCATGATTTCAACTATATACAAAAAATTACTAAAAATCTCAACAAACAACCCCCTTTAGCCTATTAGTTTAATTTATTCAAATAGTCAATATCACAGATTGACTAAAAGTTAGAAAAGATCATTCCAAACTAACAAACCCTGTATAGTTTTATATTCCTATTATGGAACTCTTCGGGAGTGGTCATATGACAATGCTATGAATTGATATTTATGTTCATGTTCAAATAATCTTGCTTACTTAAGTATTTAATCTAAATGTTCGTTCAATAGTCAATAGTAAGTTATTCCAAAGATAATTTTCATTGTTTACATGTAAAAATGTATGTACTATAACTGTAATACGTTTAAAATTTAACGTAACAAAAGGAATCAGTCAGGTTGAGAGTAGAAAATTTACAAGCAAGAGTTCCAAACACAAGATAGGTAAATGCTAACACATTAAAAGTTACTTTATCCTTTATACAGTTATATAACTGTTAGTATAGTATTGAAAACTGAATGGGATAATTATTCTGTGAATAGAGTTATAATTCAAAATTTTTCAAAAAATATCAGTGGTACACTCATTAGGAATCAAGTTTTGAATGAAGTTGTACATTTTGTCCTCATTATTATCATTCTGAAAGGTTTGTAACTGTGATTAGCAACTCAGTTACCAAGAGTAGAATTCCATTTGAAAAGAAGACATTTTAGATTCATGTTTAATTTCAGCTATTGAATGTCTATCCTAAGACGGATTCAGAACAAGGTATAATAAGTGTTTACCGGGTTAATTGAAGTTTTATCATTTTCTACAGCTGGATTCTTAAAGGATATAAGACTCTCAATCAAAATTACCTGTACTCACTTCTTCAACTTATGTTTTAATCCTGGATAACTCTAAACTTCAGTCAGAGAAATATACTGGTCGATTACTGTCAGGTATTAAAGTATCTGATCGTCAGTTACAATTAGGTCATTGAACAAACATAGATCTATGCATTTGTCATTAAGTTATACTTTTTTTAAGGACCAGTTATACTATATAAGCCGTCAACCAGATATTGATAAATTAAAATCTTAGCTTACAACTAAGTAGTTGGATATACACAGCTTTATTCAGAAGGGGATTTGTCAAGATTTCAGTATTTTTTATTTTTTTTTCAAAGTCGAAATCATGAGTCAATTGAAGCTAGACCACCATCGAAAACCTGGAAGCACTGAACGGCCGTTTCGTTCTATTATGGGACTCCTCAGCAGTACGCATCCACGGACCCGCTCTCGCAAGATTCGAAACCAGGACCTACCAGTCTCGAGCAGAAGCCCTTAACAGCTTTATTCATTGTGATATAATTATACACTGAAAATAAGTGAACAGTTTCCCATACAGTGATAAATTTATTCAAAATGCTTGTCTCCGTATCATCCGTTATTACAAGGTTAAATAACGTAATTTCAAGCCTTTCGTGTGGCTTCAATTTTTACCCTGATTCATTTACATTTTCACATGAGTATGAATAGTCTCTTGTACCATTATTGAGCTACGTAAAGTTTGAAAAAAATATGAACTTAGTTTCAGTATTTCAGATAAATGTTCTACTACAATTTTCTACTTTGATTAAGTAGAAGTTGTCGATTTCATTTAATCTAAAGAAAAAAAACAACCCTAAATTCCCAAAGAAATTTAATTAAAGAACGATTCAGAACTCATTATTTATGTATATCCTAAAGTTCCATTGGTAACCCACAAATTCTATAGTATATGAAGTCTAAACTAATAATGATATTAGAAAGGGTTTTGTGGATATTATAATAATTTGAATAGCTGAGCTGATAGGTCCTGGGTTCATATCTCGTGAAGCGGGGTCGTGGATATGCACTTCTGAAGAGTCCCACAATAGGATGAAACGACCGTCCAGTGCTTCCAGGTTTTCCATGATGGTCTAGCTTCAATTGATTCATGATCTTAACTAATAAAATTAATAATGATATATTAGATTATTACTGTAATTTACCTGACATTTACAAAGTGGATTACTGAATTCAAACTTGGCAACTAGGTAGTTTACTAATAATTAAAGTTTCCAAGTACCTGTTTTATCACGTGTAAGTTTGGAAGAAATTTACCACTTAAAAACTCCATGCTAGAATGGAATAACGTCTTAATATTCCTTTGATACCTGTTATTTCTTTAAATGAAATCAGTTCATCCACAAATTAGGCAAATCTTCAAAGAAATCTAATAGAGAAAAATTCTCACCGTTTTTCTTAATAAGAAACAATAATTTTATCACAATTGACTGATCATTCAGTGGTGATTAATTTCATATGTGTCAAGTCCTTCTTAATACAGATTGAATGCTATCAATCAAGTTGTAATGTGGCCATTAGTTTAGGTGACTCGAAGGTGGTCAACAGGAAACCTTGGACTCGGATTTCGTGCTACTTAGCATTCATCAGCAAGGTGTACCTGTAATCTTGAGGGAACTGGTGATCTCTGAATTAGTAATTTTATACTTCATCGTTCTATCGAATAATCGGTAGTTTATTAACCTAGTAGTACATCAGTAAAATTCTAAGTTGATTGTTAAGATCTATCTTCGAAATTCAAATAAAACAAGGTGTATTCTAAAGATTTTTCATGAATAATCAAGTAGATTGTTAATGATGAACTTGAATTGAATTTATTTGTCTTGGTTGTATATTCGGTGAATATGTGTTTGTATACTTGTATTCAATCGTTTGAAAGATGAAGTTAGTATTGTAGCGAAGCAGAACATAGAAAAGGACAAGTGATTATATTTAACATAGTTGAAATCATGAGTCAATTGAAGCTAGACCATCATGAAAAACCTAGAAGCACTGGATGTCCGTTTCGTCCTATTGTGAGACTCCTCAGCAGTGCGCCTCCACTATCCTACCTCGCGAGATTTGAACCCAGGACCTATCAGTCTCGCGCGCGAACGCTTGACCACTAGACCACTTAACCGGCCATCATCGAATGGTGTTAATGTCTAACTTCAACCAATCCACGAAATTGAGCAACCATTCACCATTGTCTTCAGTGAGTTGATATCTCACAACAGACGTGGTTGAACTCCACTGTTTATTGGTAAGCAGAGATGGATAGTGGCTAGCAGTGGAATCCAGGACGCGCGTTTCGTCCAATTCGGGACTCGTCAGCTGGATGTACCTGCATCTCAGAGTTGATGTTCACTCTGGGACTCGAACCCAGTACCCTCGCTTCAAACGCCATCGCGTTATCCACTCGGCCACTGAGTCCTGATAGCCACTTGCTTGTGCGATGGGGTGAAGTTTGAATTCACTTAGTATTGTTTGTTTGGATCTTCCCATCGATGTGTTTAGGACTGTAACTGGTCAGTCTCTAATTGGCATATGTGCATACTGTGCGTATTGCCTCGATATACCTTAATTCACAAGCATGATAAGCAGAGATGGATAGTGGCTAGCAGTGGAATCCAGGACGCGTGTTTCGTCCTATTTGGGACTCGTCAGCTGGATGTACCTGCATCTCAGAGTTGATGTTCACTCTGGGACTCTAGGGCTGCTGCAGTCCTAAACACATCGATGGGAAGATCCAAACAAACAATACTAAGTGAATTCAAACTTCACCCCATCGCACAAGCAAGTGGCTATCAGGACTCAGTGGCCGAGTGGATAACGCGATGGCGTTTGAAGCGAGGGTACTGGGTTCGAGTCCCAGAGTGAACATCAACTCTGAGATGCAGGTACATCCAGCTGACGAGTCCCGAATTGGACGAAACGCGCGTCCTGGATTCCACTGCTAGCCACTATCCATCTCTGCTTACCATGCTTGTGAATTAAGGTATATCGAGGCAATACGCACAGTATGCACATATGCCAATTAGAGACTGACCAGTTGTAGTCCTAAACACATCGATGGGAAGATCCAAACAAACAATACTAAGTGAATCCACTGTTTATTGCTTCTCTCTAAAATTCCAGGAAATACCTCATGGAGACAATCGCTATTGAGCATGTGATTATATTTAACACAAAATTACAGTTACTGGATAAACAGAAAAACCGTACTTCAATACTTCATTTGCTAAATGATATTCATTAATCGTCTTATACTTCATTGTTCTTGCATTTCCATACCAATTGCTTTTTGTTCCTATTGTTTCCTCCTCGATCTTCTTAACCGTTTGCTTCCAGACATTCCATATAATACTAATGTCAACAGAAGTAGCACACACCACAGTATAAATTAATATTTATATTCTCAACTGTGAATAGATAAAGAAAGTTTCGAATTTCCGGTATAGAATAATTCATGGTTATATTATCAGTTGATTTGTTTCGAATATGTCCAAAACAATAATCAGGGCAGACTAACATGAATTCACTTTATTTTATGGCTTTTTATCAACTGCCTGCAACTATAATCGTAAGTTTAAAAGACCGGGTTAGATAAAAATTACCAGAATAGGGGATTTGTAGATATTAAAGAATTTTTATAGTTTAAATCATGAGCTGATTTTAAATATATCCCCACCGAAAACCTAGAAGCACTGAACTGACTCTTCTTCATGGAACTTCACTGTCATGTACGAACACTGGACGTCCAGTTCCAAACCTGTTAATGACTAACTACAATCAATTCACTTTATTACACAGTTCTCATCTATTATTTATAGCGAATAAATGTCTCATACCCGACACATTTCGAATTCCACTGGTAACTAACTCTGTTTATAATGTCTTTTACTGTTTCATTTTTACTCTAGGCGAGCAAGAACGTGTACAAAAGAAAACATTTACCAACTGGCTAAATACATATTTGAGCAATGTAAGTTTAGAAATAACGATCACATCTATTTTGTTAATAATCGTTCACAGCTATCATACATACTACTAATGTAAGACTGATATAAATGCTATGGTGGTTGATATTCGGTACTATCCCTAAGATTCGTATATTGTTCATCTTGATAACCGTTACTCGACAACGTCCTAACGATGTATAAATCAGAAGACGAATACGAAGGGTAGATCGTGTTTATTACTGAACCACACACAGTTATCCAATATTACAGGTACGTCAAACAAGCATGAAAAAGCAGTGCCATAGAGCCAGATGAATGAGTAAGCGTGTACAGTACGGTGTAGCGTAATACAGAGCAAAGCAGAGAGCAAGCAGGGCAAGTGCAGTAAACAGGATTAAGAAGTACATATATATATATATATAAGTGGAAAAGCATGAATCATCGGATCAAATAAGCGATTAATAATAATGCTAGCGGAATGAATATATGCGTAGGCAGTAAGCAATGTTCAAGCGCACATAATAAAAGTACAATGGTATAGATGGGCTGTTATTGTATGAATGACTGTCCATTAAATAAGTTAACAAAAGGGCTTAACTGAATTAGATGCAAACAAACTCAATTGTATCTGAGTGGCTATAATAGCTCCCCCCCAGCAAACATGGATACAAAATAGTGTCTGTGTTTGCGATTAAAAAAAAATGTTAAACTTAACAGGACAGTAAATATCAAAATTTATGAAATTAAGATGTATGATAGAACTATCGTGTGAATTACTACAAGTACGTGTAAATTTGAGTTCGTATATATCGGTGAGGCCAGATAAAATAACAAATCAAAATAATGTGCTAGTGATTTTAGAGGTTTATATACATTTACATTGGAATATGCAAACTTTGTTGACTATAATGATAGATAAATTAAAGTTTTCGATGTACACATACAAAACGAAGAGGAAAGAAATTTACACCTGAAGATGCGAAAGAAATTATTAGTTCGAAATCGTAGCTATTTATCGTTGAGGCCATCTTACTCTTCGACCATATCTTGTCGTTACTGGTTTCTCTTCGTTTTTGTTCGTCGATGTCGTTGATGATTGAGGTTCACGTTTCGGTGACTCGACGATTTTCGAATGATCTGTATATACTGGCTGATCGCCAGCTTCGATAAAAGCTGGTTTGACTCAGTCTATGCTAATTACATCCGTTTTTTCGGCTTTATCTACCGTTATAGTTTTATCATTTCTTCTAATAACTTTAAATGGACCATCGTAAGCTGGTTGTAAGGGACGCTGCACATTATCCCTTCTGATAAACACATGGGTACTGTCGTTCAGTTGTTTTGGTATGTACACACGTTGTTGATGTTGCCTCGGAAGTGTTACTCTTAGATTACCCATATGCTGCTTTAGACGTTGTACATAGCTGGCTAAATCAGTTGGAACACTTTTACTTGAGGTGAAAAATTCTCCTGGAAGACGTAAAGTGGTTCCATAAACCAACTCTGCTGGGCAACATCCTATATCTTGTTTAATTGTTGATCTTAAACCTAACATGACTAATGGCCCAATCATTATTGCTAATAACAGATGTAAGAGAGGCTTTGAGTTGCCGATGTAATCTTTCTACCATACCATTCGCCATCGGATGGTAAGATGTTGTCCGAATACGCTTGATTCCTAGGAGTTCAGTGAGTTGTTGAAAGAGTTGGCTCTCGAATTGGGCTCCTCGATCGGTTGTAATGTGTGCAGGCACACCATAATGAGAGATCCAATGCTCTACTAAGGTTTTGGCTATAGTTTCGGCCGAAATGTCTTTTATGGGTACTGCTACAGGCCATCGCGTAAATCTATCAATGCAGGTAAAACTATAACTAAAGCCGTTTGAAATCGGCAGCGGTCCTATAATGTCGATATGTATGTGCTCAAATCTGCTATCCGGATGACGAAAAGAACCTATTGCGGAACTGGTGTGACGATGAACTTTAACTTTTTGGCATTTTATGCAAGTTTGCGTCCAATTACGAACATCCCGGTTCATACTTGGCCATACAAAACGTTCGCTGATTAATTTGATTGTGGCCTTTATCCCAGGATGTGGTATGTTATGCATAGTGTCGAAAACCTTTCGTCTTAGAGGCTTCGGAATAAATGGTCTTGGTCGGCCCGTAGAAATATCGCACATAATACTCACGTTTTCGATTGAAGTTTCTTTTAGTACCAGAGAGGTTGTATTGTCAGACTTCAGTCTGTTTAACTCGACATCTTTATTTTGTAATTCTGCTAATTCGCGATAATCGATTTCGGATTGGACGAGAGTATTTATCGTCGTTCTTGATAGTGCGTCAGCTACTTCGTTTTCTTGGCCTTTAATGTATCGTATATCAGAAGTGAACTGGGAAATAAACTCTAATTGTCTGATCTCCCTCGGAGAGTAATTATCTTGCTTTGCGCTTAGTACGTTCGTGAGTGGTTTGTGGTCCGTGTAAACTGCAAAATCTATGCCTTCTACCATATGTCGAAAATGTTTTATTGCCAAGTAAATTGCTAGTAATTCTCTTCCGAAAGTACTATATCTCGTTTGCGTGGGATTCAGTCTCTTTGAGAAGAATGAAAGCGGTTCCCACGTGCCATTTACTAACTGTTGTAAAACAGCTCCTACCGCCACATTCGATGCATCTGTCATGATAGCTAACGGTGTTTCGCTCTTTCTTTTAGCTAGTGTCGTCTTTTTGTTGAGTGCCTTCTTGGCGTTCTCAAAGGCCTGTATTGCCTCTGCTGATAATTGTAATGTCCGAGAGTGTCCCCGTAACGCATCGGTCAGTGGTTGAAGTATTGCCGCACAATTCGGAATAAAACGTCTGTAATAATTTATTAGTCCCAGAAATCGTCGTAATTTCTTTCGTGTATCGGGCAACGGATAGTCTCTGATGGTATCGATTTCTGTAGAGATCGGTGTGATACCTTGAGAAGTTACCATGTGTCCAAGGAACTGTAAGGATCCTTTTCCAAACTCACACTTCTCAATGTTTATGGAAATACCATGATCTCTTAGTCGCGCGAATAATTGCCGTAGTTGCTGTATGTGCTCGTCCATAGTGGAGCTGGCTACTAGTAGATCGTCTATGTATGCGTATACTCCAGGTAAGCCTCTGACGACCTGGTCAATAAACCGTTGAAATGTTTGTGCTGCATTAGTCAGTCCGAAAGGCATGCGTAAGAATTCACATAGCCCAAAAGGGGTTGTTACTGCTGTTTTTGGTATGTCTTGTGGAGCGACCGGGATATGATAATACGCTCTAACTAAATCAATCTTCGAGAATACTGTAGCACCTTCTATACTGTAAGTAAAATCATGGATGTGTGGTATAGGGTATCTATCGGCCATTGTTTGCTTATTAAGTGCTCGATAGTCTCCACATGGTCTTAATTCTCCGTTCTTTTTCGGAGCCATGTGTAATGGGGATGCCCACGGGCTGTTCGAAGGCCTTATTATGCCTAGCCTCATTAACTTGTCGAATTCTTGCTTTGCTACTGCTAGTCTTTTGGGGTCTAATCTTCTTGGCCTTGCATTCACCGGCGGCCCGTTGGTTACAATATGGTGTTGGATAGTATGCTTGAGATGTTTTATTGTACGTTACTTTTAAAAGCTCTGGGAACTCATTTAACAATAACTTGCGTGGGTCGTTGCGGCTCTTATCTACCACTAGGATCATAGAAACAGATTCTGTAAGTGTTCCCCTAATGGAAGTAGTATGAGTACCGTTTATGAGTCGATGGCGCCGTGAGTCTACTAGTAAATCGAAATTGCATAAGAAATCGATGCCTATTATAGGTACCGATATGTCTGCTATTACAAAATCCCAGCGGTATGTCGCGCCTCGTCCGAAATTTAAGGATAACATTCGTTTGCCATATGTTTTAATATCTGATTTATTCGCCGCTTTTAGAACCAATGAAGTGTTAAGGTTTCTTTTGTCGTCACATACTGGGGGTACTATGCTAATTTCAGCTCCCGTGTCCACCAAGAATTGAGTGCCTGTTATTCGGTCTTGTATATAAAATAGGCGGCTGTTTGAGGGCTTTATGTTCGCTGCAGGCGTTGCCATGGTCAACCGAGGGTACCTCTTACTTGCCGAGCTAAATCTACAAGGTTGTAAGCATTTTCTTGCTCTGTAACCATACATTTGATGATACCAACATATCAGCGGAGTTGCGCGTCTTCTGGAAGCTGATCGGCTTCTCTCGCGCGTGCCAACTCGTGATAATTTTCGTGGTCTCTCGCTCTGGGTCAACTCTGTGAGCTTGCGGCATAAAACATCTATCTCTTTCTGCAGAGTACTGATTCTATCGTCTATTGTCACGCTGTGTGATTGAGAGCTTGCTTGTTTTGCTCTTTCGTATATTCTATCAGCTATTTTCGCTATGTTGTCTATGTCAGCGTCAGTATCTCCAACAGCTAAGATTTTCTGAATACTGGACGGGAATCGGCGAAGCCACAGTTGATAAAATAAGTTATTATCTATTTTTCTATCACCTAGTAGACTTTTCATATGAGTTTTTAACTGTAATGGAGTTCTATCCCCCATTTGTACCTGGTTGAGAAGCTGCTCAACAGCGTGTTGGTCACTTAGTGCGACTGCTTTAATTACTGCCTGCTTTAGTACATCGTATGGCCTTTCAGTATCCGGTTTAGATAACGCCTCTCGTACGCTTTCTGCTACTTCGTCTGGGAGGAGAGTGCTTGTGAGGCCGAATTTATCTCTTTGTAAGTTAATACGATTAGCCAGAAAATAGTTTACGAGTCTAATGAACCACAGCTGAGGGTCGGTGACCTTAAAAGAGGGGATTGGAAGGTTAAGAGTTCTCACGGACGAAGTTTGCTGTACACTTGACATAGTGTTTTCGGAAGACATGCTTACAAAAAAATTTTTGAGTAGTACACAAATATGATATAGATGTCACAAAGTAAAATAGACGGACAGAAACAATGATAATAATAAATGGTACAATTTATAAAATGGAACAGACTTACTAAATTGCACCAATATATCAATTGTTTGTGAATGATCGTTATTTAGTATGAATATAATCGTTAAGTTCAATGTTTGTGAGTTAGAATCTAATAAATCCACAATTATGATTATGATACAGATAATAATCCGATTTGAGACGCAGCGCTTTGAATTTTCGGGATTAGATTATATCGTCCAAAATTGTTTTGTGATCGCTCGGCGAGGCTTCCAATTCTGTGGTGGTCGATATTCGGTACTATCCCTAAGATTCGTATATTGTTCATCTTGATAACCGTTACTCGACAACGTCCTAACGATGTATAAATCAGAAGACGAATACGAAGGGTAGATCGTGTTTATTACTGAACCACACACAGTTATCCAATATTACAGGTACGTCAAACAAGCATGAAAAAGCAGTGCCATAGAGCCAGATGAATGAGTAAGCGTGTACAGTACGGTGTAGCGTAATACAGAGCAAAGCAGAGAGCAAGCAGGGCAAGTGCAGTAAACAGGATTAAGAAGTACATATATATATATATATAAGTGGAAAAGCATGAATCATCGGATCAAATAAGCGATTAATAATAATGCTAGCGGAATGAATATATGCGTAGGCAGTAAGCAATGTTCAAGCGCACATAATAAAAGTACAATGGTATAGATGGGCTGTTATTGTATGAATGACTGTCCATTAAATAAGTTAACAAAAGGGCTTAACTGAATTAGATGCAAACAAACTCAATTGTATCTGAGTTGCTATAATGCCATTGTATATGTTTTGAAATAATGCCCTATATAGCTCATTGTAAAGAAAGACTGATGATTTACATTAGTGGCACTCCCACTGAATGCGATTGGTTTGTGGTACAATTTTAATCACATATGTCATACATTGGCTCATCTATGAACCAAGTATCCGCTTTACACTGTTGAGTTCTGTTGCATTTAATTTTATATAATTATTGAATAATTGACATTCAGAGTTCCACTAGTTTAGTATGTTCATTTAGTCAACTGATCGTTGTGGTTTGATTAAAATAATTTGAAAAAGAAAACCCATTGAAATCGCGATTATATTCATCATCGTAAATTTAAATTACTGCCTTGTATCAAACGCTACGGAGTTAATGATTACTGGATAACTTCGACTGTTATTCAGTTTATAGTTCAACATTATGATATTTCATGCCATTATAATTGTGTATTTCTTATGTACCGTTAAAGATATTCAAGTTAATAGTAAGTTTATTGCATTCAAATGATTATTTAGATTAAATTCTCTTAGTATTGTTTGTTCGAATCTTCCCTTTGACGTTTACGACTGCAACTGGTCAGTCTCTAATTGACATATGTGCAAGTGGCTATCAGGACTCAGTAGATGAGTGGATAACGTGATGGCGTTTGAAGCGAAAGTTACTGAGTTCGAGTCCCTGAGTGAACTCTGAGATGCAGGTACATTCATTTGACGAGACCCAAATAGGACGAGATGCGTATCCTTGATTCCACTGCTAGTCACTATTCATCCTTACTTACAAAGCCTGTGAATTAAGGCTATATCGAGTTAATACGCACAGTATGCACATATGTCAATAAGAGACTGACCAGTTGCAGTCCAAAAACATCAATGGGAAGATTCAAACAAACAATACTAAGTGAATTTAAACTTCACCCCATTGCCCAAGCAAGTGGATATCAGGACTCAGTAGCTGCTTAAGATTATTTAGATTGTTTATTGAATTACTATAATAATTTTACTTTAGGCAAATCCACCATTCAAAGTTCAAGATCTATTTGAAGATATCAAGAATGGAATATTGTTAATAAGAATATTAGAAGTGCTATCAGGAGAAAAACTAGTAAGCTTATTTTTATCTGATAAAACAATGTACATTTTGTTACTTTAGTTATTTTCAATAGACCTTCAGTAGTAATGAAATGAAGATGATTATACTTTTCATCATAAACATCTGGTAGTATTTTACTCAGCGAAATAACTGACTGAGTTCAAAGATATTTGTAGAGATTTAGTCAATATGTGAATGGTAAAGATCGACACCAGCTGGAGGACTATGGAAAAACAACAAGCAATATACAGATTTTTTTGTACTGAACATTTAGGATCATACCAGGGATTTTGATGGAGTTTTGTTCTTTGGGCTGGATGGTTTGGTCGCGGAGGTTTCATTGTCCTTCTGAACGACATCACCAGAAAAATACCTGAAAACCATCCTCCAAAAGAACGACTATCCAATCAATTTCTTCAAAAAATACCAGCCGCATCCATTATCAGAAATGAAGTCAAGTACAGAAATCAGCAAAAGGATCACCTTAGCATACATAAAAGGTATATCAGAAACGACAACGAGACTGCTGAAAACCTTCGGCATAGGTGTTGCTCACAAACCAACGAGATCCCTCAATTCAATCTTATGCAAACTAAAGGATGAAATGACAAAATAAATTGTGCCAACTGCGGAAAACGCTACTTCGGACAAAGCGGACGCCCTTTTCATTCTCGTCTGCATGAACATCAATTAGCAGTCAAACGCCAGGGCATGTCGTCAATCATATCAATGCACGTGGACAACTGCGGGCATACATTAGGATGGAAAAATGTGGAGATTTTGGATAGAGGCAATTCCAAAAACACCAGATAATTTTTAGAAGCTGGGCACTCATGTCAATCAGCAATAAACAAACACATTGAAATTAATCCAATTTATCAACCAATCAGGAAAATTATGCAGAAACATAGGAACAAAAATCAAACCAATGGAAGATACAACCAAAATGATGAAATAAATAATGACAGATTTAAGGTCAATAAGAACCAATCAACATCGAGGTTGCAGAGGACAAGCTGTGAATCACATGTGGAGAAACCCAAAGATTTCTCTTCTACCCGAAGTTTCTGCTGATGATGTCGTTCAGAAGGACGATCAAAGCTCCACGACCAAACCATCCAGCTCAGAGAACAATACTCCATCAAAATCATCCACTTGAACTACAAATATTTCCCACCATCATACCAGGGATCAAAAATAAGCTAAGTGCTAATCAAGAATTAGAATTAAATTATTAAGTTGGCGTTGAAATAGAATGGTAATTGTGGATTCTCTACATCTTTGATACTTCTTGTTTCACTCATTCTCACTAATATCTGAAGACAAGGTCTGACCTGTATCTGAGGTCGCTTATTAGCCAGAATAAATATCGCACCTTATACACAATTATTAAGGATTTTAAAATTATAAAAAGGGAGATGGTTTAAGGTTTTGCACTGTTCGGTTTCAATTAGAGTAAACTATCCACTAGAATTATTTAAACCACACAAAACCATAACTCAAAAAACCGAGTAGAAAGGCTTTCATATCAACAGACTAAAATGCTTAAATTTATTTGAAATCATGAATCGGTATAAGTTGAACCACCATCATATATCTGGAAGCAGTGGACGACAGTTTTGTCTCAATATAGGACTCCTTATCAGTGCCCATCCATGATCCCACAGGCAGAACTCAAACCAAGTTTTTTGAGTATCGCGTGAACGCTTGACTACTAGACCACTGAGCCGGCATCCAATGGTTTTAATTTCTGACCTTAAGTAATCCACGACATTGAGCGACCATTCTTTTCCGTGGATAAATGTTTCAGTTCAACAAAGTTATTTCTTATAAGTTTAATTAGTATCATTTAAATTATAATATTCATAATTAAATTTAAACACCTGGTAGCAAATAATGCATCAAACACTTCAGAAGCTTGGTATGCTGAAGATAAATGCCGTTGATGCAGATTCATTTAAACACAAAAAGTGTTTGAGAAATCAATCTGTCTCAGTAACTTCGTCTCCAGATTCTAAATTCATCAGTTCATAATTCGCTACAATAACAAAAAAAAAGACATATATTTTGTTATCAGAAGTGTTTTTTTTGTGGAGATTTCAGTATTTTCATAGTTGAAATCATGAGTCAATTGAAGCTAGACCACCATCGAAAACCTGGAATCACTGTACGGCCGTTTCATCCTATTGTGGGACTCCTCATCAGTGCGCATTCACGACCTCACCTCGCGAGATTCGAACACAGGGCCTACCATTTTGTGTTAAAAAGTCGTTAACGTTTACGTAGGTTATAGTTAAAATACGGTAATTAGACCACAAGACTGGGCCATACTGTTCAGTCTGTAAAGAGCCTAAAATCACTCTCTTGTAAGAAATATTTATAATAATCATACATTTGAATGAAAATAACCCGTTATTAATCAAAATCTCGCTTTAAGTGACATTTTTTCAAGTTAAGATTTCTTAAAAATATGGACCTCTTAGGAAAGTTGCTCTGTTTCAGTGTCCTATACGAAAAATAGATCGGTGAAATCTTGTTCAATGAGAAAAAGATCAGAATATTTAAACGGAGTATTTTTTCACTTGGTGTTCTTTGCTTGTGCCTTCCAATTGCTGTGCAAGACTGCAATTGATCCGTCCCTTGTTGGCATATGTGCATACTGTGCGGATTGCCTCGATATTGCCTCAAGTCACAGGCATAAGAAGCAATGATGGCTGGTGGCTAGCAGTGGAATACAAGACGCGTGTTTCGTCCTATGTAGGGCAAGCAGGCTACTATCAGGACTCAGCATGTAAGCGGATAACGTGATGGTGTTTGAAGTTAACGGTACTGAGTTAGAGTCTCGGAGTGAACATCAACTGTGAGATGCAGATACATCCATTTGGCGAGTCCCAAATAGGACGAAACGCTCGTCCTGCTTTACACTGCTAGCCACTATCCATCTTTGCTTAGGGAGTATTTATTTATTTAAATCATCGGTGAAAACGTATTGAAATTCCATGAATAGTGTTGACACTGAATAATTTTTTGTCACAGAATTTCAACATAATCGATATTGATATGGTTCTCATAAATTATAATTTGAGATTGTTCTTCCACTTGTATTCATAATTAGTTATCTTATTGAATTAATGTATCAACCTATGGGGTACTTCTGAGATATATTTGTTTTGATTGAGATCATGAATCGATTATTGTTAGACCCCATTGAAAACCTAAAAGCACTGGACGGCCACCTCGTCCTAATTTGGGACTCTTTAAGATTGCGCGTCCACAATCCCGCGTGCGGGACGCGAGCTCAGGACCATCGGTATCGAACTCGAATGCTTAACTTCTAAACCACTGAGATGACATCCAATGGCGTTAATGTTTAATTTCAACCAATCCACGAAATTGTACGACCATCTTCATTGTCTGAAAGAGACAACTGTCTCTACTTGTCATGGATTAGCTCCACCAGTCACGGCTTCTCAATAGAACTCTTAGAAGTCCCTCATAAAGCAAGTCACTAGTTAGCACATGATAATTATCAGTATGAGGTTTTGGAGATTGTTAAGTTTTTAATTGTAATCTCCACAGCCCTATACTGATATATTTATTTGGCTAGAACTTTCATATTTCTGTTCTTAACTTAATCAAATAAACTTTGAATGTTTAATTCAATCTGTCACATTATAAATGAATAGATGATATGACTCAATAGAAAAGTTTATATTGACCAACATTTGTACTTTCTATAGATCAAGTATGACAAAGTTCTTTGTCACATAAAAGAAGTGGATCTTATTATTATTATTGGTCATTTGACGACCAGTTAGTTGGATATTGTGATCATTGTGAATGGATGTTCTTTCAATAACATAACAAAACAACAATAATATGATCAGATATTCATTTGAACATAAAGACATGTGATGTAAATTTATAGCAATAAATTATAAGAAGGTGATTTTTCAAAGTTGAAATCATGAGTCATTGAAGCTAGAACATCATGAAAAACCTGGAAGCACTGGATGGCCGTTTTTTCCTATTGTGGGACTCCTCAGCGGTGCGTATCCACGAACTCCCCTCGCGAGATTCGAACTCAGGACCTACCAGTCTCGCGCCAGAGCACTTAACCACTAGACCACCGAGCCGGCATCCAACGGTGTTAATGGTGAGCGGTTGCTCAAACTTCGTGGATTGGTTGAAGTTAGACATTAAGCAAAGATGGATATTAGCTAGCAGTGGAAACCAGGATGCGCGTTTCGTCCTATTCGTGACTCGTCAGCTGGATATACCTGCATCTCAGAGTTGATGTTCACTCTGGGACTCGAACCCAGTACCGTTCACTTCAAACGCCATCACTTTATCCACTTAGCTACTGAGTTCATCTTTGCTTTTAATGCTCATGAATTAAGGCTTTATCGAAGCAATCCTCACGGTATTCACATATGACCAATAAGAGACTGATCAATTGCAGTCCTAAACGTCAATGGGAAGATTCAACCAAACAATACCAAGTGATTTTACTAAAGGTTCCATAGAGACGGAGATGAATGCATATATTTGATCAGTTGTGTTACATCATTCTTTCCCTATTTCATTAAGTATTTAAACAATGCAATTCAGTATAAACGAAATGTATTTCAACAAAAACTGGGATAATATCTACCACATCGAAAAATATATGAATTTTATATATGAAAATGTGACATGGTGGAGAAGATTTATAGTTCAGGTGGATGATTTTGATGAAGTTTTGTTCTCTGAGCTGGATAGTTCGGCCGTGGAGCTGTCATTGTCGATGACAGCTCCACGGCCGAACTATCCAGCTCAAAGAACAAAACCTCATCGAGTATGTTACATTTTAAACTCTTATTGCCTTCTGATTTTGTTTGTCTGTAATCACATTTCAGATTATTATAGAACCAGTTTTAAGGTATATAGCATTGAATATTGAGTGAATTATTAGATACATCAAACAGTTTCTACTTCAATAAGATTATGAATTCATCTAAGTTAGATCATCATTGAAAACTTGGAAGTACAGCAATTCTAGATTTTTAATAATGATCTAACTTATATCGGTTCAAGATTTCAATGAAATTCAATAATTTTCACAACCCTATACTATGTAGGATTTGAATCTCCTTGGTTACATTTATCGTTAAATCCAAAAACAAAGGTCACTTAATCTATTTCTGGTGATTGTAGTTTACCACAAACGTCATGAAATTCAAAGCTCCTATTTATGGATTCTCAATGTTGTGGAGTACTATATCAGTTAGTGTGGAACTCCTCAGCAGTGAGCATCCATGATCCCACATGCAGGACTCGAACCCAAAAATGAGGTGTCCCATATTAGGACGAAACGGCCGTCCAGTGCTACTAGGTTTTCAATAGTGGTCTAACTTAATTCAACTCATGAATTCAACTATTAAAATTACTAAAATCTCCACAAACTTCCATTCTAATAATTTTATCAGTTAGTGAAATGGTAAAATTGGATTGTATTAATTAATTGGACAGGTAGTCCATGAAAAAGCTATTAACAAATATAATAGTGGTCATCATTCTGTTTAAAAATTATCGTCAATGACATGAATCAGTTATAAGTTACTGGTTGTTTATTATTAATGGTAAGACCAGTACAGCGTTAGTATAAAGGGATTATATGAACTTCAATTTACAACTTATGATATGCAAACATCCGCCTATTTTTTTCATTAAATATTGAACTTTTTCTTAATTTTTGTTTTCAACTTTCTTCTTCTCCACAAAGCGCGCAGAAAGTCGGGTTCAAATGAATCGGATACATTGTCTATCGAATATTAAAACTGCATTGGAATTTTTACATTCTAGAAATGTAAGTGTAAATTTATTACAACATAGTGAACATACAGGTTGTATCTCTTTTTTTTTGTAAAGAATTCAAGGAAAATGTTGTTTAACTAACAGATGACATCATGCTCATTATCATTATATTATAATAACAAAAAGGCCCACAAAAACTAAAAACATTTTATCAGAAGGGGTTTTGTGGAGATTTCAGTATTTTCATAGTTGAAAGTATGAGTCAATTGAAGATGGACCACCATCAAAAACCTGGAAGCACTGAACAACCGTTTCGTTCTATTGTGGGAATCCTCAGCAGTGTGCATCCACGACCCCGCCTCACGAGATTTGGACCTAGGACATAAACACCATGGGATGCCGGATCAGTGGTCTATCGATTAAGTGCATTGGCTCGAGACTGGCAGGTCCTGGGTTCGAATCTCGCGAGGCGAGATTGTGGATGCGCACTGCTGAGGAGTCCCATAATAGGACGAAACGGCCGTCCAGTGCTTCCAGGTTTTCGATGGTGGTCTAGCTTCAATTGACTCATGCTTCCAACTATAAAAACACTTTCATAAGTATAAATTAAAACTCAGATTACACTGTCTATCTATCTTCTGATTATGTAATAGTTGTTTTCTATTCGTGGGGTCATAAAATTACGCTTGGTCATTAAAAATAGTTTCAATGAGAATGAATAAATGTTACTGTCAGTCAGTCAGCTACAACGTAGGACCAGGCACATATATGCATCGCTCCAAGTTGCCATACCTCGTTAGCACAACAAGATGAACACCGGATTCATAGAAGTAGTTAATTTAGTGGTGGTAGTATATAAAAGATAGGTTGTATATAAGGATATAGTATAGGAAGGAAAAAATGTTATGAAGCAATTTTAATCTTAAGGTTTAAGGGAAGATAAAGAGTGTATACACCTACGTCATTGTGATCGATTCTCAGCCATGCCACACACAGTCTCCAACCATTGGTTACGATAGTCACGCGGACCCCAACCAGGTAGTCTGCATCTGCCAACATGGCTCAGACTAGAAGTTAGTGACTTCATGCTCTTATGCCACGTTTTCGTTTGGCCGCCCCTGACTTTCTTCCAACCAGACAGACAATTGTACCCTATCAGAAATATATTTTTCAATATGTGAAATACACAAACTCCCAACTTTTGTTTATTCTACATGATGAAAATTAAAATACACAATGACAAAAGAATGTGAGCTAAATGCATTTAAAAAGTGTCTCTTTGGAACAAAACGATAATCCTCTTCGTTTCTGACATGGTGAATAGAAGTTGACTGTAAAACCTTAATACTTTTTAAATTCACTTAGTATTGTTTGACTGAATCTTCCCATTGATGTTTAGGACTGCAAATGGTCAGTCTCTTTTCGGTATATGTACATACTGTGCGTATTGACTCGATATAGCCTTGATTCAATTGCAGTGCTGAACATCAATGTGAAGATTCAATCAAACAATACTAAGTGAATTCAAACTTCACCTCATTGCACAAGCAAGTGCATATCAGGACTCAGTAGCTGAAGGGATAACGCGATGGCTTTTGGAGCCAAAAGTACTGGGTTCGGGTCCCAGAGTGAACATAAACTCTGAGATGCAGGTACATTGAGCCGACGAGTCCCAAATAGGACGAAACGCGCATCCTGGATTCCACTGCTAGCCAATATCTATGTTTGTCTATTACTTTTTTGTCATTTATATAAATCAAAGTGAAGAATTATATTCATGAGTTTGAATGAGGGCGTTATGTTATCTTCATTACATACAATACATTGAAGACCAGGATGATTTTAGTGATTTAAATTTCACATCATTCAACAATGAACAAACATTTTGTAACCGAATGAAAGTACACTAATTAGTTACCTGGTAAAAAATTACTATCATGATGTTTAGATGTTATTTGTTGATAAAATCTTATTGATCAACCTGAAATGGAATCACTAATGTTGAGTTAGTCAACATCATAGTGTAGGTTATGAAGGTCTACGTAATTAGTATCAATCAGAATGAAGTATATGCATTGATTTTATTTCTGTAATCATGCACCAATCGAAAAACACTTGATGGAGAAGCTTTGGAGAATGTGGAAACCTTTACATATCTGGGCAGCATCAATGATGAACACGGTGAATCAGATGCAGATGTGATGGTGAGAATCGGCAAAGCAAGAGCAGAATATCTACAAATGAAGAACATATGGAACTCAAAACCATTGTCAACCAACACCAAGATCAGAATTTTCAATACAATTGTCAAGATAGTTCTATTGTATGGGGTGGAGACGTGGAGAACTACGAAAGTCACCATCCAGAACATACAGGTGTTTATTAACAGTTTTCTACTTCGGATTCATTGGCCAGACACTATCAGCAACAAGTTACTGTGGAAGACAACAAACCAGATTCCAGTGGAGGAAGAAGTGCTGGAAGTGGATTGGGTACACATTGAGGAAAGCACCCAACTGAGTTACAATTCAAGCCCTCACATGGAATCCTGAAGGCCGAAGGAGAAGAGGAAGACCAAAGAACACATTACGTTGAGAAATGAAGACAGATATGAGAAGAATGGACAAAAGTTGGATAGAACTAGAAAGGAAGTGATAGGACATTGTGGGTTGGAGAATGCTTGTCGACGGCCTATGCTCCATTTGGGGTAACAGGCGTAAGTATGTAAGTAAGTATATATGCATTGATTTTATTCCTGTAATCTTTCTCATTGAAACTGCATTATAAACTGTTTCTCTTTGAATCACAAATAGGTAAAATTAGTCAATGTTAATCCAACTGATATTGCTGATGGGAAACCAGCTATTGTTCTTGGTCTTATATGGGTTATTATATTATATTTCCAAGTAAGTTAACAAACTGATTTATGAATGGGATACTTTACATTTACTTTTTGATTATGCACTAAATATTGTTTTTATTTCATACACATAGCTCACTTTTTTTATCTTCAAGAGAGCAAGAATGAAGACTGATACTTCGAATAATATAACATTTCATTAATTGCTCCTTTGAGCTTGGTGTTATGAGTATATAATAAATAGGACGTATGATAACCCGTTATTGATCTTATGTCCACCTTTTTATCACGTGAATTATCCACCAATTGTAATATGACTTTTCCGATCTTAACAATGTGACAAATCAATAACGTTCGACTGGTATGAACAGTCTAGCCTCCTTATTGGTCCTTTGTCCGCCTAGCCCTTTACAATTGAGTCCAGAACAAAAATTACAGCTTCTGCTATGCAAATCATTTATTTCAAGCATACTCGGTTTATATACCAGCAAAACAGACCACATCACACCATAAAATAAAATAAAAAATAATAATTGCACATCATCAAGCCAAATGTGGATGTGAACATGGGATACAGTAATCAATAAACTGAACATAATTTGGGAACAGTAAATCGTACAGTAATAATTCATTGGTCAAAATGAAGCTTATAATAAGATGAACATAAATTCACACAATCCAATTAATCAGTAGTTAAACAATAAGAATATATATAGAATAATAGTACATCATTAGGTCCTTGAAGTTATCCGTACTCATGTCTTCACCGGGATATAACAAAATGGAATACTTCAAATTTACCACAAAAGAAATGTAATTCTTCATCACTGAGCTAGTCAGGTTTTATACAGATATGTTTTTACTTGGCATTCATATCATGACGAGATAGAATAAATTACATTAAACTGTAATTATGTTTTCATTCAAGTAACTAATATTAATATCAGAAGGGGTTTTGTTGGATATTATAGAAGTTTTAATAGTTGAAATCATGAGTCAATTGAAGCTGGACCACCATGGAGAACCTGGAAGCACTAGACAGCCGTTTCGTCCTATTATAGGACTCTTCAGCCAATATTAATCTGAATACACTATACAATTAGTGTGAATGAATATTTTACTAAATTTAACAAACAGTTACTAAAATCTAAGGAATATATGTCGTATTATACATCAGTTATTAGAGCATTTGAGTGTGTATATGGTCTATTAAATAGTTTATCATTACATGTTACAACTAGTTCTGTACAAACATCATTACATATTAACCTTGCTAGTCCCCTGATTGTCTTTTTCTTTCGGCTTTTCAAGTATATGAGATCGTATTCTGTAAAGAACATTCAATTATTCGTTTACTGATTATCCAGTTCTTGCTTTTGTAATTGGCCAAATCGCTTTAAAAGATACATTCAGGTTAAAATAAGTTGGATATGTAATCTAAATTTAGGTTCATAATATTAAACGAACAGAAATTCCTGAGAATTATTGTTAAGATCCAAGTGTTGTACCTTTTCTATTAGAGCACTTTTTTTTAAAATCAAAATTATAGATGACTTTATTAGAACGATCGTATTGGAAAAAGCATGTCCCGATAATTAAAACTATTCTACTGATGAGATGTTATGACTAGTGAAAGTTAGTCCGGTCGTATTTAAGATACTTACCGTCAGTAATAATATATGTTTTTTATGCAAGATCGTAACTTAGTTTAAATAGAAGATTATAGTTGTATGAATCTTAATCAATGGTGCAAAGTAAAGCGCTCATTATGAAGTATAAAAGTAATAGAAGCGGTTATTGGGGTGGTAGTAAGAGAGTAATCTTGGGAAGATTATCACTTGGACAAAACAGTCTTTTAATGTCCCTTGATTTTTAATGGCTATCCAACAATAGTCGATATGCGATGTAAACTATCTTGTCCTAACAAGTATCAACATGTATTATGCGTTTACGTGTCATATATTTTAGACATAATGTATTTGAATCATAACCAGTTAAATTATTTTTGTCAGCTGTAACTGTACAACAATAAAATATATCTGATTGTGATCATCAACCGATTAATATTAAAACACCATTAAAACCCTGGAAGAAATAGACAGTCGTTTTGACCTCGAATGGGACTCATTGGATGTTCACATCCCCAATTCCACACGCGAGACTCGAAAACAAGATCTTCTGTCTCACACGCAAACGCTCAACCTCTAAACCACGCGCTGGACTGGAGAACCTGGGTTCAAGTTCCGAATGAGGGACCGTGGGTGTGCACTTCTGAGGAGTCCCATACTAAGACGAAAACAGCCGTCCACTTCTTCCAAGTTTACAATGGTGGTCTAACATTGATCGGTTTATGATGTCAATTAAAAATCCATAATATCCACAACTGATGAGTAATATATCCAGTTAAAATTTATTATCAACTTTCACTTGTTTCACTTATATCAAGATTGAGGAACAAGAAGAGTTACTACTGAAAATTTTAGATCTTCCACCTGGTTCACTTAAAACAAGAGGTTCAGCTAAACGTGCTCTGCAAGCTTGGGTTCAAGAAATTTTCGCTGGGTAAGTTTTGATGAGATATGTATGTATACTCAGATGTTTACAAACTACAAATATGTATTTCATTTGAGACATTTATTGGGAATGATTTTCTATAAAACTATAAAACTTTCATGTCCAATTTTCAGATTTGATAAGGAAAGATAAACAGTTAGATGAAGCTTATGTATCTAGCTGAAAATCAAATTTTTAAGGGTTTTTTAGTGACTAAAATCAAGTGTTCTGTTAAAGACCTATCTTTTATTTATTTAAACATATAAATATTGGTACAAGGAAGTACCAGATATATGTGTCCCACACATATCTCATTTGCTTTGTCTGAGGGCTGTGATACTGCCGAAGTGCCCAAACTGAAGCAGGTGGTTTTCTTAAGGGGCCACACCCGGAGCCTTTGACCTAAAGATCTAATCCACAAGGCAGTGTAATACCATGGGAAGATGCAGTCCCATGGTAGCCGGTGACCAACGATTGGTTCATACGCCATTTGTTCCTTCAGGATACTGTAGTCCATGTGCATCATTGGTTTGGAATCAGGGTTTTCCAATTCCTCTAGGTGGATACTCCACATCCATCAACCCGGTTAAAGCGCCGGACATTCGCTTTTCGTTTTCTCAATTTCGTAAACAATACCTTTACTGCGAGAAGGCAGTGAGTGGGATTTCCCTGGTAGAGGCTATATATTTGCGTAGCCATGTGAGAGCATTTCGAGAGGGAAAGTGGACTCTCCACAATCTTGGCCGTACGAGGGTATTAGGGGGCTAAAGATCTATCAGTTCATTTCTTATAGAGTGCCTTAATTTTAGAATATATTGTTAGTGCTTTACTTGTGTAAAAACTGAGGAAGTCTGATACAAGTAAAAAAACAAGTGGCTACAGATAACTTAGAAATAAGTCCAACCATGTCTAGATACATTAATTTTTGCGTTTTATTCACAATAATCAGTTATATAATATCAGACGGATCAGCGAGGGTACCTAGAATGTTAAGGGGACTGATAATTCGGATTCTGCGACATTACAATTGAGCCATTCAGTCTGAGACTAACCTCCAATAAGATTGAGATATATACAATTGAATGATCACTGATTTCAGCAGTCTTTGTACATAACAAGTGTAGCAACTTAAATAGATTGAGTCTTCTTGTGATTCTGATGATTATCTACTAAATCTTAACTGTATTATCTGTATGGAATAACAGACTCAATTTTATTGTTAAAGAATATATTGTCTTAAATGATATGTAAATCTTAATGACAGACTCCTGTGAAAGCACTTGTTATGTCTATCAAAGAGCTTGTGTTTCATTACTGATCATATCCTATGAACTATCAATTATTGTAGCTTGTTTATCAAAAAAAGGTTTGATTATTTAACTTTGAGCTATACATCTTTTCAATGAACACTAATGATACTACATCGTCACTTAGGCGAAAGTAGGTCAAATTAAGTTTGGACGTCAACTGGCGCATACTTGAGAGTAATATTACATATTGAGTGAAAGTTGTCAATCCCCCTTAAAAAGTTTGTACATTTTATATATGCCAATATTTATCTCATTTTTGTTTTAGTTCTTTCAAAAGAAAGGGATTGTGAGTATGAAGCACTATATTCCTTGTTCCTTGAATGTCTTTTTGATGTTTAAGATGGACACTTATTTTTTATAAATCACATGCTTTTATTGCACCATTAAAAATGTAAAGAAAATATGTTAATGGGCTATAGGTGTTATCACTTGTGACCGAGTGAATGCCCTGATCAATGTATAACGCGATTATCTCCGTCAATTAGAGAGCAGCGAATTATCGATCGCATCAGTGACACATGAAACCTATATGAGCAGTCTACAGTACTTATCGGTCCTGCTTCCTGCCAAGTTCAACCAGTTAAGTACAGAACACCAATAACAGCTTCTGCAATATGAATAATTTATTTCAAGCATATTGGGTTTATACATCAATCAAACAGACTATATCGTACCATAAAATATGAAACAACATTTGTATAAGATCTAGCCATATTTGGCTGTGAATGTGAGAGGCAGCAATTGAATAGACTGGACATAGCTCAAGAATGGCAAATCGTATAATAATAGTTGATAGATCGAACTAAAGCTCATAATAAGGGGGACATGAATATGAATAGTTTAGTTATTTAGCAATTAAACGATAAAAATATATGCATAATGCCGGTCCATAAATAGGTCCTATAATTATCATTCATTATCTTTATCGGGGCACAATAGGTCAAATTGTTCTTTTTTTGTAAATTTTTTGAATTACACTATTTGTTAAAATAAATAAACACCACAGGGGGATGGGTGTTTTTCTGTGCCTTAAACCTTCATGTTTTTCCTTTTTTTACCAAAATTTTTGTCTCGATATCTACGTAATACAACTATCTAGAATCATCATAATTAGTGTATAAAGTAATGAGAGTAAAGTTAAATCACGTATTATAAACTTTTATAACAATAATTCTATGCTTTGTACTGAATTAAGACTATATTGAGGCAATATACACAGTATGTACTTATGCCAATAAGAGACTGACCAGTTGCAGTCCTAACGCATCGATGCGAAAAATTCAAACAAGCAATACTAAATGAATTTAAACTTCACCCCATCGCACAAGCAAGTGGCTATCAAGACTTAGTGACCGAGTGGATAACGTGATGGCGTTTGAAGCGAGGGTACTGGGTCCGAGTCCCAGAGTGAACATCAACTCTGAAATGCAGGTACATCCAGCTGACGAGTCACAAATAGGACGAAACGTGCATCCTGGATTCCACTGCTAGCCACTATCCATCTCTGCTTAAAATACTAAGTGTTATTTTGTACTGGAGAGTTTTTAAATGGATTCATAAGATTCTAGTAAGATATTATAATGTGTACAATGTAAATATGTCAACAATTAAAACTTATTGAAATGGAACTGTCGTTAGAAATGTGAGCAGATTATGGATAAAATAGTGCGAGGGTTGAGTAATGTTTGTTACTGACAGCGTCAAGGTTATAACGAAATGCCTTTTTCTCCTGGTGATCGACTGGATTATGAAGACATCAACATCTGGGGGGAAGAACAGGATACAATAGACAGCTAGGATACAGCTGGACAATTTAGGCTTCGCAGATGATCTGGAACTTCCATCACACACGCAACAACAATTGCAGGAAAAGACGACCAGTGTAGCAGCAGCCTCAGCAGCAGTAGGTTTCAATATAAACAAAGGGAAAACGAAGACTCTCAGATACAATACAACATGCACCAATCGAATCTCATTTGATGGAGAAGCTTTGGAGAATGTGGAAACCTTTGCATGTCTAGGCAGCATCAATGATGAACACGGTAGATCAGATGCATATGTGAGGGCGAGGATGGGCAAAGCAAGAGCAGCATATCTACATTGAGAAACATCTGGAGCTCAAAACCATTGTCAATCAACACCAAGATCAGAATTCTCATTACAAATGTCAAGACAGTTCTACTGTATGGGGCGGAGACGTGGAGAACTACGAAAGTCATCATCCAGAACATACAGGTGTTTATCAAAAGTTTTCAACTTCGTATCCATTGGCCAGACACTATCAGCAACATGTTACTATGGAAGACAACAAACCAGATTTCATCCAGTAGAGGAAGAAATCAGGAAGAAGCGGTGGAAGTGGATTGAGTACACTTTGAGAAAACCACCAAACTGCATCATGAGGCATACCCTAACTTGGAATGGTGAAGGAAAGCGGAAAAGAGAAAGACCAAACAACACATTACGCCAAGAAATGGAGACAGACATGAGAAGAATAAACAACAGCAGGATAGAACTAGAAAAGAAGGCCCAGGACAGAGTGGGTTTGAGAATGCTGGTTGGCGGCCTATACTTCATTGGGAGTAACTGGCGTAAGTAAGTAAGTAAGTTTTAATACCACTTTGTGATTTTCATTGTAGATCAGATTTCCTTAAACCACATATATTAAATCCGATAATCAGATATGTGAATAAATGTGAATTTATTGGTGTTATACACTGATCTTGTGGTTTGGTTAAATACACTGAAATACACTGAGATTTTATAGGACCATATTTTCATCATTATAGTATCTCTTTCTAATCTCCATTAGTATCTGCCTTGTTCTTAAAAACAACTTGATTAGCTTATCAATGCCCTTTTTTTATTTTTAATAAATGAGACAGTCACCATAAGTTAGGCCTCATAAATCCTTCAATATACTTTTAAATATGTATTTTAGGCATAGATGGTAAGAACTAATAGTTCATTAAGTGGTCACTAAAATTTGATTTCTGGGACAATAACAAGTGTGACGAAGCATCATCCTATCATTGATTACATTCATTTTCTTTCATTTAAGTTTCTAGGTTACAAAGTTTTAAGAAACAATAAGGGAAACTCATTTCTTATTTGTAAATCAAAAACTACTTTTATGTTTATTATGATAATGGAACTTGAGATCATCCATCAGTAGGATAAATTTTCTGATTATCCGTAAAATTATTATAGTTAGATTTATGTTTGACTGTTAAAGGCTATCATATTTATGATAAAGTTGGAGATTGAGGGTTTGATAGTAGTATAGTGAAAGAGAATACAGATGAGAGTTATAGAATGTATTCGAACACTATATTACATAACATCTTAGTAAAATCTGACAATTATACAGTAAATACTTCATTTGCAAAATGTCTGCCAATCGTCTGAGACCTCATTGTTATTTTTCGTTTCCACAACAATCATTCATTGTTCTCGTTCTTTTTTCGTTGTTCTTCTTAATCTTCTGCCTCCAGGCATCCCACTTTTGATTGATAATACATACTACTTATACCTGTTGAAATAAGTAGCACACACCATAGTTGCATCTATGGAGTATTTCATTTTAGAACATGATATCTATTATTCACTCATTTATTGTTGATAATGCTTCACATAATTTATTGATAGTCTGTGTCTACAGACCATAATCTGACGTTTCTAATATGTCATTATATCCTATGTTAAATTCTATATACAGAAAATATGATGTCCAGATTCGTGATTTTGGTCCAAGTTGGCGTGATGGAATAGCATTCAATGCTATGGTGCATAATATTGATTCCAGACTTGTTGAAATGGACAAAGTAAAGACTAGAACACCAAAAGAAAATTTAGAACACGCATTTACACAAGCTGAAAAGCATCTGGGTATACCAAGACTTTTGGATCCTGAAGGTTAGTGTTTAGATTGGTTTGAATCCAATAGACTGGATATTATAGTTTGGATTTAACTTAAGTATTTTTATTCGATATAATGGATAAACAGAAGGGGTTTTGTGGATATTTCAGTAGTTTCATAGTTGAAAACATGAGTCCATTGAAGCTAGACCACCAAGGAAAACCTGAAAGCACTGGACGGCTATTCCGTCCTATTTTGGGACTCCTCAGCAGCGCGCATCCACGATCTCGAATCTCCGACTATAGGACGAAACGGCCGTTCAGTCCTTCCAGGTTTTCCTTGGCGACCTAGGTCATATGAAATCTTGTGTTTCATATGCTGAACAACAGTTTTGATTTATTTTAGATGTCGATGTTGACAGACCAGATGAAAAGTCAATTGTAACATATGTTGCTCAATTTTTCAAAGCTTATCCGGATGCAGGAAGACGAAGATCAGATTCAGTAAGTAATATTTACTTATCAGTATGGGGTTGTGGAGTGTGTTAATTTTTTGATAGAGATCATGAGTCGATGAATGTTAGACTTCCATTGAAAACTTCGGAGAAGTGGATATCCATTTCCATCTAGTATGAGACTCTTCAGCCGTGTGCATCCATGATCCCACACGTGAGATTTGAACCCAGGATCTTCGATCTCGTGCTCGAACGCCTATATTTCAGCCTTTTTCGTTCAACTTTTGCGAAGTGAACTGACTATTTCATTGAGAAAAGAATTATAAATTCATGTCACCTACTGAATTATGTTTCAGTAGTATAAAACTTTATATCAAAATTGTGTTGATTTTTTGAAGGATAAATGAGTATTCACAGTATTTTTTTTGTTATTGTTTATTTTAATGCATAATACTAAAGCCTACCAAAACGAATGTCAAAGTGAAACTTGATAATTTAATGAAATTTATTCGAGAATCTGAGTCAAGAATGAAAACAGTTCGATTTGGGCATACTAATTTAAATGAACAATATCAGGTAACATTAAATTAATTTTATGCTTGATATAACGAAACTATGATGTCTTTAAGTAATCTGTGACTCGGTTATCATTTTAATATGCGTTTATGAATAGAATTTAAATAAAAAGATACTAACTTCCTTACGTAAACATGTCACCCTACGTCGTGGAGGAGCATATGTCATACAGCTGCTCTCTCCATCTAACCTTGTCCTAGGCAATACTTTCCAGTTCATTCTAATTGCTATTCATTCTTTTCATGTTTGCTTTGTATTCTCCGTACAGTGTGTTTTCTGGTTTTCCATTTTTCTGTTTCCTTTCATGATTCCAAGCTAGTGTTATCCTCGTGATGCAGTTTGATGATTTCCACAATCTATGTCCGATCCACTTTCAACTTCGTTTCCTAATTTCCTGTTCAGCTAGGCGCTAGTTTGTCTTCTTCACACGGAAAATATTAATAACACTTTAGTAATACACCTGTATGATATGATCCAATATGTTCTTTTGAAGATTTCTACGTTCGATATGATTTCGTCTAATCAGCTTATCATTAATTTGATTTAATTAACTTGACTTTCATTTCGAGAAGACTTCATATTAGTATTGATTATGAGATTGAATTCTCTAAATATGTACATCTCAAAACTTGGCAACTACATTTTTTAGACGACTTACTAACCTACGCCTGCTACTCCTCGTGGAGGAGCATAGGCCGCTCACCAGTATTCTCCACTCAACCGTGTCCTGGCCAATCCCTTCAACATCTTTCCCGTTACCATTCATCCTTTTTTCATATCTACTTCTATTTCCCGGCGTATTGTGTTCTTTGGCCTTCATCTTTTCCTCTTCCCTTCACCATTACAAGTTAGGGATTGCCTTGTAATGCACATTGGTGATTTCTTTGATGTATGTCGTATCCACCTAAAACGTTCTTTTCCTAATTTCCTCTTCAGATGGGAGCTGGTTTGTCCTCTCCCATAAAACGCTGATGGTATCCGGCCAATGGATGTTGAGTATTTTGCTTAGATAACTGTTTATAAATACTTGGACCTTCTTGATGATGGTTGTAGTAGTACTATTATGTTTCAGCTCCGTTCAGTAGAACTGGCTGTCTTAACGTTCGTTTTAAAACGAGCTAGATTTTTATTCAGCTTTGTCTATAAATAAAGATGACTTCAGGTAATCTAACTAAAAATAAGTCAGTTATTCACCTAACTTGGAATGAATAAACACAGAGCATTAACTAGTTTGATAAAACAAAGTAAATTAGACTCATTATAATGATAGTTTGAAATGACACTTAACGATTATACTGGAATTGAGATATAATTATCAATTGAATGCAGTAAGCTGATTTGGGAAAAGAAAGTAGTGACCATAATCCTCTTAAAAAAAAACGAGAACCATAGCCAGTATCCATAGCAAACCCATGTCCAATATGAGCATAGCAAGACCAGAAAATGGTTTGAATAGTTTTTCTGGTTAGCGTTTTTTTAGCGAGTTAGTTTTTCTACGGGATGGGGTCGCTAACCCCATGTCCAACCCTCCTCCTTTACTCGGGCTTGGGAGCGGCAGTAAAGGATGAATAACAACTGGAAAGAACTGGAAAGGATTGCCCAGGATAGAGTTGGATTAAGAATGTTGATGAGAGGCTTATGCTCCTACACGAGGGGTAACAGGCGTAAGTAAGTAAGTAAGTAAGACCAGAAAATGATACAGTATAATATGAATTCATTCTTATCTCGTGGGGACTTTATCAACTGATTACAACCGTGTTCATTTTGAATTTCACTCTTTTGCTTAGGAAATGATAATAATAATAATAATAAGTACTCCTTCTTGTATTGATAGGTATATGAAGAGTTAATTACAAGAAAAGAGATGGAAGAAGAAAATTATGAATCATTGAAAGATCAATGGTATTCTGGTTTAATATCTCATACTGATTCATTAATCAATCCAAGTGAAGTAGAAATTTTAGAAGAATCTTGGAATCATTTTAACGATATTATGAATGAATGGTTATGGGAAATAGATGAAAAAATACCTGGTGAATTTGGTCGTATTGCAAAATGGTTAAGTCAAGCTGAAAAATGGTTTAAACAAGTAGGTTTAAAATGGTATCAAAAACCATCTGGTACTCAAGCGATGGGATTTTGTGTCACAGTAAATCAATCATGGCGTCCTTCAAGTGCTGAACCACCAAATTCTCCTCCATCAAATGAATTAATAGATAAGCTACAAAATGAAAGATTGGTAAGTGATACAATGAAAATATGAGTAAGTATATTACTTGATTAGATTACTTTCTCTTTATACATACCATACACATGATAGTCATTAATTTAAGTCATAACTTATGGCGACAAACATATCAGGAATCAATCAGTTAACTCCTCTCAACCATACTAAAAGTGGATTGTATTATATTGTCAATTAACTAATGATGAATTATACAGACTATTTAATTAAAATATCAAGCTCTTTAATAAACATACAGCTTATTATAGTCAGCAAAGATGGATAGCGGTTAGCAATGGAATCCAGGATATACATTTCGTCTTATTTGGGACTCGTCAGCTGGATGTATCTGCATTTCAGATTTGATGTTCACTCTGGAATTCGAAACCAGTACCGTTCGCTTCAAACGCCATCGCCTACTGGATTCCAAGGCTAGCCACTATCCATCATTGCTTACAATGCTTGTGAATTAAGGCAAAATCAAGGCAATACACACAGTATGCACATATGCCAATAAGAGACTGATCATTCGCAGTCCTAAACACCAATGAGAAGATTCAAACAAAACAATACTAAGTGAATTTATACATCTTATTAGTTCATCAGCCTATATTATATGTGAAAACACTTGAGGAATCTAAATATTGGGCGAAATAAATGTTCATCATCATACATTTATTGCTACTATCTTCTTTTTTCTAGTGTTATCATTATACTACTTATTTTCCTGATAAATTTGAAAATATGAAAAATAATTTAATGTTTGAATTCTTGAGTCAGTTAAAGCTAGACCACTATGGAAAACCTGATAGAAGTAGACGCCAATTTCGTCCCAGTACGGGATTCCTCAGCCGTTAGGCATTAATACCATTGGATACCGGCTCAGTGGTCTACAGGTTAAGCGTTTGCGTGAGAGACAAACAGGTTCTGGCTTGGAATAGAAAAATATAAGATCAAATCACAATGATTAAGATGGATGAATATTTTCATTTTGAGTGTTCTTAACACTTGGGTTTTTACGATTTTTTTTTTCAAGGAAACCACTTCAATATTTCCTAATCAATTTTCCCAAGCACAATTATTTCAAAAAAGGCTTTGTAATATTTGCCGAAACTATATTGATAATATTACTACCATTTCTAATCTTAATGTGTTAGCAACTGTTGAGAAGCTTTGAAATACAATGATGAAGTTATTATATCCTAAACTTTTATGGTTCTAACTTTATTCAACTTAATAAGAATTTTCGGTAGGGGGTTTTGCGGAGATTTCAGTAATTTTATACTTAAAATCATCGGTTAATTGAAGGTAGACCACCATGGAAAATCTAGAAGTACTGGACAGCCATGGTTAAACGCTCGCACGCGAGACTGATAGGTCCTGGATTCAAATCTCTCTAGGCGGGATCGTGGATGCGCACTGCTGAGGAGCCCCACAATAGAACGAAACGACCCTTCAGTGCTTCCAGGTTTTCCATGGTTGTCTACCTTCAATTGACTCATAATTTCAACTGTATAAAATTAATAAGAATTTATCGAAGAGGAATTTATATTTTTATATTTTTTTCCTTCAAACCGTCTTCACTTGACATTATGATTAGTAATCAAGGTGGCAAATTTGAACCGACTAGGTAACATGTCTATCATTAAAATGAGAGGAATTGATTTCAAACTACTGATAGTGTGGTGTGGGTTACTTATATCCTTATAAGTAGTATATTGTGATGGTCAGATTATAGAATGTATTTTGGCAGAAGATCAATAAGGAAGGAACAGGAACGATACACAATCGGTATGAAAATGCATGAATAATGAAATCAGAGAAGATGAACTGATATTTGTAGAAGGAATAGTCAATATTGAGACAATTGATGGTTATTTTGCAACCTGACCGTTTTGCTGTATGGTTGTAAGATTTTAGTGAGATAGTCTATAATTTGTGTTTAAATGCATTCGATTGTCCCCAACCGTCTTCATGTTCACTGCAATGATAAATAAAGCTTGTCAATTTGATGGTACCCATTTTAACATTTTGATTATTGATTATTCAGGTATTCATTATTGCATACTTTTACATTTTCCCTAGGAAATCTTTGGAACAAATAATCAAAAATTAAACTCTATTCGTGATGATTTATCTCGTATTATTGATAATGAAAAGAAAATCAATTTACCAAATACATTAATTGATCGATTAAGTACACGTTTATCAAAAATTATTGGTTATGAACCTGGTCATAGTGCAGTTTTATGTGCAGCTAAATCACGTAGAACATTTCTTGATATATTATATAATGTTAATCGTACAGAAACTAATACAGGTGTTCGTATACGTAGTCGTCGACGTGAAAGTGCTACAGGTTTTGAATATCGTTTTTGTAATTGGTTAGATTTAGTCGATGGTAATATACATACTGAAACTAAAGAAATTGTCAATGGAATTCTTAATGATTATCAGGTAATTATTATGGTTTAATATAAGAATTTATATTATTAGATATTGTAAGTAATTTATTATTTCAATTTAATAACTCTACTGGTTACTGCTTCTCACTAGAACTCTAGGAAATACCTCATAGAGCCAGTCACTAATGAGCATATGATCAATATCAAAAGGAAGTTTTGTGGAGAGTTTAGCAATTTTTATATAATTCAGATCGTAAATCATTTGAAGTTAGACCACCATGGTAAACCTGAAAGCACTGGACGGCCGTTTCGTCTTATTTTGGGACTCCTCAGCAGTGAGCATCCATGATCTCGCTTCGCGAGATTTGAACCCAGGACCTACCAGTCTGCTGGCTCAGTGATCTATCGGTTAAGTGCTCTGGCTCGAGACTGATAAATCCTGGGTTCGAATCTCGTGAGGCGGGATCGTGGATACGCACTGCTGACGAGTCCCACAATAAGACGAAATAGCCGTCCAGTGCTCTCAGGTTTTCCATGGTGGTCTAACTTCAATTGACTCATGATCTCAACTATATAATACAAGTTTGTGTAAGCTTTATTACGACGATATTTTTAAATAACCTATGTATTCACTCATAATGACTTGGATACCAAATTTTAAAAAACTATTTTTAGATTAATCTTATGACCGGTTCCCATCAGATTTGATGAAAGTGGAAAATGATTGATTATTATCTGTTATTAGGTTAAAATAGTTTTATCATTGTTGAAAGCGTGAGTCAATTGAAGCTAGACCACCATGGAAAACCTGGAAACACTGGACGGCCGTTTCGTCCTATTATGAGACTCCTCAGCAGTGCGCATCCACGAACCTGCTCTCGCGAGCGAGATTCGAACCCAGGACCTACCAGTCTCGAGCCGAAGCCCTTAACCGATAGACCACTGAGCTGGCCGGCATCCAACGGTGTTAATGTCTAACTTCAACTGATCCACGAAGTTGAGCAACCATTCACCAGTTGTCTTCAGTGAGTTCCTATCTCACAACAGACGTGGTTTTGATAGTTTTATTTATAGTTTTATTTATTTTTGTAGCCAACTAGGTAGACAGGATACAATTAATAAATGCATCACGTGTATATTAGCTGTCTGTTATGACCTGCGACCGAGTGGGTGCCTTGTTAACGCATAACATAATAAAACCGCCAATCAAAGAGCAGCGAATTATCGATTGGAACAGTGATACACGAAAACCATATGAGCAGTCTTAAGTACTTGTTGGTCCTGCTTCTGCCTAGATCAGCCAGTTTAGTCCAGAACAGCCTCTGCGGTATGAATCATTGTATTTCAAACATACTGAGTTTATATTACCAAACAGACTGACCACATCATACCAATAAAAAATAGAAAAAAACAATTGTACAAGACTTAGCCAAATGTGGCTTTCAATAGGGGGAACATTAATTAGTAGACTGGGTGTAATTCATGAATGGTAAATCGTATAATAATAGTCCATGGATCAAAATAAAGTTTACAATAAGGGGGACACGAATATGAATACTTTAGTTATATAGTGATTATGCGATAAAAAATATATGCATAATACTGGTCCATAAATGGTTCTCAAAAGTTACCATCCATAATTCTCTTCGGGATACAACACAGTCCACATACATATAAACCGATAAACGCAATAGTATGCAATACAATTATTTTTATGTCATTCAAGTTTACTTTCTGAAGTAATAATGACCATGATCTCGAAGTATGTATGATCAGTATCTCATATTGGTCTTTACTTCAGAAAAAATAGTTATTCAAATCATTTTAAATCTGCCGAAGGGTTTCAACAGTTTTTCAGTAGAATATCTAACAAATTAGTTACCATCATTTCATTCTATTGACTAAATTATTATGAGAATTATTATATAAAAATCTGGAATAGATGGAAATGGATTATTTCCTTCTTTATGCTTGTTACTCCCAATAGAGCATAGGCCACCGACCACCATTCTCCAACACACTGTGTCCCGGGACTTCCTTTCTAGTCCTATCCAATTTTTGTTCATTTTTCTCATGTCTGTTTCCATTTCTCTGCGTAATATGTTATTTGATCTTTCGGTTTTTCTTTGGCTATGAGGATTCCATGTGAGGGCTTGCCTTGTAACGCAGTTGTGTGCTTTCCTCAACCTATGTTCTATCCATTTACAGCGACGTAAATGGATTAAATAAAACAAATTTGTCCAGTAGCCTTCATTACTGAAATCTTTGAATGAAATATCACAATGATCTTCTACCATGCAATTAATCATGAACACATTAACTGAATTATATATAACTTACTTACTAACGCCTGTTACCCCCAATGGAGCATAGGCCACCGACCAGCATTCTTCAACCCACTCTATCATAGGCCTTCCTTTCTAGTTCTATCTTCTCATGTCTATTTACATTTATCGGCGTAATGTATTCTTTGATCTTCCTCTTTTCCTTTAACCTTCAGGTCTCCATATGAGTGCTTGTCTTGTAACACAGTTCGATGAAACTTTCTATAAAGACAATAACTTATTCTTCTTATTATTCTATGAATAGTAGACTATTAAAGTCTAAATGTTTTTTGATATAGAAATGTATCATAATATATAAAGATCCTAAGAGTTCATCTAGCACATATTATCGTTGCTATGGAACAATTTACTAGGAGATTAAAATGTATCCACTGTAACCCCCCAATTACCTTTCCTTTTTATTTTGTATTCCTTTTATTTAATAACCAGCTTTGTTTAAAAACCGAACATGTACCAGAGAAATTAGATCAATGTAAATTAGATCTATCGAAACATTTTAATTTATTAATTAAAATTAATCAATATGATGATCAACTTTTACCTCAAAATGCCTTGGATATTATTCAACATTGGCAAAATGATTGTGAAATTAAATGGAATTCAGATAAATTTAATCAATTAATCCAATTAGGTGAACGTATTAAACAACGTTTAACTATTTGGGATAAATTAGATCATTGTAATAAAAATATAGAAGTAAGTTTATGTGTTATATCTTGTATCCTGATTGATTAGAATGACGTATCGATGGCACCGATTAGAGAGTAGTGATGTATTGATCGGATCAGTGACATACGGAACCTGTATGAGCGATCTAGAGTACTTATCAGTCCTGCTTTCTGCTTAGACCAGCCAGTTAAGTCCAGAACACCAATAACAGGCTCTACAATATGAATCATTATTCTCAAACATAATGGGTTTATATACCAAACCGATAGACCATATCATACCATAAAATAGGAAACAACATTTATACAAGATTTAGTCAAATATAGCTGTGAATTCGGGAGGCAGTAATTAATAGACTGTCTCCTCTATTCACAGCCACTTTTGGGTTGTTTATGCATAGTTTTTATTTCATATTTTATGGTGCAATGGAGTTCGGTATATTTGTTTATAAACCTCATATTGTTTTAAATCTAAGTATAGTAGGGTCTGGTTCTTGGTCTCAAGGTAGAACATAAAGAGGAGGTTCCGAACAGAGCTCAGCTGTCGGCTCAAGGTCAATAATACTTATCGGACGTGTAAGTGGCTAAGTCAGAAACATTAAGCTATATAGTAAATAATGGACACGAAATGAACCGAATTAAAATAAGGATTTTGATTAATAACGTGGCCTGTGGTTTTCGTCAGTGGTTTACAAGGTTTAACTCTCAGCAACAGGTTCCAAGCCTAATGAGACGTACTCAAAGAAAAGAAAACTGCTATGGACAACAGCTTTAGAGGGATCAAAGAAGCAATAGCTTCAATATTCTGGTAGGTTCTGGGTTGCAAGTAGCACAAACACAAAGCACTAATCTCTGTCGATACCCTGGACAAGATTTAAGAAATTAAGAATGTTATGATTTCTCATTATTATCCAGCTATTCCCTATTGCTTAGTTCATAGGCCAAAATAAAGCTCATAATAAGAGGGACATGAATATGAATAGTTAAGTTACTTAACCATTACACGATAGGAAATATACGTATCTTATTGGTCCATAAATAGTTCTCGAAAGGAACCACTCATAATTCTCTTCGGGACATAACAGTTTGAACTGTGTTAATTAAAATCATGAAACCACCTTTCAAATATAGTATCGTTTAAGTAATCTATGAAAAACTCATAACGTGGATTCAACACATTTTTATGGAGAGACGATAATTTATGGACGAGCCAGTCAAATTTTAAGATATCAGGTCTAAGATTTATGGCGCTAGATCCATCCACTTATTTGGCTAAACATTTTAGCGTTCCTCAAAGGTCATCCATAAATTATAGTCTCATCGTTTTTATTCCTTATAAAAATCAAAATTTATTGGTATATAGTCAAACTTCGATGTACAATCTGTTGATACAAACTAACTATCCTCACTAAATTAGGTGTAGTTAGGTTCGATATTACAGTGCGGTGGTTGAAAGTCGAGTCTCGCAAACATCAGATTACTCCCTCACCACATAAACAGCACTGAAGTTTATTTAAAGTGGATTAACGCCTGATTAAATGAAGTCGGTTCACACATCTTTTCTAATGCGCGTCATTTTGCTTCGTCCGTCTGATTGTCTGTCCAGATCAATAAGTGTACAAAATATACGTATTCATACATACATTCTCGTATTTGATTTCGTTATTCATCAACGTGATTTAATTCGACGATTATATACGACGATTGACGATATGTATATTTCGATAATGATCAACATACAATATTACTGGAGTCAAATATCAGATCACCCAACACCAAATATTTGATTTTAACGAGTATTTTGATTGTTGATTATTTCTCACCCTTTTTTTTATAGTTAGGGGGATATTTTACTAATATTACCAAACAGGGTATACAACATTGATCAATATTTTGTCCACCATTTGTTGTATAATGTAATAAATCAATCATAGATGCTTACAAAATTTTTCCCATTTAACACGTAGCAACTAACAGACATGACAAAAGTTGATAAAAACATCTACCTATATGCAAGCAGTTAGTTCATTCAAATAAACTACCTTATTCAGTCTTTGTTTGTAGTTAATCATATAAGAAAGAAGTTCATTTACGGTGCTTATTATTAGTTAATGCCTTGTGTTTATCTACGAAATGTAGAATATTCTCAACTGTTATAGTAGAAAACTGTTTTACTACCGAACGGGTTTTGAAATGGTAGAGAAGATTTGTAACTCAGATGAAGTTTGTAATGATGATGTCGTTCAGAAGGACGATGAAAGCTCCACGACCAAATCACCTTGCTCAGAGAACAAAACTACATCAAAACCAAAAGGGTTTACCCATAAAAGACTATGAGCTGATATTAAGCATGTTTTTTTGTTCTGACTAATATTATATACCCATTTCTCTATACTTCAATCAATGGTAATAAATGATATTTAAAAGTGGCAATTGATAAGAGTTAAGACAAAACAAGACGACGAAAACAAGATGATGAGCTCAATACTTGGACTAAATATCTATGAATTTCCTTTCTATATATGTTTCTTTTTATCAGAATTTACTGTCACAATTTGAAGATTCTACATTTTCTGAAAATGATTGGTTAAATCGACGAGATGAAATATTTTTGTTATTAGAAGAAGCTAATGAAGCCGCTCATTATCTTGGTGAATCAGCTGATCATCATAAATTGGAAATGTTTCGTAAAAGGATTGAGAAAGTAGAATCCAATGTGAGTAAATAAGTTGAGATTACAATTTATATATTTCTTTACGATTATTACTATCAGTATAGAGAATTTATGGAGATTGTAGAGCTTCCACAATTTAATTTACTAACTAATCGAAGTTGGGCCATCATTGAAAATGTGGAAGAACTGGAAGGTCATTTCCTCGTTGTATGGAATTTCTCATCTGCGAATACTTGATTTCTAGACCACTAGGCCAAGATCTAATGATGCACATGCCTAAGTTCAATCAATTCACAATATCGCAAAACCCTCATCCATTGCCTGTGGTGGACAAATGTCTTACACTAGTGATAGGTGTAGTTCCATCTGTGTCAGGTGTCATACTTTCATCCACTGCAAATAATAGATGAAGGTTGTGCAACATTATGAAGTTAGGCATGTGCATCATCGGATCCTGGGCCAGTGATATGGAAGTCAAGTATTTACAGGTGAGACTGAGCTCGATTTCCATGTGCAATGTAGTGGATGTTCACTGACGAGAAGTTCCATGCAAGGACGAAATGACCTCCGACTTCTTCACTGTTTTCAGTAATGGCCTAACGAAGATAAGATCACTATTTACATCTTATAAATTATTACTGTAAACCTAATTTCACTTGTTAGATAGATTTTAGTCCGAATTGACTGTCAGTAGGTTGTAAAGTTTCACCATTTTCTACTAAATGAATGGTAAGATTAACTAAGGACTAAAATAGACAGTAGATAATCTCTATCTCATGGGTTAATCTGAGTTTAAAACATGCAACAAATAATTTGTGAATTGATTGTATACTAATTACTGGTAGTATGTGATCTGGTTGTATATACAAAGTTTTCTTGTAACACACTTCGATTGTTTTGTAATGTTTGTATGATTTCTGTGTTCTTTCAGATGTATATCAATATATGTTATTATTTAATAATGCTTGGTACTCTATCACTAAATGAAGCCAGCTAGAGAATCATTAAAAACTAGGGAGAACTGGATAGATGTATCAACAGTGCTTACCCATTACGAAACAACTGATCAATTACCAAACTTAAATATCATATACTATATTGCACAACCCTCATCCATTGACTGAGGCGGACAAATGTCTCACACCGGTGACCTACATATCATATAGAAAGCAAAAGATCATTTAACCAACGAATATAAATCTAATGAATCATATTTTAAGTTTCCTCATTCATTTTCATTACTGAATCATCAGAGATCCAAAGATGTTGAGGATATCTTGACACTATTGAGAAAATAGATAACTCAGAATTTTGAACACAAACTTTCTTCCCACACATATTAGTAATTATCATTCCTGATACGCTTCAATTTGTAAGGGATCCGTCTGTAAATTTTTAAAATGCATAGGGACCTATATTATCAGAAGTGGGTTAGTGGAGATTTTAGTAATTTTATAGTTGAAATCATGAGTCAATCAAAGCTAGACCACCATGGAAAACTTGGAGATATTTCCTGAAGTTCTAGTAAGAAGCACTGACCAATGGAGTTCAACCGGGTCTGAACGCAATGGTGGATGTGTCGCTCAAATTGGTGGATTAGTTGAAGTTAGATATTAACACCGTTGGATGCCAGCTCAGTGGTCCAAAGTTTAAGTGTTCGCGCGCGACACCGATAGAACCTAGATTCAAATCTTGCGAGGCGGGATCGTGGATGTGCATTGCTGAAGAGTCCCACAATAGGACAAAACGACCATCCACTGCTTCCAGGTTTTCCATGATTGTCTTGCTTCAATTATCAACCTGATATGATTTACTTTCTTGTTTCTTTTTTAATTAGATTTTCAAAAGAAAACAAGCTAATTTAGAAGAACTTGAAGCAAAACGAATGGCGGATAAATTGAAATTTGAAAATGAAATGAATAATTATTTAAATAAAATTGAATATTGGATAGATACAATAAAAGATTTAATTGAAAATAAAACGAATTCTAAACCGAGAAATTTACAAATACGATGTACTTCAAATGAGTTCTTAATGATTATTGAACAATTACAAGAGTTATTAAATCAACAACCACAAGTAAGTAATATGTCTAATAGAAAGTATTAATAAGATGTATTTTTAGTAGTTGTTATAAAGGTAGGATACTTGGTATAACAGTCTTTTCATTTTTTACATGTATGTAGGATGTTATTTTGCCTTGTAGTGAACAGAACACTGGTTGGGGACAATCGAATGTATGTATTTAAGCAAAGATTACAGACTATCTCAGTAAATTCTGATTACCAAACAATGAACAGTCAATTTGCAAATTAACAACCAATTGTTTCAATCTTCACTGTTTCTTCTCTTATTCCATTGCTCATGCATTTTCCAAACGATTGCGCTTCATTTCAGTCTTTTGTTCACCGGTCTACTGCCAAAATACATTCTATGTCTGACACACACCATATACTACTTATATGGGTATAAGTAGACCACACCACACTCGTCCCCCCTTTAAAGCATTCGACCATGCGGTGGTTCTGCTCGCCACGCCACTATCTTCTTTCACCACAGTCTGTGCCAAACACTCCGTCGGAATGTCGAGTCTGCGGCGCGCTGACCTCCATAGCTCCGTCGACCTGCCGGGGCACCAACATCCGCATCCACCCGGCACCTGGGACGTTCAACACCCGTACTCCACCGGCCTGCTGAGCCATCTACATCCGATGTCCGCCCAGCAGCCACACGTCCCACTGCTCCTCTCCGTCGACAGCACCCGCTACAGCCAACGCCGCCCCGCCAGAACACTCCATTCGACGCCACCCCTCCGCACCAGACTGCCCCAACTAGCACTTTTACTCCAGACCGGCAGCGGCATCCGCAGAACAGCACCCTTCCTCCTCCCGGTTGGCAGCGACACCAAATGTAGTGAACAGAACAGGACTTGGGGACAATCGAATGTATTTAAGCAAAGATTACAGACTATCTCAGTAAATTCTGATTACCAAACAATGAACAGTCAATTTGCAAATTAACAACCAATTGTTTCAATCTTCACTGTTTCTTCTCTTATTCCATTGCTCATGCATTTTCCAAACGATTGCGCTTCATTTCAGTCTTTTGTTCACCGGTCTACTGCCAAAATACATTCTATGTCTGACACACACCATATACTACTTATATGGGTATAAGTAGACCACACCACACTCGTCCCCCCTTTAAAGCATTCGACCATGCGGTGGTTCTGCTCGCCACGCCACTATCTTCTTTCACCACAGTCTGTGCCAAACACTCCGTCGGAATGTCGAGTCTGCGGCGCGCTGACCTCCATAGCTCCGTCGACCTGCCGGGGCACCAACATCCGCATCCACCCGGCACCTGGGACGTTCAACACCCGTACTCCACCGGCCTGCTGAGCCATCTACATCCGATGTCCGCCCAGCAGCCACACGTCCCACTGCTCCTCTCCGTCGACAGCACCCGCTACAGCCAACGCCGCCCCGCCAGAACACTCCATTCGACGCCACCCCTCCGCACCAGACTGCCCCAACTAGCACTTTTACTCCAGACCGGCAGCGGCATCCGCAGAACAGCACCCTTCCTCCTCCCGGTTGGCGGCGACACCAAATGTAGTGAACAGAACAGGACTTGGGGACAATCGAATGTATTTAAGCAAAGATTACAGACTATCTCAGTAAATTCTGATTACCAAACAATGAACAGTCAATTTGCAAATTAACAACCAATTGTTTCAATCTTCACTGTTTCTTCTCTTATTCCATTGCTCATGCATTTTCCAAACGATTGCGCTTCATTTCAGTCTTTTGTTCACCGGTCTACTGCCAAAATACATTCTATGTCTGACACACACCATATACTACTTATATGGGTATAAGTAGACCACACCACACTCGTCCCCCCTTTAAAGCATTCGACCATGCGGTGGTTCTGCTCGCCACGCCACTATCTTCTTTCACCACAGTCTGTGCCAAACACTCCGTCGGAATGTCGAGTCTGCGGCGCGCTGACCTCCATAGCTCCGTCGACCTGCCGGGGCACCAACATCCGCATCCACCCGGCACCTGGGACGTTCAACACCCGTACTCCACCGGCCTGCTGAGCCATCTACATCCGATGTCCGCCCAGCAGCCACACGTCCCACTGCTCCTCTCCGTCGACAGCACCCGCTACAGCCAACGCCGCCCCGCCAGAACACTCCATTCGACGCCACCCCTCCGCACCAGACTGCCCCAACTAGCACTTTTACTCCAGACCGGCAGCGGCATCCGCAGAACAGCACCCTTCCTCCTCCCGGTTGGCAGCGACACCAAATGTAGTGAACAGAACAGGACTTGGGGACAATCGAATGTATTTAAGCAAAGATTACAGACTATCTCAGTAAATTCTGATTACCAAACAATGAACAGTCAATTTGCAAATTAACAACCAATTGTTTCAATCTTCACTGTTTCTTCTCTTATTCCATTGCTCATGCATTTTCCAAACGATTGCGCTTCATTTCAGTCTTTTGTTCACCGGTCTACTGCCAAAATACATTCTATGTCTGACACACACCATATACTACTTATATGGGTATAAGTAGACCACACCACACTCGTCCCCCCTTTAAAGCATTCGACCATGCGGTGGTTCTGCTCGCCACGCCACTATCTTCTTTCACCACAGTCTGTGCCAAACACTCCGTCGGAATGTCGAGTCTGCGGCGCGCTGACCTCCATAGCTCCGTCGACCTGCCGGGGCACCAACATCCGCATCCACCCGGCACCTGGGACGTTCAACACCCGTACTCCACCGGCCTGCTGAGCCATCTACATCCGATGTCCGCCCAGCAGCCACACGTCCCACTGCTCCTCTCCGTCGACAGCACCCGCTACAGCCAACGCCGCCCCGCCAGAACACTCCATTCGACGCCACCCCTCCGCACCAGACTGCCCCAACTAGCACTTTTACTCCAGACCGGCAGCGGCATCCGCAGAACAGCACCCTTCCTCCTCCCGGTTGGCGGCGACACCAAATGTAGTGAACAGAACAGGACTTGGGGACAATCGAATGTATTTAAGCAAAGATTACAGACTATCTCAGTAAATTCTGATTACCAAACAATGAACAGTCAATTTGCAAATTAACAACCAATTGTTTCAATCTTCACTGTTTCTTCTCTTATTCCATTGCTCATGCATTTTCCAAACGATTGCGCTTCATTTCAGTTCTTTGTTCACCGGTCTACTGCCAAAATACATTCTATGTCTGACCCACACCATATACTACTTATATGGGTATAAGTAGACCACACCACAGCCCTAGACGAATATCTACACTAGATTCTCACCCAATGTCTATTCTACAGGACTTCAACATAACTCAGATCAAGAACACAAGATTAGCCTGACTAGAACGTCAATAGATTTTCACACCAAAATCCGACACAATCCAACAACAATAATAAGTAACAATTAAAGGGGAATAATATAACACATATAACACCTGTCACCTTATCGAATGTCTGACTCAGCAAAACAACAAATCATTATCATTCTTGCCCACACATCAGTAGTATAAGTAATGGTAATATTAAAGGCAATAAATAATGGAACATTCATTTTTTATTGTGTGTTTGTATCTTTTGATTAATATTTAAGATTGCAGATGAACAGTCTCTTATTAGTGTATGTGTATCCTGTACGGATTGCCTCGATAGTGCCTTAAGTCACAAGTATTAGAAGCAAAGATAGATAGTGGCTAGCAGTGGAAGTCAGGACACTGTTTCGCCCCATTTGGGACTCGTCAGGTGGATGTACTTAAGACAATCCTCACAGGACGCATATATAACAGTAAGAGAATGATCAATTGCTGTCCTAAGCATATATCGGAAGATGCATACAAACAATACAGAGTGAATTAAAACTTCATCCGATTGCACAAACAAGTGACTATCGGGACTCAGTAGCTGAGTGGATAACACGATGGCGTTTGAAGCGAACTGTACTAGGTTTGAGTTCTGGAGTGAACATCAACTGTGGGATGTAGGTAGATCCATCTGACGAGTCCCAAATAGGACAAAACTCGCGTCCCGGATTCCATTACTAGCCACTATCCATCTATGCTTATAATAATAGGCCTATTTATTATCATTAATTTTGTTACAATAAAGAATCCCCTCCATCAGCTGTGTAGCATTTCAAAGAATCTCTGTTTAAGATTGATTGAAATTGTTGCTATTTCAAAATAATGTTCAATGTGCTTTTCCGATAGCCAGCATCTGACATTCATCTTCAGCGGAGAAAGTTTATTATCAGCCGAATTCCTACAACTATTTTTTCAAGCCATTAGATACTGAAATATAGGCCCGCCAGAATTCTTCATCCAACTCTGTCTTCGACAACCCTTTCTAATAACATGAACTAGTGTATTTATTCAATAGACCTCAGTATACACAAAGGAAAAAGCAAGATTCTCAAATAAAACACGAAGAACACCAACCCAATCACATTTGATGGCAAAACTCTGGAAGATGTAGAAACATTCACATACCTTGGAAGCATCATTGATAAACGAGAAAGATCGGGTGCAGATGTAAAGGCGAGGATTGGCAAAGCAAGAGCCGCATTTCTACAACTGAAGAACATATGGGACTCAAAACAACTGTCAAATAATATCAAAGTGAGAATATTCAATACGAGCGTCAAGACAGTCCTACTGTACGGACCTCAAACGTGGAGAACCACTACCTCCATCGTGAAGAAGGTACAAGTATTTATAAACAGTTGCTTACACAAAATACTCAACACTCATTGGCCCAATACTATCAGCAACAGCGTTTTATGGGAGAGGACAGTGCAGCTTCCATCTGAAAAGGAAATTAGGAAAAGACGTTGGAATTGAATAGGACATACATTAAGGAAATCACCAATGTGCATTACAAGGCAATCCTTAACTTGAAATAGTGAAGGGAAGCGGAAAAAAGAAAGGCCAAAGAACACAGTACGTCGGGAAATAGAAGTAGATATGAAAAGGATGAATGTTAACTGAAAGGAACTGGAACGGATTGCTTGAGACAGAGTTGAATGGAGAATACTAGTGGATAGACTATGCTCCTCCACGAGGGGCGACAGGCGTGAGTAAGTAAATAAGTAAGTATATTTATTGAAAAGATTACATATTTTCATATTTTCTTCTTTTTTTTTCTTTTCTTTTTTCTTTGACTTTTCAATCAACCCACATTTATATTCCAGATTATAGAACATTTACAAAATGCTACTAATTTAAGTCAAGATCCAACAAACATTCAATGCATAACCATAGAACAAAATGACCGTTTAGATAATTTAGAAAATTTAATTGAAAAATTTACTAATTTATTATCAATTAAAATTAAAGATTTAATCGATATGAAAGAAAAAATTTATGAAATTGAAAAAAATTTGGCGGAAATTGATTTACAAATAAAAAATTTAGAAGATAAACAAAATCATATTTTATTGAATTCAGATATGAATACATGGGAATGTTCACCAATATATTTAGATGTAAGTTGTTTTGTTTTATTAAATAATATGGTATGAGTTACTTGCTCTCAAATGCCCTGGTACGGTCGACAATAGGGAGGGCCAGCCATTTCTATTGAAATGCCGTGACATGGCCATCTGTCAGGGAAGTTCTACTCACTTCTTTCTCATGGCATTACGGTTGTTTACGAAATTGAGAGGACGAAAAGTGAATGTCCGGCAGTTTAACTGGGTTGGTGGTGGACACGGAAGGTTCACCTAGGGGAGTTGGGAAAGCCTGATTCCAAACCAATGGTATATATGGGCTTCAGTATCCTGAAGGAACAAATGGTGTATGAACCAATCGTCGGTCACTGGCTACCATGGGACTGCATCTCCTTACGTTGCTCCACAGTCTTGTAGATCAGACCTTTAGGTCGAAGACTTCGGGTGTGGTCCCCTTAGAAAACCACCTGCTTGGGTTTGGGCACCCGGGCATTATCACAGCCCTCACACAAATCAAATGAGATTTGTGTGGCGCATCTGTATTCGGTACCCCCTTTTACCAATATTTATGTGTTCAAATAAATAAATAAATTTGTTACTTATATTCACATAAGTAGTATATGATTCAGGTCAGGTATAGAATGTATTTTGGTAGAAGATCGATAAGGAAAGAATAGGAACAAAGCGTAATCGGTATGAAAATGTATGAATAATGAAATCAGAGAAGATGAACTGATACTTGCAGAAGGAACAGTCAATATTGAGAAAATTGATTGGTATTTCACAAGTAAACTGTTTGCTGTATGGTTATGAGATTGTAGTAAGATAGTCTGTAATTTGTGCTTGAATACATTAGATTGTCTCCACTCGTGTTCTCATTCACCACAGTAACAATTCGCATATATCTTTGTACTGTTATGGATTACTGGAGCACATGACAGACTCTAGACAAAAACGTTGATTGCTTAAATATCATTCTATGATTCATCCTCTTCCCCATATATGTTTGTACTCAAGTCCTATTATTAGCTTTTGCTTTGTCTTGCTGTGCCTTTATACAATTTGACTATAAATTTGTCTATGTAATTATTTGCGCTTGCTCGTCGATACTTATTCATGTGTTTGTAGCTTTGTGGACTGGGTTATTCGATAATAAACTGCAGTTGTCGCTTCTCTTTGCCTTCTGATTTCAAGCACCGTTTAGATTTGTATTATAACGGTTATCGAGGTGAATGATTGACGAAGCAAGGCATTACAATACAATGCAAACCATATATTTGAACTGATGTTTTATCTTACATTTAGTTAATGATTAAAACTGAGATATAATTTCTTCTTTGTTATTCCAGGCTACTAGTTGCTTCTGTTACGTAATGGTACTAAATGAAATGTAATATTTCTTGATATTATAAAAAGAAAGAAAAGTTCAATAATTATTGGAAAGCTTTTGTACATTTACTTACTTTAGCGTTTTTTCAGCTAGTCGGTTTTCTACGGGATGGGGTCGCTAACCCCATGCTCAACCCTCCTGCTTTACCCGGGCTTGGGACCGACAGTAGCCCCGGAGGAGCTACAAACAGAGTTTTCTGTATATTTAGAAAAGTCTAAATAATGATAAAAACAACTTTGTTCATATTCATATAGTTTGGGACTATGACTTTAGGGAATATGCGACTAATGAAACATTGGTTAACAAATACTTCTTTTCTATAGTTACTTACTTATGCCTGTTACCCCTAATGGAGCATAGGCCGTTGACCAGCAGTGTCCAGCCTACTCTGTCCTGGGCCATCCTTTTTGCATAGATGCATTTATTTAAATTCATCTTCACTTATTCAAAGTCATCTTACCAATTCATAGAAAGTTATACACATAAGTAATGTACAGCCCTTATAGTGTCAATTTATATGTATAGAAAAAAACTGAGTGGGAAATAGTGTGCAATTATAGATGCTCTGTGCTCTGGGATTAAATTTCTTTGTTAATACACACTTCCTAACACTCTCTCAATTACATATGTCAAGTAAAAAGGCTAAAACTGTAAATTAAATGTAAATCCCAAAGGCCGAATCAATATTTACATAATTTATGGGTTTATGCGGTCGTTTTAACCAGAAAAGTAATCGGCCCATTCACAATAAGTCCAGCCACCCACATAATTCATACTTATCATTTCTTTTTAAGACTATGTGGTCTGAGCGGATCTTTACGATTTATCAAGTTTTCAAACTGAATATACTGTGACTTTAACATAAAGAAATAAATCATGAACGCACACAAAATTATGAATATTGTTAAATCCATTGAAGCGTCTAAATTACACAATTGAGATAAGCGCGAAATCGAAGTTCACAAAACAGCGATTTGTCTAAAACAAAAAGCCGTTCGTCATTGAATAATATGCATTAATTAGTTATAAACCTCAACTTGTGAGGTATCTATGACACTTTGCGTGTCTGTAAGTATGAAATAAAAACGGCTTCCTGAAACAGTAACATAAAGAATAATTGCAACATACGATAGTGCAAATGATATCTGTTAGATGTGTCTAAACTTCATAACAGTTTATCAACAGGCAAAAAGTGAACTGATAGCAACCAATATAGAAACCGTCGCGTTTAAAAAAGGAATTAAACGATTGCAGAAAATTGAGAACATCTGCTACAATGATTGAGAGAAAGTAATTATGACAATAAATGCAATGAATGTTATGTGTGTATGTAATCGTTTCAAAATACAACAACATACGCGTATAAGTTGTTAGGACTACAACTGTTTACTGAATATTAATAAGTAGTATAAAACAATGCACAAAAGAGATGAAGGGGAGTGAATGAGGACAGAGAAAGTAAAACAGCCCTAACAAAGATAATCAATACTATTCACATCAAAATCTTTCAACATTTTAATCATATGTTCTTAGCTTGCCCTTAACATATTCTCACTAATATAAATATCTCATCGACGTTCTGATGGTCACTCAACTTTAGTAGAGTTTTGTTCTGTGAACCACATATGGAGGAATTCGAACACTTCACTTCTACCCGAAGTTTGTGCAGATGATGTCGTTCAGAAGGACGATGAAAGCTCCAAGACCAAACCATCCAACTCAGAGAACAAAACTCTATCAAAATTATCCTCCTGAGCTACAAATCTACTCCCCTATCTCAAAAATAATTTTCATTTATTTTACCTAACTTTGACTAATATTATTATTATTATTAGCTTTATTCAATATTAAATTGTTGGTACAATATAGAATTCTCAGCACAAAGTACTTCAACAAGTTTCCGTTTCTTACTTCTTCGTCCTTCCTGACGATAAATATTGAGTGATCGCCAGTTAGAAGTTAGCAGCCCAGTCAATCGACATCTCGATAATGTACATTCTTCTCGCTGAATATTGCCGGCAACCACGATATCTCTGATTAAGCCTTCTGTAACCTTTACATCGAAAGGTCTTACACTTTACAGAAACGCACCTGAATAGGTTGCATAATGATGTATTAAAACAAACGAAATTAGATAACTTGTTGAAATATCTAGATGACAGGAACAGCTAGCCCAAATGTTTAAACAGGCCGCCAACAATAGACCTTGGGGAGTAGTTTGATAATTAAATAACATATTAGTGAAATAGATTTCCTAGTATAATTGTTTCTCAGAGGATTATGATGGGCATTTTTACACTTTTCAGTTGATTACTCTACCTTACAATGAAATAAGATTATTACTATTTTTAATTTTAAATAGTTCAATGACTGTCGTGGACATTTAACATTTGCCAATGGTCAAGTAAATGATTTAGAACGTGCACTCAATTTACAAGATAATCGTGGTATGGCAATTTTAAACAAATTCAGTGTTGAAGAATTGTATAATGAAATAAAAGGTTTCAATGATCGTCTGAACGTAAGTATTAGTTTCATGTTGATGATATTATGTCATCATGATTGTTATTTTAAAAGTTCCTAAGATTAAAGTATATTGTTTTATTGATCTGTTATGAATATTGTTAAACATGGAGTTCTCTTTTACGGACTGAGAACTAGGAAGCATTTTATTCTGACAAGTGCATATCTTCTACCGCTTCAAACACTTCACTTCTACTCGAAGTTTGTGCTGATGATGCCGTTCAGAAGAACCATGAAAGCTCCACAACCAAATCATCCAACTCAGAGAACAAAACTCTATCAAAATCATCCACCTGAGTGATAAATCTTCTCCACTATCTCGCTTCAGGGATCCAAATCTCACAATGATAACTAAATCTTCAGACAATTGAACCGTCATCCACTGCCACCGTTGGTTACAATTATCTCACTCTGTTCGTGGTTGAACTCCACTAGTTACTGTTTCTCACTAAAAATTCTGGGAATTACCTCTGGAATTTATCTACTAGCAAAAACATAATGATTACTATCACTGAGTGTTGTGGAGATTGATGAATAGGAATTTCACATGATAGATTGATTGGTTATATTGTATGCTACAGAAAAAGAATTCACGGTCATGAATACTACCAGTTTGAAATGTATAACTTACAAGTACTTGAATTTTTCGTGGCTACATGTCCACCTCTTACATTTGATATTGATGTGATCGGCAGTAATGATTGAGTAAATTTAACCAAATCATAGTAATTTAAGAAATTTAATGAAATAAGCAGATTAATTAAAATATTACGATTGTGATTCATGGATTTATATTCTTCTTTATTAATCATGCCGAAATTGAGTTTGATCCATTGTTTGGTTCTTTCTGAATGAAAAGATGAATTTATGTAGTTCTAGTACCAATTAATGTGCTCATGTTTCTTGATATTATATGTGCCCATGAATTTGTAACACATATTTAATGTATGTTCGACATTTAGCATCTTTTCCATTCACTTAATGAGTGAATATTACATATTACAAGCTCTTAAGCAAAGGTGGATAGTGGCTAGCAGTGGAATCCAGGACACGCGTTTCGTCCAATTTGGGACTCGTCAGATGGATATACCTGCATTTGAGTTAATGTTCACTCTGGGACCCTTCGCTTCAAACACCATCACGTCATCCACTAACCTACTGAGTCCTCACGGCCACTTACTTGTGCACTGGGGTGAAGTTTGAATTCACTTAGTAGTGTTTGCTTGAATCTTCTAATTGATGCGTAGGACTGCAACTGGTCAGTCTCTTATTGGTCTTATGTGAATACTGTGCATATTGCCTCGATATAGCCTTAATTCATAAGCATTGTAAGCAAAGATTGATAGTGGCTAGCAGTGGAAACCACTCAGTAGCTGAGTGAATAATGCGATGGCGTTTAAAGCGAAAGGTACTGGGTTCGAGTCCTAGAGTGAACATCAACTCTGAGATGCAGGTATACCCAGTTGACGAGTCCCAAATAGGACGAAACGCGCATCCTGGATTTCACTGCTATCCACTATCAATCTTTGCTTACAATGCTTGTAAATTAAGGCAATATCGAGGCAATACGCACCGTACGTACATATGGCTAATACGAGACTGACCAGCTGCATTCCTAAACATCCATGGTAAGATTCAAACAAACAACACTAAATGAATTCACTCTCTTAAGTTCATGTTATTTGTTTTTTCGTTTATATCGCAAATTAGATTGAGCTATACTGTTGTATTCATAGATGGCATATACAGATAGCTCATATTTGACATCATTAATGATAAACTTCTTATACTTTCTGTAAAATAATCACCTTAACATAGTGTAAAAGCAAAGACTGAATTACGGGCTGCATTTAAGACATAAATATATCAGACAATGATTTGAGCAGCTATACTAAACTGGTGAATATAGAAATTGAATGGATGCATATAAGAGTAGTTTCCAAGAGCCTTGTCAGTGAATAACGGCTGACTTATTCTCTAAATAAAATGAATGATCTATGAATCACAGAAAAAATAATTAAAGTATAGATAACAAACATACATAAAGTGAAGACAACTGAAATATATTCGACATTAAGACCACGTTTATAAAAAAACATATAAGGAATAATGTAGGCAAATCAACGTAGACATACATACATGTAGTGTGATCAGTCAAGTTACAATCAAACATGTAAAGGTTAGAAAAAGATCAAATTCCAGCTTGTATCATTACATGATTCGGCATGAATAACTTAAAACTTTATACTGAAATAGATTGAGTTGAAAGCATCTCCTAGGAGATTCAGATTATACTCCTCATACAATCTACTTACATTTATATTCATTTCATATTACTTTCTTCAATAGAATGCTGAAAAATTGATTAAACGTAAACTAATTAATAAACAATCAATTAATGAAACATTTACAACATTAAAACAACAAATGAATGAAATTCAAATAGCTTTAAAAGATTTAAAATATGCAACATCAACTAGTGGCGGGATTAGAAAAGAAGATCTATTGAATTTATTGGAAAATTTAAAAGTAAGTACTTTCATATGTTATATATATGTTGACTAAGGTTATCACCAACGTTTTCATGAATTGAATGTTGTATCCTTATTTATTTATCTACGTACTTACTTACTTACACCTTTTACACCAAGTTGTGGAGGAGTATAGGCCACTTACTAGCGTTCTCCATCCAATTCTGTCCTGGCTAATCGTTTCCAATTGTTTCCAGTTGCTGTTCATTATTTTTATGTTTGCTTCAAAGTCTCGGTACAGTGTGTTCTTTGGTCTTCCTCTTTTCTGTTTCCTTTCATAATTCCAAGTTAGTGCTTGCCTCGTGATAAAGCTTGATGATTTCTACAATGTATGTCCTATCCACTTTCAACTTCTTTTCCTAATTTCCTGTTCAGTTGGGAGCTGATTTCTTCTCTCCCATAGTAGGCTATCGACGGTGGTTTCCAACCAACGGACATTGAGTATTTTACGTAGACAATTGTTTATATATAATTGTACAGTTTTGACAGCGGTTGTGATAGTTCTCCAAGTTTCAGCTCAGTGCAGTAGAAGTGTCTTGACGTTCATATTAATGATTGTGACTTTGATATTAGTTGACAGACAGTTGTTTTGAGTTGCATTTGTTGTTCGACTGTAGGAATGAGGCCTTTGCATCCAGCCATTCTTTAGTTCATTTAGTCTGTATTTACTGCATAACTGAAGATAGTTTGCACTAAGAATTTTATTAGACATAGTGTGGTGTGGTCTACTTATATCCTCATAAACAGTATATGGTGATGTTAAGACAGAGAATGTATTTTGGTAGAAGATTGATAAGAAAAGAACAGGAATGAAGAGCAATTGGTAGGAAAATGTATAAAAGATGGACTGATATTTACAGAAGGAACAATGAAGATTGAGACAATTGGTTGTTATTATGCAAATTAACTGTTTGCTGTATGGTTATCAGAATTCAGTGAGATAGTCTGTAATTCGTGCTTAAATACATTCAACTGTCCGAAGTCATGTGCTTACCAGTACAATAGTTGTGTGCTACTGAATTATTAGTATAGTACTATCAGACATGTTGATTGAAAAATCTCACTCTAATATAACACATTCATGAAGTAAATGAGCGTAAAATTGACTGAAAATGCTGAAGAAAATGAATTTACTGGACAGTGAAAACGCTGAAAACCGATAAACGATTACATCAATTCCTTAATAAGGCTTTTCTCATAAGGGATAGTGACGTTCTTTTAGTTTTGCGCGTGTTTATAAACTAACGATTTTAACTGACTAATTCATGAAAACATATGAATGATTCAGATTGGATTGAAATAAATGAGAAACTGAAAGAGTAAAGGTTAAAATAGATTTTAATATGGATATAATCACCTTATTATAGTAAATACTTAGGCTACTACATGACGAGAAGCCTAGAGGATAAATAACTTACATTTTTTTAACATGATTATCAACTAACTTAATGAGCAGTAGATATCATGTAATTATACAAGTTAACAGTAGAATGATATTGAGCTAATAATCTTTGAAATGCCAACTCTATAGGGAGCTTTAATTTATTTGGTCTAACTATAGATCAGATGGTAAATCAGGGTAGTTTTCTAAAATACAAAGTTGGGACATCGATAAGCCATTGATTGATATACTTATAGCTAGCTGATTAATTAAAATTGATCCATGGACCATCTACTGGTATGAATTTGGGTTTTCTGTTTTGAAGTATAAAAACGAACATGCATGTTGTATAGCATTTTACGTTAGAATTTAGGATACTTGTTCAATCCTATTCGGAACTTTTCAACTGGTTATACCTATATACTGAGTCATGATAGCCACTAACTTATCCAAAGTAATGGTTTGTATTTTACTACGACTGAGATACAGGACCATATTTGATTAATTTCTTCTGGTTTGCAGTCTTTGAAAACAGAGTCTTTTATTCGCAAAGCTGGTTATATCACAGGTACACATAACTAGATGTTTCCGAAACATCTTCATTTATTACAAAATATCGGTCTTAAGTCATTGTATTAGATCACCGTGGTTGACAAACTATATATTTATATGTAATTTGTATGAGGAATAAATTTTGATCACCAACTTTGGATCATTACAAACATATGGTTTTAAGACTGTCATCAGTCAACAGTTACATCGAATAATTGAATAGGTTACAGTCTGATTAGTCGTTAATTACTGTCTCTTATGTATAACTCGTCTATTACCTTTAAGTAGTTTTAATTTAATGGTTATAAAAAAATTACAAATAAGACTGATAATTATTAAACTGTATTTATGATAGAATTCGCTTGGTATTGTTTGTTTGAACCTTCCCATGAATGTTTAAGACTGCAATTGATCAGTCTCTTATTTGCATATGTGTATACTGCTCGTATTGCCTCAATATAGCCTTAATTCACAAGCATTGTAAGCAAAGATGGATAGTGGCTAGTGATGGAATCCTGGATGCGCGTTTCGTCCTACTTGGGACTCGTCAACTGGACATACCTGCATCTCAGAGTTGATGTTTATTCTAGGACTCGAACCCAGTACCTTTCGCTTCGAGTCTTAAAATGAACACCAACTCCGAGATGCAGGTACATCCAGCTGACGAGTCCCAAATAGAACGATACGTGCATCCTGGATTCCACTGCTAGTCACTATCCATTGTTGCTTATGATATTTTTATGATAATTATCAGTTTTCATCTCTTCCTTTTATAGACATTACGCCGAAAATACACAGAAAGTATACAAACCAATGATAGACGATGTCAAAATTTCTTAAATTCAGCTGCTTCTCAAGGTGATGGTGATATGTTACTTAATGAAATGAAAATGAAAATATCTCAAATGGTAATGATATTGTAGAAGAATATGAATTTTTCATATTTTTGATCATGATACAATTTTGTTTAACTTTTAGCCTGAATGGTGTTAATCAATCAGATATTTTGTTGAAATGATCTTTGTTGAAATTGTTCAATAAGTGAAATGAAAATCATCTTGGTTGTTTACCAATCATATTATTAGATGTATTTGAATAATTAACAACTTTAAAAACCTCTTAATTTAGAGCACTGAGTTCAGTTGGTGTCAAGTCTGTACATTTGAGCATCAGATACCACTCAGATTCAATGGTAATATGTATGTGTCGGTGGTGGGATTCGAACTCACGCTTACATTGTGGGCCAGAACATTTATAAGAACACTGTTCAAAGTAACATGACTCCTCCTTTATTCATAGATTATATGAATAGATAGTAGATGCACGGTAAAATACCAATAAGAAATGCAATTACCGTATGAGGTATGAAAAAAAAATTATTCACGAATATTTGTTTATGGAGTTACAAAGTAAATAATATATCTAGTAGTTACAATGTTTTATTAAATCATTCTTCAAAACCTGTTAAGTCATGTTGGTAGGTGTAGATTACCTGGTTGGGATCCGTGAGATGATAACAACTGATGGCTAACGACCTTGAATGACATGGCTCAAAATCGTTTGCAATTGCACAGGTTCATCCACTCTTTGTGTTCTCGCAAATTCTAATCTTCTGAATTCATCATATCCCTTTCTTTTTTTCTCTTTCCAAATTTATTTCACTGGGTTTGACACCTTAAATAACAGCTTCAAACCCTAATCTTTCACATGATGCTTATACCCTTACTACTTCTACCACTATGGGATTTGAATTGACAATTGCGTCTTTGCGCTAATGTGGTATGGCAACTCGAACTGATGTATGTACGTACGAAACTCTATGTTGTGACTGACTGGCTGAATAATACCATTAAAAATAAATCTTATCAGAATGAGGGTTTGTAGAACTTATAGTAATTTATTAGTTCAATTCACGTGTAGATTTAAACTAGACCATCCTGGAAGCACTGGGACGAAGCACTAAGATGAAACAACCATCCAGTACTTCCAGGTGCTCTAGCTTAGGTCGATTCCATGAATTCAAACATTATAAATAAATCTATTAATGCAGTTACATTATTTTTCTCATGATAAAACAATCGTTGAAGAATTAAATTCCCAAATTCCCAATTCTGAGAAATAGAGTATCAAAAGGCTAGTTGAATGATTATAAGTTTCATTCTCACATTCATTTTCATGATTGATATTATTGTATACAGGAAATACATGACCACAATATGGTACATTAAATAATTATCCTTAATGTAATACCAAGTAACAAATACATAGACCTAAAACTTCACTTGGTATTGTTTGTTTGAATCTTCCCATTGATGTGTTAGGACTGCAACTGGTCAGTCTCTAATTGGCATATGTACATACTGTGCGTATTGCCTCGATAAACCTTAATTCACAAACATGGTAAGCAGAGATGGATAGTGGCTAGGACGAAACGTGCGTCCTGGATTCCACTGCTAACCACTATCCATCTTTGCTTATCATGCTTCTGAATTAAGGCTATTTAACATGGGTAAAACAAATGCATATTTTTAAAAGGGGAGTTTTATGGAGATTTTAGTAATTTTATAGTTTAATTCATGAGTCAATGAAAGCTAGACCACTATGGGAAACCTGAAAGCACTGGACGGTCGTTTCGTCCTAGTGTGGGTTCTTCAGTTGTGCACATCCACGACCCCTCCTCGCGAGATTCGTACTCGAAACCTATCGGTCTTACGTGTGAACGCCTAGACCACTGAACTTGCATTCGACGGTGTTAATGTCTAACTTCAACTAATTCACAAAATTGAGCAACCGTTCACCATTGTTTTTAGTAAGTTGATTTCTCACAACAGACTCAGTTGAACTCCACTGGCCACTACTTCTCACTGGAACTCCATGAAATACCTCTTGGAGCCAGTCACGAGTGAGCATATGTTTAGTATTATCAGAAAGGGGTTTTTGCAGAGATTTTTTGTAATTCTATAGTTGAAATCATGAGTCAATACATATTTATGACAAGAGACAAGATTTAGGCGTTGTTTACTATTCACTGTTATAATTTTTCAAGTACAATGATTAATATTAAACATTCTATATTTCAATGATACAAATGTAGATTCTATTCAATGAATCATTTTCATTTAGAAGGAAATAAGTAGGAAAAACGCCCTTCCGTTAAAACGTTGTCCACTAATTTTTCTCATTATTTTAAAGTACATCCATAAAAAGAAAAAAAAGGTTGATAACCAGGGCATGTAGTTCAACTTTACTAAAACCAGACTACATATATTGTTACCATTAGTAATATCAAATTAGTTTATCTAATATACCACTCACATTGAGTAAGAAGACAAGAGATATGTAAATCAAATTGAAAACTATCTGTTACATTTTTTATATGATATTACTTACTTACTCCTGTTACTCCCAATGGAGCATAGGCCGCCGAACAGCTGGATTTGATAATTTCAAATAAATTAAACATAAGATAGAAAGTTAATAATAAATATATATCAGAAGGAGGGTTTTGTGTAAGATTGAAACTAGACCACCATGGAAAACCTGAAAGCGTTGAATAGATTGGTTGAAGTTAGACATGAGCACCATTGGATGCCGGCTAGTTCAGTGGTCAAGTGATCAGGCGCTTGCGTGCGAGACTGATAGGTCCAGGGTTCGAATCTTACTCGCAAGGAGGGATCGTGGATATGCACTGCTGAGGAGTCCCGCACTAGGACGAAACGGCCGTCCAACGCTTCCAGGTTTTCCATGGTGGTCTAGCTTCAATATCCGAATCAGCAGAAAAAGTGTATTTCTGACGTTTTGTCACTTAATATAAGCCACTTCCTCAGTGTAAATGTTTGCTTTTCCTATATATAATAATCATTTACTTATTTAGAAAAATGATATAAATGAACAATGTACAGTAATTGATCATGAAATGAAACAATTAGATATTCAATTAAATAAATCATTAAAAAATGTAAATGAAATTGAAGAAAAAACAAAACAAACAGATCAATGGTTAATCAATCAAGAAAGACGTTTAAACGTTTTATCAACTGGACCATCAACAGTATCATATGATAAAGTAGATAATATAACAGAACAATTAAAATCTCATCAACAATGGGTAGATGATTGTAAAGTATGTTAATGTCATTATAATCTGTTTGTAATTTATTATTGAAAACTTTTGAATTATTGGTAAGTAAAGATGGATAGTGGCTAGCAGTGGAATCTAGTTTGACACGCGTTTCGTCCTATTTAGGATTCGTCAGCTGGATGTACTTCCATCTCAGAGTTGATGTTCACTCTGAGATTCCAACCCAGTACCTTTCGCTTCAAATGCCATCGCGTTATCCATTTGGCCATCGAGTCCTGATAGCCACTTGCTTATGCGATGGGGTGAAGTTTAAATTTACTTAGTATTGTTTCAATGGGAAGATTCATACAAACAATACTAAGTGAATTTTTAATTATTATCATAACTATTAAAACATCTGGAGAGAAGCGCAGGATACAGTGGACAGGTAGGATGCAGCTTGACGATTTAGACTTCGCGGATGATCTGGCTCTTCTATCACAAACGCAACAACAATTGCAGGAATAAACGACCAGTGTAGCAGCAGCCTCAGCAGCAGTAGGTCTCATTATAAACAAAAAGTAAAAGAAAGACTCTCCGATACAATACAACATGCACCCATCGAATTACACTTGACGGAGAAGCTTTGGAGGATGTGGAAACCTTTACATATCTGGGCAGCATCATCGATGAACACGGTGGATCTGGTGCAAATGTGAGGGAGCAGATCGGCAAAGCAAGAGCAGCATATTTACAATTGAGGAACATCTGGAGCTCAAAACAATTGTCAACCAACACCAAGGTTAGAATTTTCAATACAAATGTGAAGACAGTTCTACTGTATGGGGCGGAAACCTGGAGAACTACGAAAGCCACCACTCATAGGATACAGGTGTTTATCAACATGTGTCTACACAAGATATTTCGGATCCGATGGCCAGACACTATCAGCAACATTCTACTATGGGAGACAACAAACCAGATTCCATCCAGTGGAGGAAGAATTCAGGAAGAAGCGCTGGAAGTGGATAGGTCACACATTGAGGAAGTCACCAAACTGCGTCACAAGGCAAGCACTCACATGGAATCCTGAAGGCAAAAGGAGGAGAGGAAGACCAAATAACACATTACGCCGATAAATGGGGACAGACATGAGAAAATTGAACAAGAACTGGATAGAACTAGAAAGGAAGTGACAGGACAGAGTGGGTTTGAGAATACTGATCGGCGGCCTATTCTCGATTGGGAGTAACAGGCGTAAGTAAGTAAGTAATAGTTAACAATATTAATTCATTTTGTGCACTGGTTGTTTGAATTTTCCGATTGATATTAAGAAGTGCAAATGATTAGTCTCTTGGCTGCTAGCTACCCACTATTTCTGCGTAAAATGCTTGTTATTTAATGTAATATCGAGGTAATTCTCACAGGATGAACATTTGCCAATAAGAGACTGATCAATTGCAGTTCTAAACATCATTGGGAAGATTCAAACAAACAATATAAGATGAATTTAAACTTCACCCCATCGCACAAATAGATGGCTATCAGAACTCAGTTGCTTTTGAAGTGAACTGTGGGACGCAAGTACAACCAGTTGATGCGTTTCGAATAGGATGAAACACATGTCCTGGATTTCACTTCTATCCACCATCCGTCTCCATTTATAATTATTAATATTATTATTATGTATAACGCCATTTATCTTGACGCAAGTTTTATCGGATCTCTTTTGATCTTCTAATATTTTATGAATATCAAAGATAGATTATCGTCTAACTTATTATATCAAGATACTGAATGCTCTTAGGATTATAGGACTCTAACTTTTACGATTTGTAAACTTCAAAATAGTATCTTTTATCATTCACAGCACCACACTATTTTTTCTTCAGTTTTTGAGAAAAGATTTCGCTGCATTGCAGAGTACCTTCGAAACAACGAATGTGCTAATAGGATGAAAAATGAAGACTTTTTGGATTACGTAATAATTTGCTACACTTTTAGGGATGAGGAACAAATATACTCTCATTGTTCAATAGTATGGTATAATACTATAACTTATATAAGATTCAAACATGTATGAGATTGATTATTATCCAATAATGAATCAATGTGAACATATTGTCTTTATAACAGACCAATTATCTCTAGAATAACTAAATGGTGAAATCTGAAATTATCACTCATGGTGAATGTGATTATGGTGAACATGTTAACACTTCTGTAAAAGTGATATGGAATAGGTTATTATCATCTGAGAATGTGTTCATAATACATATTCCTTGAATATAGTTACGTATTGATTTGAAATACAGTAGTCGATCAAATGACTTATTGATATAAATAATACTGATGCTTTCACCGAAAAAGTGCGATGATACCTAAGCCATGCGATCCGCACTTAATCACTTGATAATTAGTGTCCATATGTATGGTATGGGATTTGCACCTTTCGAAGTGCAAAGTACTTTCATAAGACTAGGAGGACTCTTATCCTGCACTCATCATGGATAGTGAGAAGATAGAAGTAGTCGAGAAATTCATGTATCTGGGTAGCTGCGTAATAGCTGGTGGTGGCGTGAATGATGAGATCAACTGACATATAGTAAAAGCCAGAGTGGCTTATGCCAATCTGGGCCATCTTTGGCGCCTTCGTGATGTTAGTCTGACTGTAGAAGGTCGGATCAACAACGCGTCAGTGAGAGAGATTTTGCTCTATGCTTGTGAAACCTGGCCTCTCCGGGTTGAGAATGTCAAACAACTCTTTGTGTTTGATCATCGTTGTCGCCGAAGGATTGCTGACACCTGGTGGCAACACCATTCAGAGGTTTGTCATCATATGTTCGGGAACAGCGACGATAGTTGGAGTGATGTCAACATATTGAAACACTGACTTCAATGGCTTGAACATGTTATACGAGTGTCGTCTCAGAGAATTACATGTCGTGTATCATTTTCCGACGCTGGGACCGGTTGTTCTCTCCCACAGTAGACTGTTGCTGATGATATTTGACCAACAGACATCAAGTATCTTTCGTGGATAGATTTGTAGCATATCCTATTGTTGACCATATATACTAAATTTTAATCAGTCTTTGTAGACATATGTGATTAACAGGAGGATTGAGTTGATATAGCCAATTTTTGTTCTGGATATCACTAATATTTGCAATCTATATCTGTGCTTTATTTTTAAATCAATTTTCTATTTTATAGAATTTACTTGAAAGTATCAAAAAATATTCTGAAAAATATAATCTACATCCTGAACACGATGATGTTGATTCAGTTTTTGAAACTGGATCACCACTCTCTGATTTGGTAGGAGTAATGTGCAAAAGAATGGAACATTTAAAAACTGATACTAAAGTAAGGTGATTCTTATTGTGTGTGTGTGTTTTTCTTTCTTTAAATTTAGTTACTAATTGAATTTCGAACAGTTTTGTATACAAAAATATTTATCGATTGGTATTCTACTTTTTTTTTATTAATATCATAATGACTGGTAACTTTTTGAAATTTGCTAGGATCACTAAGCATTGTGTTCCATTTCTTCAATGTAATCCTCTTTTTATGTTGATCAGAACTATACCTCCTCCTTGATTCTTACCTCATTAGAGGACTTAGTTAGGTTTAAGACTACTTTGATTGATAGCAGCTAACAATAAAAGAATAGTAAGAGTACTGCGAATCACCTACTAACCAAGCAGCACCGAGACTCTTTAACGAGACTAAGAAATAAGGAAACCTTGATCATAACCAAATCTGACAAAGAAGGTGGTATAATTCTAATGAACAAAAAAGGATTACATTGAAAAAAAATATTTATGTTCGACATTTTCTATTTGAATCTTTATTTTCATAAATTTTGATTTATTGAAATAGTCTAATAACTGATTGTCTTTGGTTAGCTTTCATCTTGAAGATACATTTTCACTAATAATATTGTAACCATTATTTACTGAATGGTTCATTAGAATAACCCTGGTTACTATTATAGTTCAGTGAGTTTTGTCAAGAAAAACCAGGTTATATGGTGGGGGTAGATATTGTATCTCAATAATAATAATAATAATAATAATAATAATAATAATAATAATATCAGTAGTATAGATTTTGAAAGAGATAGATTTAAACAATCCTATTAATATAATGTATATGTTTAAAACACTTAGTCCCTCTAATAAATTTCCATAAGGTAATAAGAAGACAAAGGTTATCAGAATTATGTAACATGATTGTGTGATACATTTCGAACAATCTGATCACATACATACTTAAGACATTTTCATGACTTGCTTACTTATGCCTGTTACTCCCAATGGAGCATAGGCCGCAGACCAGTATTTTCCAACCCACTCTGTCTTATCACTTCCTTTCTAGTTCTATCCAGTTCTTGTTCATTCTTCTCATGTCTGTCTCTATTTCTCGGCGTAGTGTGTTTTTTGATCTTCCTCTTCTCCTCTGGCCTTGAGGATTCTATGTTAGTGCTTGGCTTGTGACGCAGTTTGGTGACTTCCTCAAAGTGTTTCATATCCACTTTCAGCTCTTCTTCCTGATTTCTTAATTCACTGGAATCTGGTTTGTTGTCTCTCACAATAGCTTGTTGCCGAAAGACATCTTTATATGATTAGTATATGTATGACCGGATTGTTCGAAATGTATTTCACAATTATGTTACATAAGACCATTAACCTTCGTTTTCATATTACATTATTGAAGTACTGTATATGATTTTTTTAGTTAAACCTTCAGTTGTTTTCCGGGTCGATTAAAAAGACTAACATAATCCTTTAGCCTTATGCTCTGTAAGCGAAAAACACTCTGAAATATGTATACCGTAATCCGAAGCTGTTATTAGTTTTTACAATGTAGATGTTATATATATGAAATATATATGAAATGTTCTGCTCCAAGTAGTTGTAATAGAAGTACCGTTAAATTATTTACTTAACAACTTACCATTCACTTATAATAACAAACGTCTGAGATCAGAGAAATAACAGTGTATTCCTGAAACTAAATGTGCAAAAAAATTATTTGTAATTTAGTCAGCCATTTGATTCGTTGAGTTGAGTTTTCAGTACAATGGACCAATTACATCTAACAGTTTTGTTTTAAACGTTTGACAATCTGAGATGAACTTGACTATTCATAGACATCTTCGTGACATAATAATTTAGTGGTATATCATACAAACTTGAAAGCAATACGTCCAATTTTACTGACAAATAACTGTCTTATTCCCAACAATTATATATTAAAAAAATCATTCTTTTCTGAATGAAACAGAAGAAATGCATCTTGAAGTCAGGCTTTAGTGCACACATACCTGTTATTGATCCCAGGGACTTGACTCCTATCGTCTATGTTGTGCTGGATGGTAGTTGATTAAAGCTTAGGAGTTTCAAACGTATAAAAAGTGCATTATGACATCTGCAAATCCTTAGTGATGATATCATTTTTCTAAACACAAAAAGCTATGGAGATAGCTCATTGAAAATGTCATTTAGGCACATAATTTCAGCAAACATTCAGGATTGATAACCAGCGGAAAACAGAGAGTATGGTTTCTAGTAACTTCGAGAAATGAATCGAAATAGCTAGGAGTTTAACAAATGATTCTAAGGAATCCGTGCTGCTCAAAGTTTTGCATATAAATATGAACTTGTTAAGTGAGTCATGTAATCATTGTTTAAAAGGTATTCCAAATCAGATCACAGTTAACTTAGTCATTTCAGTTACTTTAAATCAATGTGATATAAAGAGTATTTAGTCACATCAGATAAACGTACCTGAATAATATAATTTTGATATTTGTCTAGAGTCGACTGATTATGATTGAACTAAAATTTAATAGACTAGTTTATTTGGTGTTATGTTCTATGACTATCATGAAGTCATGTCGGATTTATCACACAATTCATAATTATAAAAAAGTGAATGAAGAACAAATTTTGTATATAGCTGTACACGTCTGTTACTCATTAGTACATCGTCAAATCGTCATCATTTTCTTATTATTCTATATTAAACTGTATTCTTGAATATAAGAGTTCAGAAAAATATGACTATCTTTAAAATAAGTAAATGTTACTATGCATATCACTTTTTCAATCCTTATACAGTACTATTATAATGTTTAAAAGGGACAAGAATAAATAATCTTGTCATCATATTTTACTACATCTATCTATCTGTACAAAGGTTTCATACTTCCTTTAGGAATTCAAATGAAATATTCATAGTTCAAATCACCTATAGATAAATATGAAGCTTTTATTGTACATTATGAAAATTGGTTAATTTTTAAAAATTCAGTAATGACTTATCTTAATTATTATCTTCTTAACTGATAATGGAATGTCAGAAGTTAAATAAACATAATAAAGAAAAATGTAATTTTATAGTTGAAATCATGAGTCAATTGAAGTTAGACCACCATGGAAAACCTGGAAACACTAGACGGCCATTTTGTCCTATTATGGGACTCCTCATCAGCGCACATCCACAATCCCGCCTCACAAGATTCGAACCCAGGGCCTATCAGTCTCGCGCACGAGCAATTAACAACCACACCACTATGCCGGCATCCAACGGTGTTAATATCTAACACCAACCGATCCGTGAAATTGAGCAACCGTTCACCATTGTGTTCAGTGAGTTGAGCGAGACTATAATTTATGGACGACCTTTGAGCAAATATTAAGTGACCTTGAGAAATGTTAACTGTTAAGTCGGTTTCCAGAGAACTCCAACAGAGCCTCCAGAGGCTCAAAAAGAGCTCCAACCAATCAGAGCACGACAGAACATTCTGGAGTTCCAACGTGGCACGCTACCATTGGTCAGTAGCAATATATGTCGTTTATTGGATTGGCTGAATTAGGATGTTGATTTAACTTAAGCAAACATCTATAAATACTTACGATTTTCTGTACAAAACTGATCCTTGCAGTAAAGGTTTTCTTTGCTACTCGTGTCTTCTCTCTGGTCTTCAAGTTGCTGAGTAGTGCTAGCCTGGGGTTATCCGTATAGCTTAGGATCTGAATAAGCGTTCAATCCACAAGACATATCAGTGGCGACGGGGAAAAACTACAAGACATATCACTGGCGACGAGAAAAAAAAAAGACAATGAATATTTCTTTAGAGCAATTTGAAGCTTATATGGAGCGTCAAGAAAAACGGTTTGAACAGTCTCAAATCAGAGTCATGGAAGCTCTTATGCAGAAATTATGTATGTCTCAACAAAACTCTGCTGCTGGTGAATTTCAAGTATCTCATACTGACTCAGTTATTAACGCAATCCATGAATTTAATTTTGATGGTGCAGCAGGTGTCACTTTTAACTCTTGGTTTAAGAAGTATGAAGATTTGTTTCATATTGATCTCTGCAGACTGGATGACGCTTCAAAAGTCAGAATACTTTTAAGAAAGCTTGGGACAACAGAACATGAACGCTATAGTAACTTTATTCTCCCGAAGAACCTACGAGACTTTAGTTTTGATGAAACAATTCAAACCCTGTCTCAAATCTTTGGAGAACAGTCGTCTCTATTTAATATCCGTTACCAGTGCTTGAAGATAACGAAAGAATCAGGAGATGACTGGGTGAAACATGCAGGTATTGTGAACCGAGAATGCGAGAGGTTCAATTTGTCTTCCATGTCTGAAGACCAGTTTAAATGCTTAGTATTTGTCTGTAGCCTGCGTTCACCTGAGGATGCTGACATCCGAACGAGAATCCTAAGCAAACTTGAGCATTGTCCCAACATGACCCTGCAGGAAGTGACTAATGAATGTCAAAGGTTAGTGAATTTGAAGCACGATACCTCGATGGTAGAAAACACTAACCAGTTCCTCTACGTTAATGCTGTTGAGAGGAAAGTCGAGCAAGGTTCCAGTATACAGAATTATCGAAATGGCTGCGGTAAACCATCATCCCCATGCTGGTTATGCGGAGGTTGGCATTTCAAAAGGTTTTGTCCGTTTAAAAGTCATCGTTGTACTACGTGTTCCAGGAAAGGACACAAAGAAAGTCATTGCAAAACCCGTAAACGTCGTCAACCTAAAGTTTATTCTAAAGGATTCAAGCCACGCACAGCCAAGGTGACGGTAGCTGCTAACAGAATCGGCTCCCATAATCATAGAAAATATGTTTCCCTCAAGATTAACGGGTACGATGCCCGCTTACAGCTAGACACAGCCTCCGATATAACGCTTATAAGCAGGAGGACGTGGGAGAAAATTGGGAGGCCGAGAATATTTTCAACCTATCAGACAGCACACGGCGCATCTGGAGGGACTATAAACATTTCTGGTGAGGTTCACTGTAAAATCACAGTCGCAGAGCTTACAAAGAAGGGAGTAATGTTTTTGACAGAACGGCCAGCACTCGACTTATTAGGACTTGATTGGATAGAAAAGTTGAAATTATTAGATCGTCCCATAAATTCAATCTGCAACAACGCCACTATGTCGAAAATTGGGGACCCAACATTGTTTCGTGGGGGAGGTTGGAGTCAGCAAATGCAGTCTAGATACCTACCCCGCTTCTTCGAAAAAGGGGAGGTGTTAGGTTGGACTCCAGAGAACTCCAACAGAGGCTCAAAAAGAGCTCCAACCAATCAGAGCACGACAGAACATTCTGGAGTTCCAACGTGGCATGCTACCATTGGTCAGTAGCAATATATGTCGTTTATTGGATTGGCTGAATTAGGATGTTGATTTAACTTAAGCAAACATCTATAAATACTTACGATTTTTCTGTACAAAACTGAACCTTGCAATAAAGCATCTTCTCGCTACTCGTGTCTTCTCTCCGGTCATCAAGTTGCTGAGTAGTGCTAGCCTGGGGTTATCCGTATAGCTTAGGATCTGAATAAGCGTTCAACCCACAAGACATATCATTAACTACTCAGTAAACAGTCAGCATAGAGTAAAAATATATTATACAAAACCAAAGAATTAAAGTGGATGCACTTCTTTATATGGTCCAAAAACTTGTCAAGGTTAGAAAAAGGTTTAAAGGTTCAAAAATCGTAATGCACAAGGTAAAGGAACTCATCCATATGGCTCCATAATAGTTGGTCTCTAGAGCCATGATAAGATCACAAAAACCCTCTCAGCCTCGACCACATAGCCTCATTATTGTTTGTGTGCACTCCGGTTGTGTAAGTTTATCATTTTTATCATGGAAATGTCCCTACAATACTCATACCACTGAACACTCGAAGCATCAGTGAAATCTGCGATTTCGCAGCCAATGTTACTGGTACTTTTATCATGCAGTTCGCGGAAATTGTTATAATATGCCTTAATCTCAATCTGGATCGAGCGAAAAAGGTTCCTATCCTAGCAAACACCCTCCTTCAACATATATTACATCGAAGGACAACATCACTGTAGTCTGAACAAAGGTCTACAAGTCATTTAATACCCGCAATTACAAATACAGGAGCTTCTTATTAGTCTCATTTGTTGTAGCCGCTTAATTGTCAAGTCTTCTCTATAGTTCTCTGTGAACCGATCGTACATGAGCACGAGGTACTAAAATCGGCGCCGTGACCTTGAAATCCCTCAAGCGTTTCAGATTAGCTCGTCCATAAATTATAGTCTCGCTGTGAGTTGATATCTCACAACAGACCCGGTTGAACTCCACCTATCACTGCTTCTCACTAGAACGAGACTGATAGGTCCTGGGTTCGAATCTCGCGAGGCGAGATCGTGGATGCAAACTGCTGAAGAGTCCCACAATAGGATGAAACTGCAGTCCAGTGCTTCCAGGTTTTCTTTGGTGGTCTAGCTTCAATTGACTGATGATTTCAACTATGAAAATACTAGATCTCCACAAAAGCCTTTTCAGATAAAGTAAAATGTGTTCATTCATATCACTAGTCTATTAAGTCATCAATATATATTACTTCTTTACGCCTGTTACCACTCATCGTGGAGGAGCATAGGCTACCGACCAGCATTTTTCATTCAACCCTGTCTTGGGCAATCCTTTTATTATCTGCTTCCAATTTCCGACACAGTATGTTCTTTTATCTTCTTTTCCGTTTCCCCTTCAGGATATATGCTGCTAAACATGAATTTTTTAAAATCACTACATTTTAAATAAGATTTGTAATTCTTAGAAATGTTAAATTATTATTTTTTTTCTTAAATAGAAAATTTACAATATAGCAGAAGAACAATTGAGAAAATTGAATTCTTTCTCATCACAAATTGAATCTTCACGTAAATGGTTACATAAATGTTGTAATGAACATACTGACAAATTGAATAATCTAATCAAAAGTGATTTAGATCATATTGATTCATTAGATCAATTAAAAGCTAAGCATAAATGTTTAACAGAATTTTCTTCAATACTCAATAAAGATGGTGAAACTCATTTGATAAAATGTCAAGAGGTTATTCAACATATTCTTGACTCTGATGAATGTTATGATACTACAGTGATTATTATGTTGACACGTCGAGAATTGTCTAATTTACAGTCAGAATTAAACATTATTTCTAGGGAGAATGACAAAGAACTAAAGGAGGTGAGTATTATTTGTATAATCAACTTTTTGTTCCTGTTAATTGACTGCAACATTATTTAAACATAATTAGATGTTTATTGATATAACAAATGTGGACACTGACATGATAAGAAATATATCAATGATGCTGTAATTAAGGATTACGTAATGGCTGTAGAACCAAATGAATTTTAATGGTCAAATAAGATCACAGGATAGACAAATATCTTACTCCATTGCGAAACATTTGGTTGAAACTAATCATAAAGTTGACATCAAGTCAGCGTTTGTAGTGGTGTACAAAAGCCTTCAACGGGGGTATACTAAGGTTTATTGAAGCTTTGCCTATACGGAAATTGAAACCCCTTTTATATGTTCAAAAACAACTTGTTCTTACCCTTAAACTACCCTGGTAATGCTGATTTATTATACAGTGTAGTCATCACATTGTTTGTTTGTATTTTATTTATTTTCTTTCTTTGTTACGGCTTACCTTAACCTATCTAGTTGACCATTTTAATTTTCATATAAAAATGTCTTAACAAGTATATTAGGTGTGATCAGATTGTTCGAAATGTATTGCGCAAATATATCACATAATTCTGATAAACTTCGTCTTCTCATAGCATTATCGACATTTGACGACTTAGTTGATTTGGATATGCTTCTGAAACATTCTATCACTACTCATTTGAATACGTAATACTACCTGGTTTAAGAGTAGATTGGAAGAAAGTCAGGGTTGATCACAAAAGAACATGGAAGTAGATGAATATTGATCTGAAAAGTATAAGTAGGTACTGATATGCTTGATGCTAATTCGATTTTTCTCGGTAAACGAACGAGGGTCAATTACACAGTGACACGATAGGCTATTATAATCCGTTGTCCCAGGCCCCGCTAACTAGAGGAAGAAGTCCAAGGTGAAGTAGGGGAAATATATTCCGTAAGCAGACGAGTACAAACAATCGTAAGGGAAAAAACTCAAAGCGATAAATTATCCTTGGGCTGCATTACAAAATAGCACACTAAAAGATACAACAGACCAAAAAGCATTTAAGATATTTTGCAAGTGGGAAGTTCGACTCGAAGGTGAAAAGAGCGCTTTTAGCGCGAAAACAAAGAAATTCAAATTTTCAAAATAAAATTACTAAATTAGGTCATTTACCAAGTAAGTGCTGGCAATTTAACATCCCCAACAGGTACAAATCCCTGATGGACGAGTACGTAATCATTGCGATCAATAGTCAGATGACATATGAAATGACAAAATCAATGTTTATCCAGTAAATCCATTACGTTCTTTTCCAATCAAGATCACATTTTGTCCATTTTTTTACAATCAGAAATAGTAATATTTTAGTGTGGTCTGCTTATATCCATATAAGTAGTATATGGCGATAGTCAGAAATAGAATGCATTTTGGCAGAAGACAGATTGGGAAAGAACTGAAATGAAGCGCAATTGGTAGGAAAATGCATGAATAATGGAATTAGAGAAGATGGACTGATATTTACAGAAGAAACAGTGAAGATTGATCTAATTGATTGTTATTTTGCAAATTAACTGTTTACTGTGTGGTTATCAGAATTTAGTGAGATAGTCTATATTATTGTGCCTAAATACATTCGATTGTCCCCACCCGTTTTCTGTTCACTACAATGTTACTTTGACTTAATTATAGTCATCTAGCTGTGTAGAGGTGATATATTTGACAACCTAATTCGAAATACATCTGTACCATGTTCTCAATCATTTTTACTGACTTACCGATTTAAAACATAGAAGTCAACTTGAGTCACGTTTTGATGATAATATTATTGCAATTCTGCCTTAAACTTACTGATCATTCACAGTATTTCTTACAATCATTTATTTCATCTAAATAGATTGAAGCTAAAATCGCTCGTCAGTCTAAATTTATCAGTCATATTGAAGCTGAGGAAAAATGGTTGAATGATCTTGAAAACAAGATGAATCAAGATCATAGTCATTTAAACAATTCTCAATCCACTGCTGAACTATTACAGAACATCCAAACCGAGACCGATCATTATAATCAACTACTTAGTAATATAAATACTCATGATCAACAAATTGATGAACAGTTATATCCTGAAGCTCAATCATTGAAAGATTCTTCATCATTGCAAAGAATTGACAATTTGAAAGGTCAAATCAAAACGTTGAAACAAAATTTGGAAAAAATTGTTACTAATTTAAATGTACAAACTAAATCAATTTATGCTTTTCAACAAGCTGTGGAAAAATTTAAATTAAATCTTAAGAATTTTGAAAGTCAAAGGAGTTCAATCTTAGAAGCACAGACAGTTAGTTATGTAAACATGGAAAGTGATAGTCAGTTATTAGAAGAGTTTTATATGAATATGAAAAAGCAAATCGAAGTAAGTTCATCTAATAACCAATTTATATGTCGTGAAAATGATACTTGTTTGTCATTACGGGATTGCAAAAGCTGTCTAATTTAATTGAAATCATAAATCGATTAAAGTTAGTGATAAGTCTTATCGATTGAACGCTATATTCGTTTGGTCAAGCTATTCTGGTAACCTAAAGGCTAGAACTACTCAGCGACTTGAATACCAGAGAGAAGGCGCAAGTTTGAGAGAAAATACTTTACTCTGAGGTTCGTTCTTGTACATAAAATCATAGGTATTTATAGATGTTAACGTCTGTTAAATCAACATCGTATTTCAGCCAATCCGTTAACGACATATTATGCTACCGACCAATAGTACCATGCCATGTTGGAATTCTAGAATGTTCCATCATACTATATTGGCTAGGGCTCTTCGGCTCCTTTTGGGCCTCTGGAGGCTCCGTTGAAGTTCTCCGGAAGCCGACTCAACAGTTAGACAACTATTGAAAGTGTGAAAGCACTGAACAGTCATTTTGTCTTAGTATAGAACTCCTCGAAGGCGGAAATCGAACCCAGGACTTTCAATATCTTGTGAGAAATAGATCATATAAGTGAATGATGAAACTTATGATTGTAATTGCATATGAATTTATCGTATAATAAAAATTGATTTTAATAAAGTGAAAATTCCCATTTTGACATTTGTTAATTAAGAAAGGAACGAATCGAGCGAAGAAATTTCTTTTCAATTAGTTTTTCATCATGGCTCTACACTAATATATATATATGATTTACAATAATTAAATAACACCCATGGAGTAGATACGTTACGTAATAATTAATAATAATAATAATCGATTATAAACTAACATTAATTGAAAGAGAAGGATTAATACTAATCAAAGTTATTATTCGAAAATCAAGCTGTTGCTACGTTGCATAATATATAAAAAAGAGAAGAAAGAACTAACAAAATATTTTGATGAATGGTCAGTAATATAGTAATTATGTAAGAATCAAGAGACGAATGAAGAGAATAAGTAAAATACAAAAAATGGTAGGAATAAGATAATTGTTTACCGAAATTATGCTACAAACTCCGCTATACCGATGGCCAAGGTAGCGAGAGTGGTTGTACAAACTTCTTTTGGATACAAAGGTTCGGTTTGTGGATATGAATTGCAATGGCTTCAGCTATGTGCAATAGACGAGCTCGTAAACCATGTGGCAAATTAGATGGAATATGGTAGATAACCTTAAAAACTTTGTTCAGTTCAACATCATGACCTGTGTCTACCAAGTGAGCGAGAATGATTTTTTTTCTGGTTAGCGTTTTTTTAGCGAGTTGATTTTCTACGGGATGGGGTCGCTAACCCCATGCCCAACCCTCCTCCTTTACCCGGGCTTGGGACCGGCAGTAACCCCCAGAGGAGCTACAGGCGGAGCGAGAATAGAATTCTTAATCCCCTTTACCTGTCCTTTAGTCAACCATGACGGATGGTGTTCTGTTATTCGTTGACGAACTTGCCGAATTGTACGCTCTATATAACTGGCTCCACAGGAGCAGTTGAATTGGTAAATACACATAGATGTGGCGAATTCAAGCAATCTGTCTTTATTAACAGTTCTTATTGTGGGGCGGTTGTAGAAGACGGTACTAAGTCGGGCTGCATTAAATGTTTTCTGTACTGCCCTTCTTAACCTCTGTGTCAAGATTTCTTCAGTAGCATCATTTAAGATTGTAACTTTAGGAACAGTTTTTTCTTCGGAACAGTAGGTACCTTTGTCCTTCTTTTCGTCTCCGTCATGTGTTTGTCGATGAATTTCATTGGATACCCATTCCTACTAAACAAGTTTCGAATATTAGCCAATTCATCTAAAATAATGTCATCAGAGCAAATCATTCTAGCACGATGAGTTGGGATCTATATTAGGTTTCTTTTGTATTTCATTGGTACTGCGCTATAGAAATGAGTGTACTGTCCAACTGTAGATTTTCTATGTAATTCTCTTTTTAATGTTCCGTCTATTCTTCTGGTTAGTTGGACATCTAAAAACGATATACTACAATTCTGTTCTTCTTCTAGTGTAAACGTAATTAAATATATTAAGGATGTTCTCCTTTTCATGTTCTTTTTCTAATACTATGACAATATGATGTTAGATAGCTAATTGTGTCTTTGAGTGGATTTATGAAGTTATTAAGTCAAACATAATTATCAACAGTCTTAGACAAAAAGAAGTCGAGTCCATTTGAGCAGTACACCATTGAAATTAGCAAGACAACTAGCCTAACTCACCACTATAATACGAAAATACGAGTGTCTGAGATTACACGACTATTAGACTGAATGCTCTATCAACACGTTATATACACAGACTGTGATCAAGTTATATCAGATACATTATTTGAGAGCAAATATCTGAGACTTGAGTATAAGGTAAATTATATTTTGTTTGACACAACTATAAACAGCCTACACGCAATAAATTCTGGAATAGAAATCAATGATATAAAAGGAAAATTAGATAATAAATAATCAGAAGGGGGTTTTTTGTAGAAAGCATGAGTCAATTGAAGCTATACTACCAAGGAAAACCTGGAAGTACTGGACAGCCGTCTCGTCCTATTGTAGACGCCTCAACAGTGTGCATCCACGAACCCACTCTCGCGAGCGAGATTCGAATCCAGGACCTACCAGTCTCCTGCCAGAGCACTTCACCGATAGACCACTGAGCTGGCATCCAATGGTGTTTTTAACTAACTTCAACCAATCCACGAAGTTTGAGCAACCGTTCACCAATTGTCTTCATTGAGTTCCTATCTCACAACAGACCTGGTTTGAACTCCATTGGTCACTGTTTCTCACTGGAACTCCAGGAATTACCATTTGAAGTCAGTCACGAGTGAGCATATGATTATTATTATTATTATTATTATCATCAGAAGGGGTTTTTGTGGAGATTTATTATTTTTATAGTTGAAAGTGTGAGTCAATTGAAGCCAATGCTACCAGGTTTTCCCTGATGGTCTAGCTTCAATTGACTCACGCTTTCAACTATGAAAATACTAAATCTCTACAAAAAACCGCTTCTGATAATTATAAATTTTAATTATTAGAATCTATACATCTACTTCTACTTCTATATATTTATAACTTCTTGTTATGATTTTAATATTTTTCCTTCTTTCAACTTAAAGGATCTTCGTACAAATCAATCTGAATTACTTAAACAATTAAATGATATAGAATATCTTACTAAATCAATTAATTTTATACCAAATAATGATCTAGATCAATTACAACAAGAATATGATCAATTTCATGATAATCTTGAACAAAATTATGAAACTATTCAAATCATTTTAAATGAATTCAAACAATTAAATCAATTAATCAATAATATAAAAAATTATTTAAAACAAAATTTTGATGAAATTTCAATCATTCTTAAAAAAGAACCAAACTATTTAAATAATAATAATAATAATAATAATTTAAATTTAAATGAATTAAATCAATTTTATCAATTTAATTTTAATGAAATTAAACAAATTTGTTATGAATTAGGTATAGAATTAACTAATGAATTATCTTTATTAAATCATAATGAATCATCTAAATTTTCATTATTACATAATGAAATTAATGAAAAATTTAATAAAATTTTATTAATTATTAAAAATAATAATTCATTAAAACAATTAAATAATTTAATAAAAATACAAAAAAATTTGAATCAATATCTTGAAAAATCAATAAATGATATTGATCATCAATTTATTGATTTATCACAATTTATAAATCATTTAAATCAAATAATAACTTATTCCAATGAAATTGAATCAAAATTTAATTTTATTCAAATTGAATATGATAATATTCAATTAAAATTAATAAATGAATTTAATGACATTAATATTCAATCATTAAATCAATTAATTAATCAATTAAATAATGAAATTAATCCATATGAAATAACATTTCATAAATTTATACAAAATATACAAACAAAAAATCGATTTTTTATTAATATTGATTATTATTTATTAAATTATTTCAAACAATTCATCAATAAAAAAGAGATATTAATGAATAATATTAAAGAAACAATTAAAAAATATGAACAATTAAATAATATTGAATTAAACTATTTAAATCATTTAAATGATATAAATCATGAATTTGATCAATTATTGATTTTATTACAATCAATAAATCAATTGAATCATATTGATTTTGATCAACAAATTCAATCTATAACCGATCAATATTCAAAATTATATAATCGATATGAAACGATATATGATAATTTTATTAAAACAAATATTCAAAGTAATAAGATCAATGAATTAAATTCAAAAATTTCAGTAAAAATTGAAAAATTTAATGAACATTTAAATCAATTAAAACAAAATTATGAAAAACAAAAAATAAATTCTAATTTAATTCAAAAAAATTTAAATCAATTAAACAATTATTTAAATCAATATCGTTTACAAATTATAAAAAATATTAATCAATTTTCAATAAAATCAATAAATAATTTATCATTTGAACAAATAATCAATAATTTTTTGATTGATTTAAATGATTATTTAAATGATTTTCAAAAACTACAAGAAATAATCAATAAAATTGATATTGATCCAAATGAACATTTAAAATTTAAAAAAATTATTGATTTATCAAAACTATTAATCGAAATCAATAATCTAAATAATAAAAATTCTTCAGCATTGATTAATTCGAATGATTTTTTAAATGAATTAAATAGTATCATTGAATGGTTAGAAAATATTATTCATGAATTTAATATAATACAAACAAATTATCAAAATTTATTAAATAAAACTAAACAATTACAAAATACATATAATGATATATTACAATTATATAATGAAAAATTAAATTTTCAAAAAATCGATATCCAATATATAATCAATAATGAAAAATCAATAAAATTAAAATTCATTCATGAATTAGATCAAATAAAACAATTACAATTATTTAATTTATTAAATAATTTACAATTCGTTAAACAACAATCTAATCAATTATTTAATAAACCTCAATCGAATATACAATTAAAATTTATTGATGATTTATTGATTCATGATTTTATTAATCAAATGGATCAATCATTATCATTATTATCTAATAATATTAATAATACTATTACACAATATAAATCAATATATGATAATGAATATCAATTCAATCAATTATATCATTCCATAAATGAATGGATACATAATTATGAGCATGATTTATTGAATATTGAACAACAAATATCTAATCTTATGATTGAACCTATTCAATCATATAATTCTTTAAATGTATCCATCATTCAAAAAAATATTGAAAATTATTTAAATGATATACAAACATTAAATAATCAATATTTAAATGGTGAAAAATTATTACAATCAATAATCAATAAATTTAATCAATATGATGAATTACGTAATAGTACAGAAATTAATAAATTACATCATCGTATAACAGAAATCAATAAATCACGTTTAAATCATATTAAAACGAATTTATTACAATATAAAAATAATTTAGATCAGTTTATCTCAAAAGGTAATACTATTAATGAACACTTAAATAAATATGAACAACGTATTGATAAATTAAAACAATTTTCAATATTATTAAAAATCAATAAATTAGAAGATTTATTGATTGATGAAACATTCACTGATACATTAAAATGGAATGAATTATTGATTGAATTGGAAGGTTTTAAACATGACACATTAGATCCTTATGAAGTATTATATAATAAAACTGATTTAAAATTACCCAAAGATTATGTAATCAATTTTAAAAAACGTTATGATGCATGTTTAACTATTGTAAAAGATAAAACAGAAGAAATTCAAAATCATACAATGAAATTAAAGAAATTAAAAGACAAGTTAGAAGAATTTAATAAATCTCTTGAAGGAGCTAATATAAAGTATAAAACATTGATAAATCAGTTTAAAATTGAATTTGATGAACAATATACACATTGTAAATTAAGTGAAATATGTCAATTAATTATGAAAATGATGCAACAACTAATAAGTCATTTAAAAGAATATGATTCACATTTTATGGAAAAATTACTAACTACTCATAAAAATATAAGTAGTCAAACTTTAGAATGTGAATTAAAATTAGCATTTGAGAATTCATTATTATTTGATAAATTTACTTCATTAAAATCTGAATTAGCAGATTATACACATAGTCTTGATGAATTATATAATGAACTAAAGAGTCTTACTACAGATATTATCAAATATGAACAATGGTTTGAAAATATAGACAAACAATATCAACAAACAAATACTAATTATACCATAGAAAATTTAGTATTCAATAAAAGTTCTTTATATCAATCCATTACGGAATGTGCAATTGATGAATTAGAAAATGAATCAAATAATAATTCAGCTAGTTTAGGACAACTTAATTCACATTATCAAAAATCATTACAAGTATTTCTTGAATTACGTAAACTAGTCCTAGAATATAATCCATGCATTAATATCCTAACAGAAAAATTATTAACATTAATACGACAAATAATCAATATTCATAAATCATTTTCAAAAATCAATATTGATTTACAATCAAATCATCAAATGATCAATAATCCTATGATATATGGTATTGATATTATTGAACAAAATTGTACAAATATGAAATCAATATATCAAAATTTAATAAATCATATTAATCAAGATATTAATAATATACAAATTAAATCAACTTATTTAATACAATTAATACAATCCAATAAAGATTTAGATATATGGATCAAAGATTGTTTACAATTTATTAATCAAATAAAACAAGAAACTACTAATAATACTACTAATACTAGTATTAGTAATGATAATGATAATGGTAGAATAGATCAAATTCAAATAAAATTAGATATTGGTAAAACATATTTACAATCTATACATGAATGGATAGAACAATTAAAACAACATACTACTATTAATACTACTACTGCTACTACTACTAATAGTACTAATACTATTAATACTATTAATACTACTAATAATAGTAATGAAATCAATACAATAATCAATAATTTATTCAATCAACAATATAAACGATCAAATGAAATCTATCAATATATTATTAAATTAATTAATACAATAAAACAACAACAATTAAAACAAAATCAATTAAAACAATCTATTGAATTAGAATATTTATCATATGAAAATTGGTTTAAAAAATGGAAAGAAAATTTGAATTTAATAAAAATTAAAATATCCAAATTATTGATTAATAATAATAATAATAATAATGAATTAAATGAATTTAATTTAATCAATATTGAAATTAATCAATTATTGAATGAATTAAATGAATTAAATAAAGAATTAATCAATAAACAATCATTATTATTAACAATCAATAATAATACTAATACTAGTACTAATAATAATAATACTAATATTAATAATAATAATAATAATAAATTAGAATTCAATCAATCAATCGATAAAAAATTATCAATCATGATTAATGAAATGAAAGAAAATCAATTATCAATTGAACAAATAATTTTATGTTTAAAACGTGTTAAAACAAAATTAAAAGAATTTTTTGAATGTATTAAAACAAATAAACAATGGATAAATGAAATAAATGAACAATTTAATAAAATAAAAAATGATGAAGTAAGTTATAATTTTGAAATGAGATGAAATAAAAAGGAATAATTTTTCAATTTTTCCAGGACGCCCGTTTCGTCCTATTTAAGACTCGTCAACTGGATGTACCTACATCTCAGAGTTGATATTCATTCAAGGATTCGAACGTAAAACCGTTCGCTTTAAATGCTGTCGTATTATTTACTCAGCTACTGAATCCCGATATCTTCTTGCTTGTGAAATGGGATGTAGGCACATCCAGCTGATTAGTGTCGAAAAAGACAAAATGCGCGTTGTGGATTCCACTGCTAGCCACCATCAATCTTAGCTTATAATGCTTGTGAATTAAGTTGATACTGAGGCAATATGCAATACGCATTTAATGCATTCAGTTCTTAATTACAGTCATTTTGAACATTTTTCAAATTGAATACCACTATATACCTGTGTGAACAGCGATATTTTTCCCCACATGGAACAAAACCTTTCTTTTTTTTTTGAAAAAAAACAGCTAATAATGAATTATAATCAAAGATGGATAGTGGCTAGCAGTGGAATACAGGACGCGAGTTTCGTCCTATTTGGGACTTGTCAGATGTTCACTGTGTGACTCGAATCCAGTACCGTTCGCTACAAACGTTATCGCTTTTTCCATTTAGCTACTGAGTGCTTATCTATAATATCTACATATACAAATAAAACAAAATAATTAAATGAAATAATAAATTCTGTTGTTAAATGATTCTATTAAAACAAAATAACATGTCTGCATTTTTGCTAGAATTTAAATAGAAATTGAAAGAAAAAGTGAAATCTTGTTTTCTTTATGTCTGAGTTTCTCTTTTTTTCAATTTTTGATAACAACTATTGGCAAATTTACTTTTGGATAACCTTCTTGGTATTGAATGTTGTTACATTGAAAATGAAATAGTCGCTATTAAGCATTGAATAAGTTCATAAACATATATCAGGACACAGTATCTAAGTAGATAACACGATAGCGTTTGAAGCGAATGGTACTGTGTTCAAGTCCTAAGGTGAACATCAACTGTGAAATGCAAGTAGATCCAGCTGATGAGTCCCAAAGAAAACGCGCGTCCTGGATTTCACTGCTAGCCACTATCCATCTATGCTTATAATGTTTGTATATTAAAGTAATATCGAAGCAATACTCACAGTATGCATATATGGCCAATAAGAGACTGATCAATTGCAATCATAAACATCCGTGGGAAGATTCAAACAAACTATATCAAGTGAATTTAATTAATAATGAATATTATGATGGAATTTTATTTTTCTGAGCTGGATGGTTTGATCATGAAACTTTCATCGTCATTCTGAACGACATCATAAGCACAAACTCCAGATAGAGGTGAAATGTTTAAATTTCTCCATATATAGTTCACAGATTATCCTGTACACCTTGATATTGATTGATTTTTATTGACCTTTATTTAATCTATCATTGTTTATTTCTTTATCTTAATTGTATCTCCATCAAAATCATTCACCTGAACTATAAATCTTCTCTATCATCTCATATGTATTTTTTTTTGGGTTATAATTTTCATAGAGTCCAATCAGAATATCACCTTATTCATCATCTAAAGCTGAATCTATGAAACCTGAATATTCCACAACTAATACACAATATTTAATAAATACAGAACAAAATTTGTCATTAAAACAATCCAATGAATTACAACCAATTACATCATCATCCTCATCCTCCCCATCCTCCTCATCATCATCATTTCTAATGAATCATTTATTACAACAATATCAGATTAAATTTGATAAAATCAATAATTTTATGAATCATATGAATAATAAATCAATAATATTAATTAATAATATAAATAATTTATTTAATGAATTTGAAAATGATTTCATTGAATTACAAATTAATTATACAATAATAATCAATAATATTGATTTTATACAAAATTCTATTCAATCTATATATCAAAATATTATTAATTATAAAAATACTATACAATTAATAATTAATCAATTAAATCAATTAAATAATCAATTAAATTATTATAAACAATGGTTAATAAATAATTTAATAAAAATTAAAAATTTAAGTCAAAAATCAATAATTGGTATAAATGATTTATCAATAAATCAATATATTAAAGATAATAATAATAATAATAATAATCAATTGATTATTGATATTTATTATCCAATTGATGGAATTATACAAAATTATCAAGTAAAAAAAATGATATTTTTATTTTTATTTTTTTAATTTTTTTTCCTGTTACTATTCATGATTTGCTTTATTCATGTATAGATATGTTGGAGTCAGACAACGCTGTCTACTCTCCTCATTTCTTTTCCTTCTACTGATTGACTAGATTATGAAGACTTTGACATCTGAGGAGAAATACGGAATGCAATGGATTTCTCAGAATCAATTAGATGATTTGCATTTCCTCTCTCATACACATGAACAAATACAGAGAAAGACAACAAATGTAGCAGCAGTCTCTGCATCAATAGGTCTCAATATACATAAAGGAAAAAGCAAAATTCTTAACTACAACACGGGAAAACACCAAACCAATCACACTTGATGGTGAAACTCAGGAAGAGATGGAAAAATTCACGTACCTGGGAAGCATCGTTGATAAACAAGGAGGTTCGGATGCAAATGTAAAAGCAAGAATTGGAAAAGCAAGGACAACATTTCTACAATTGAACGACATATAGAACTCAAAACAACTGTCAACTAATTTCAAAGTGAGAATCTTCAATGCGAACATCAAGACAGTATGTAAATAATAATCGGATGTAAAAATGTCAATTCTCACATTCAATAAAAGCATTTTATCCTATTTCGTTTTGAACGAATCAGATTACAAAACTGCACCATTTACAGCCAATTAAAAACTTATTACAGGTGACAAAATGTTTTGTACACCTTCAGTTGCGCACACACATTCAAAAACGAGTTCACCAATCACTAATTGCTAAATTTTTTTCACATCCTTAAATTTCGAAAAAAGGGTGGTAGGGAATCCATACGTGCCGTGAAATTAATGTCAACTGTCCATTTGCTGTTGAATTGTGTTGAGTTTTGGCGTTTAAATATGTTTACGTTCCAGTCAGGCTAATCATCTGCTCTTGATCTGAGTTATGTTGAAGTTCTTTTTTGGAATCGACACTAGAAAGGAATCTAGCATACATTATTATTATTATTATTATTATTATTGTATTATTATTGTTATCAGCTTTATTCAATATCATATTTTTTGTACAATATAGAATTCTCAGCATAAAACATTTGAACATGATTCCGCTTTTTACTTCTTGGTCCATCCTGACAATAAATATTGAATGATCGCCAGATAGAAGTTAACAGTTCAGTCAATCAACATCTGAATAATGTACATTTTTTTCTCTGCATACACATTAACAGCAATCACGATGCTTCTCATTAGACCTTTTGTAATTTGTACAACGAAACGTTGTACACTTTTCAGAAACTCACCTGAATAGGCTATATGATGAATAGCCATAATGATATATTAAAACAAACAAAATTAGATAACTTGTTGAAATATCTAGTTAGCAGGAGTAGGCAGCCCAGATATTCAAACAGGCCGACATATTCATCTAAGGTAAATTAACGTTTGAGCTTTATAACGATATACATATCTGTACATTACTTACTTACTTACTTACGCCTGTTACCCCACGTCGTCGAGGAGCATAGGCCAACCACCAACATTCTCCATCCAACTCTGTCCTTAGCCTTCTTTTCCAGTTCTTTCCAGTTGTTATTCGTTCTTTTCATATCTGCTCCAATTTCCCGGCGTACTGTGTTCTTTAGCCTTCCTCAATTCCGCTTCCTTTCACCATTCCAAATTAGGGATTGCCTTGTAATGCACATTGGTGATTTTTTCAACGTATGTCCTATCCACTTCCAATGTCTTTTCCTAATTTCCTCTTCAGCTGGAACCCGCTGGTTTGTCCTCTCCCACAGAAGGCTGTTGCTGATAGTATTTGGCCAGTGAATGTTGAGTATTTTGCGTAAACAACTGTTTATAAATACTTGTATCTTCTTGACGATGGATATAGTAGTTCTATACGTTTCAGCTCCATACTCCATCTGAGGAACGATTGTTCTATCCAGTATAGCTCGATTCATTCATCACGATAGGCAAGCCCGACCACCACGGGAAGGTAACAGCAACGGTTGGTCCTACTGAATGACTGACTGATAATTAACAATACCTTCACAAACTATCTACCTAAAGTAGATTTAAAGAACGTTTTTAAATGTTTCAGAAACAAAACCCATATTTAATAATATAAACTAATTAATGTTATTTTTGTTTATATATTTTCAATATCAGGTATTTCAAAGTGAATTAATGTCACAAAAATCTGAATTAACTCAATTAAATAGTTTATGTGAATCAATTCAACAAACAACTAATGATTCTGGTGCTAAAAATTCTTTAAATCAATTATTAATGCAATATCATAATTTAATTAAAAGTTGTGAGGTAAGTAATGATAAGAGAGAGATAAAGGTTTTTTTGCTGGGGATGTTAAATTCCCAGAACTTTCTTGGTAAACAACCTATTTTGAAAATTTGAATTTCTTTGTTTTCGCGCCAAAATAGGTCTTTTCACTTTCGAGTCGTATTTCCCACTTGAAAATATCTTAGATGCTATTGGTCCATTGTATCTTTTAGTGTGATATTTTGTAATGCTTCCCAAGGACAATTTTATGTTGTATATATACGTTTGATTTCTTCCTATTGTGATTGCTTGTGCTTTTGGCTGCTTACGGAATATGTATTCCCCACTTCCAACTTGGACTTCTTACTCTAGTTATCTGGGTCGGGGACGCGTCAGAATAGCTAGTTTATTGATCTCTAGTCACAAGTCCTTGTTCCGTTCGCTGACTAAATGAATTCAAAACCGCTTCAGACATAACAGTTTTTAATATTGAAAAAATATTTTAATGAATCATTCTATGGTGTGTGCTACTTATGTCAATAAATATAAGTAGTATGTATCATCAATAGAAAGTGAAATATCTGACGGATGAAGTTTAAGAAAATCAAAGAGAAGAGAATGACAACAGAGAGTGATTGATATGAAAATAAAGGAACAATGAAGTCTATGATCATTGATTAATATTTTTGAAATGAAGTATTTAATGTATGGTTCTCAGATGTTACTAAGTAATTCAATAATTTTGTAATCAAATAAATTCGATTGTTCCCACTTTCGTTCTCGTTCACTACAATTGAATTCAATTATCAACAGGTTTTTAACATTCGGCTAACCAATTACGTAGAGAAAAAGATATCGAGACTAAATGAGGAGATTTTTATGTCAAATGTCGAATACTGATGTTTAGAGATTGTATATATTTGTAGATTTTTCGATTGGCAAAAATAATTAATCCATAACCTGAAACTTATGATTAATTCACTCACTTATAGTAAAACAGTCACATTTACACCATTTACACGCATCCAGGATCTCTCACGTGGGATTCAGCTCAGTGGTCTAAAGGTTAGGCGTTCACGCGTGAGACCGAAAGTCTTGGGTTCGAATCTCACATGCGGGACTGTGGATGCTCAACTCTGAGGGTCCCATACTGGTACAAAACGGCCGTACAGTGTTTCCAGGTTATTAACAGTGGTCTAACACTCATCAATCCACGATCTCAATCAAAATATAATTACTGTTTGTTACATCGAAGTGATAGTTTCCAAAAAGTTTGGATTTAAAAAGTTGTCAACGATCAATAAGAAAATAAACGTATGATATTATTTATGTAAAAAATGTCATAATTAATTATCAAAAGAAATGTTTCTTACAGTAATTTGTAGTTTCTATAAAATAATCTGTCGGCAAGTAAAATGGAAATATGTCATGGAACAACCAAACTTCGACTTGAGATGGTGGTTGGAGGTGATCAACAGGAAACCTTTGATCCGGATTTCGTGCTACTTGGCACTCGTCAGCAAGGTGTACCTGTAATCGTCAGGGAACTGATGCTCCCTGACGGATTCAATTCCGTGTCACTCAGCTTCACAGTCAGAGACGTTACCATTGAGGTATCTAGGCCGCGACCGACCTCCTATAGAACTGAGATGTAATCACAATTGATTGATCACTGGGTGAAGATCAATGTCATGCGTGTCCAGTCTTTCTTAGTGCTGATCGAATGCTATCAATCAAGTTGTAATGTGGCCACTAGTCTAGGTAGTTCAACACTGCGTGCACTATATATTGAGATAAGATGGTGGTTGGAGGTGGTCAACATTAAACCCTGGACCCGGGTTTCGTGCTACTTGGCACTCGTCAGTAAGGTGTACATGTAATCTTGAGGGAACTGATACTCCCCGACGCATGATATTGATCACCACCCAGTGATCAATCAATTGTGACAACAACCAAACGTTGCATAACAGTTTAAATTTTGATAACAGGTGACAAAGAATTATTGACGATTACTTTTTTCAGATGTTTATCATATCATAGTGTGTTAGTACACCGTTTTTTTTCAAGCATTTCCACACTTTATGGAAGATTTCTACTTATTTTCAATTGTCAATCATTGATCACAATGTATATCTATTAAACTAGTCTTATATCAACATTCCATTGTAAATTATTTAAATATCTTCTATTTCCTTTAGGATGTTTTATCTAAACTTCAACTTGTATTTATGGAAAATAGAGAATTTCAAGTATTATGTAATAGTATTAGAAATCTTCTTAATACTTTAACAACAGAACTAAAAAGTATTAATACAAATGATCAGAATTCAAATTTATCTGAAAACCATTTGAATACAATTACAGTAAGTTTATTTAAATCTTTTTCAAATTGTTGCCAAAATAATGAAGGTCATTTCTATCATTTTATTTTGAAGTTTGCTCAAACTAAAGATCATTTACTATAGTTGAAAGCGTGAGTCAATTGAAGCTAGACCACCATGGAAAACCTGAAAATTGACTCACGCTTTCAACTATAGTAAATACTAAATCTCCACAAAAACCCCTTCTATAATTAATATAATCATATGCTCACTAGTGACTTCGAGAAGTATACCTAGGAGCTCTAGTGAGAAGCAGTGACCAGTGAAGTTCAAAACCACGTCTGTTGTGAGATAGGAACTCACTGAAGACAATTGGTGAATGGTTGCTCAACTTCGTGGATCAGTTGAAGTTAGACAATAACACCGTTGGATGCCAGCTCAGTGGTCTATCGGTTAAGGGCTTCGGCTCGAGACTGGTAGGTCCTGGGTTCGAATCTCGCTCGCGAGAGTGGGTTCGTGGATGCGCACTGCTGTTTCGTCTCATAATAGGACGAAACGGCCGTCCACTGTTTCCAGGCTTTCTATGGTAGTCTAGCTTCAATTGACTCACACTTTCAACTATAGTAAATACTAAATCTCCACAAAAAAACCCTTCTATAATTAAAGATCATTTGCCAACCATAAATAAAATTGATGTTATACTCATCAAAAATGAGTTGATAGGTATCAATACCAAGGTTAAACTAGGTAGTTTCAAAAAATTGAGCATTGGATATAAAGTTAATAATAAATATATATTTTTTGTTATATGCCAATGAAGTTAGACATTAACACCGTTGAATGCCGGCTCAGTGGTCCATCGGTTAAGGGCTCTGACTCGAGACTGGTAGGTCCTGGGTTCGAATCTCGCGAGTGTGGGATCGTGGACGCTCACTGCTGAGGAGTTTCATAATAGGACGAAACGGCCATCCAGTGATTCCAGGTTTTCCATGATGGTCTAGCTTCAATTGACTCATGATTTCAACTATGAAAATATGCCAATGAGTTGTCAAGTTGTATTTCTGAAGTTTCGAGATTTCGGGCAAGTCAGTACTCTGAAGAAGTGGTTTACATTAGATCACGAAACGTCAGAAATATTTTTCTAATTTTTGGGATATAACGCAAAAATATATTGATTACTATCAAAAAATGGTTAGTTGATATGAGTATGTCAGTTATTTAGAATCTTACCTATTTTATGTTACATTCTAATCTCAGTCTTAATAGGGGTACTTACTTACTTACTTACTTACCTACTTACTTACTTACTTATTTCCTTACGCCTGTTACTCCCAATGGAGCATAGGCCACCGACCAGCATTCTCCAACCCACTCTGTCCTGTCACTTCCTTTCTAGTTCTGTTCAATTTTTGTTCATTCTTCTCATGTCTGTCTTTATTTTTTGGCGTAATGTGTTCTTTGGTCTTCCTCTTCTCCTTTGACCTTCAGGATTCCATGTGAGGGCTTGTCTTGTGACACAATTGTGTGATTTCCTCAAAGTGTGCCCAGTCCACTTCCAGCGCTTCTTTCTGATTTCTTCCTCTGCTGGAATCTGGTTTGTTGTCTCCCACAGTAACTTGTTGCTGATAGTGTCTGACCATCGGATCCGAAATATCTTGTGTAGACACATGTTGATAAACACCTGTATCCTATGAGTGGTGGCTTTCGTAGTTCTCCAGGTTTTCGCCCCATACAGTAGAACTGTCTTGACATTTTATTGAAAATTCTAACCTTGGTGTTGGTTGACAGTTGTTTTGAGCTCCAGATGTTCTTTAGTTGCAAATATGCTGCTCTTGCTTTGCTGATCCACGCCCTCATATTTTCACCAGATCCACCGTGTTCATCGATGATGCTGCCCAGATATGTAAAGGTTTCCACATCCTCCAAAGCTTCTCCGTCAAGTGTAATTCGATGTGTGCATGTTGTATTGTATCGGAGAGTCTTGCTTTTCCCTTTGTTTATATTGAGACCTACTGCTGCTGAGGCTGCTGCTACACTGGTCGTTTATTCCTGCAATTGTTGTTACGTTTGTGATAGAAGAGCCAGATCATCCGCGAAGTCCAAGTCGTCAAGCTGCATCCTACCTGTCCACTGTATCCCGTGCTTTCCTGCAGATGTTGACGTCTTCATGATCCAATCGATCACCAGGAGATAGAGAAAGGGTGAGAGTAAGCAACCTTGCCTAACACCGGTCTTTACCTCGAATTAGTTGGTGTGTTGTCCTCCGTGGACGATTTGGCAGTCTAGTCCATCATAGGAGTTCCGTATGATATTGACTATCTTCTCAGGCACTCCGTAGTGTCGATGAAGCTTCCATAGTGTCGTCCTGTCCACGCTATCAAATGCCTTCTCGTAGTCGATGAAGTTGATGTAGAGTGATGAATTCCATTCGATTGATTGTTCCACAATGATACGTAGAGTTGCGATTTGATCTGTGCACGATCTATCTTTACGAAATCCAGCTTGTTGATTTCGAAGTATGTCATGATCCAAATATGTCAGTGGTGATGTCTCTAATTATGGAACGCAATATTGTGGGTTTAAAACACGTCCAAAGTTGCAGATTAATTTTGTTAGTAAATAGTAGCTAATAAGAAATGTAGATCCTTGAGTTATTGCTGTTTACCTTGAAACATCTGAGATTTGAATCAGCTCCAGAAGTTGTTGAGGATGTGCATTGTAACATGCTATATTCAACTGAGATGACTCACCAAGCAAAGAAAGATATAAAGGCCTCATTGTTTTCGTAACTAATTTCTGTGGGATCAAAAATGAACGAGTCATGGAACAAATGATTATGATATATTAAGTTTAGAGAATACCGAAAATTTCATCTACGTGACCACTTTTATTTAATAAAAATATATGTGTATAAGTGAATTGAAGGTTGTGGACTATATGACTTTAGTGGTTTTCAGCTTGCTTGTTGAATGGTCCATGTAGACTACGTAATGCATAATATTTATGGAAATTGAGATACTCTGAAAGAAATAATAATAAACGTTTGGTTAAATTCTGTTGTGATTTCTGCTCGTAGTTATATACTCGAAATCTCTGAATAACATGCACTTGGTGATAGTTCTGTCTAATGATCTCTCTAAGCTAGGGAACTGACCCTGTACTAATTAGAATAGTTGTGAGAGATATCACTAATAAGTTGTTTATGATATACTAAAGTTACAGTAAAGTGAAACTACATATATATCATCATAAGATGACCAGAGTATTAATTATCATATTCATATGTGCTAGGAAACTACTCCAGACACAAAACCTAAAGCAAGCAGTTTCCTATTAAGGGTAAGCTTCTCTACACTTTAAACTAAGATTCCAACCTACAAGATAGTGGAATAACTTTAAGAAGTATAGTTTAGTGGTTCTAAGTGACTGAAATAGATTCATACATCATTCGATCCACTAGATCTTGATATGAATTAATTAATGGGATAAAGACGTCTTCATTATTAGTTAGAAGATAAAGAAAGAAATTATATGAAAACTGAATTATAAATGGACGTTCAGATGATTACTTAAATTGCACAAGAATTAATTTTTCAGCTAGACACCTTATATTCAAAAAGACCCATATATTTTAACAAATAGGTAAGTGAAGTTAGTCAATCAGTTACAACGTAGGACCAGGCATACATATTAATCGGTCCAAGTTGTCGCACCTCATTAGCACGACAAGATCAACACCAAATTCATATAAGCAATTAATTCAATGGTAGTAATATATAAAAGAAAGATTGCAAATTAAGATATAATACAGGGAGGAGGAATTAATTTGTAGGAAACAACGGGTACAAAGTAATTTTAATCTCATGGTTTACAAGAAGACAAAGAATGTATACACCTACCCCATTGTGATCGATTCTGAGCCATATCTCCCAGAGTTTTATAGGTAAGTGAAAGTATTATACAAAACTTCAAAGATGATATTATCAAATTATCTAATGAATAACCCAGTCGATAATTGATGCTTTTCTTAATAATAAAAAAATAGAGTATACGTGAAAAATTACGTTCATCTCAACCAAAACTTCTAGAGCTTAGCGATAGAGCAGATAGAATTTGTCGAGCTTCATCAACTGCAGCATTAACTATGAATCAAATGTTTATGACACATTCAAGTCAATTAGATAGTACTGATTCTGCCAATAAACCTATGCTTACAGGCTACAATCATCAACTTTCAACAAATCAAATTGAAATTGACAATTTACAAACAGAAACTATTGGATCTAAAGCTAAACGACAATTAAATGAATTTAGAAAAGAGTTTAATGAAATTAGTCAACAAATAACAGAAGTGAGTGAAATTCTGGATAAATACTATTTATTTATTTAAACACACAAATATTGGTACAAGGAAGCACCAGATATATATGCACCACACAAATCTCATTTGATTCGTGTGAGGGCTATGATACTGCCCAGGTGTCCAAACTAAAGCAGGTGGTTTTCTTAGGGGACCACGCCTCGAGACTTTGACCTAAAGGTCTAATCCACAAGACAGTGGAGCATCATGAGGAGATGCAGTCCCATGGTAGCCGGTGACCAACGACTTGTTCATACACCGTTTGTTCCTTCAGGATACTGGAGCCCATGTGCACTATTGGTTTGGAATCAGGGTTTTCCAACTCCCCTAGCTGAACTTTCTAAGTCTACCAGTTCGGTTAAAGCGCCGGATATTCGCTTTTCGTTCTCTCAATTTCGTAAACAAGAGTGATGCCACGAGAAGGCAGTGAGTAGAACTTCCCTGGTAGAGGCTATATACGTGTGGCCATGTGAGAGCATTTTAAGAGGGAGAGCGTACTCTCCCCACTGTCGGTCGTACTAGGGTATTTGGGGGTTAATATAATTTGACTGTTTTCTAACTACATTTATTATTTATTGAATTTCGGGATAATGATAAGTAAGAATTTTCGATCAATAAATGAATGATATACGAAGAATATTTGGTGTTTTGACTGATAGATTGAATTTCTGTTTTTCCTTTATAATTTACTTAACAAAAAGATATTAGTTTTGTGGAACATGAGTTTCTTGTTGTATCTAATAGAGCATAGTGAGTGAGAAAATTGTTTTCATATAAATATGGTTTGTTAGAGGGTAATTGACAATTGATAGGAATCCTTAAATAAATAAAGCTCATTTCGAGTTTAAAAGGACTTCATACCAAATTTACTCCTATTATCATTCATCACAAACGTGTTGTCCTGTACTGACAAAGGATTTAGCTTAATAAACAGATTGAACGATTGAAAGATTTGTACCGATTGTCATGATTGCAAAAGGTAATTTGTCACCCTGAATTAAAGCCTTCATTCCTATAATTCAGTCAAAGGAGAATTATTCACAAGCGTAGTGGTGGAGTAGTGAAATTTACACTTGTAAAACGTGACAGAGCATATTACATTTCATAAAAGACAATATTTATTACTTGACTGATAACGTTTCAGTACTGACTTACCTCCATCTTGGAGGAGCATAGGCCACCCACCAGCAATATCAATCTGACCCTGTCCTAGCCAATCTTTCCCAATTGTTTCCAGTTAATATTTATCCTTTCGAAGTCTGCTTCCGATTCCCAACATATTGGGTTCTTTGGTCTTCCTTTCGACTTCCCCTCCACGATTCCAAGTTAGTGCTTGCCTCGTGATGCAGTTTGATGATTTCCACAATCTATGTCCTATCCACCTCCAACGTCTTTTCCTAACTTCCTCCAGCTGATTTGTAGTTTGTTCTCGTCCATAGTAGGTTGTTGCTAATAGTATCTGGTCAAGAGACATTCAGAATCTTGTGTAGACAACTGTTTGTAAATACTTGTACCATTTTGATGATGATTACAGTAGTTCTACAAGTTTCAACTCAGTACAGTAGAACTGTCTTGACGCTCGTGTTGAAGATTCTCATTCTGATGTTTGTTAACAATTGTTTCGAGTTCCATATGTTGTTCAACTGTAGGATTGCTATCCTTGCTTTACCAATCCTTACCTTTACTTCTTCATCAGATCCTCTTTGTTCATCGATGAAGCTGTTCAGGTACGAACCGATTTCCGCCTCTTCCAGAGTCTCTCCATCAAGTGTAATTGATTCATTTGGTGTTTTCCGTGTTGTATTAGAGGATCTCGCTTATCGCTTGTGAATGTTGAGGCCTACTACCTCTGAAACTGCTTCTAAATTGATTATCTTGATCGTCATTCGCTGGTGTGTATGAGATAGAAGGGTTAGGTCATCTGAGAAGTCCAAATCGTTTATTTCCATGCAAATTATCCAGTGTATTCCATGCTTCTCGTTAGCTATTGAGGTATTCATAATCCAATCGACCACCAGAAGAAAGAGAAAGAGAGAGATTAAGTATCCTTGTATGATACCGATCCTCATTTGGAATGTTTCTGTCAGCTGCCCTCGATGTACTACTTTTCAATGGAGTCCGTCGTATGTATCTCGGATGATTAACGTTTCAATAAACATGGCTTATGTTTAAACTCATTCTCTGACATATTAAAAGTGTTCAATAAACATTTGTTTGAATTAATTCACTTTACTTAATGAGTGTTTGTAATTTTCTACCTAACGAATTACATAACCTACTTAACTCTCTATTAAAACTAACTAGTATCAAGAAAAATTAAATCATTTGGTCAATGAACAAAAAAATTTATCCGAATTATACAATGATTTACGTAGTTGGATGGATAAAACAGAGAAAAAGTTAACTATTTTAGAATTAGGCAAATTGGTGAATCAAACAGAAACAAATGAACAAAATATAAGGCCAATAATACATGGATCTAACAAGTTTAATGAAAACAATTGGAATATTTATATTCAACAAGTAACGGTAGGTTCAATTGATAATTTATCTTTCAGTTACTTTTAAATAATGTTCATTCTGGTTAAAATTTCTTTTAAGCAAGTTTGTTTTCTACAGGATGAGGTAGTTAATACTATACCTAACCCTCCTCCTTTAGCCGAGCTTGAGACTGGCAGTAACTTTAGAAGAACTACAGGAGAATTTTTTAAATAATGTATAAGAACCAAAATTGTTATTGATTAGCTTGATTAGTAGACCATATGATTATAATTGATTGATTACTGGGTAGTCATCAATGTCATTCGTGTCAAGTCCTTCTTAGTGCAGATCGAATGCTATCGATCAAGTTGCAGTGAGGCCACCACCTCCAAACACCATCTTATCTCAATATATAGTGCACGCAGTGTTGAACTACCTAGACTAGTGGCCACATTACAACTTGATTGATAGCATTCGATCAGCACTAAGAAAGACTGGACACGTATGACATTGATCTCCACCCAGTGATCAATCAATTGTGATTACATCTCAGTTCTATAGGAGGTCGGTCGCGGCCTAGATACCTCAATGGTAACGTCTCTGACTGTGAAGCTGAGTGACACGGAATTGAATCCATCAGGGAGCATCAGTTCCCTGACGATTACAGGTACACCTTGCTGACGAGTGCCAAGTAGCACGAAATCCGGATCAAAGGTTTCCTGTTGATCACCTACAACCACCATCTTAGACTATATGATTATTTACACCAAATAAATATTTCATGCATTGCTTATGTTAACCTTATCGTTTTATTAGACCGTTAATGGTTATAAATGTTTAAGTAAAAGTCTCTTTTAAGTATTTCCTCACATTGAAGCATTTATTCAATGATGTTCTCTTTGTATGTAAACTTTGTCTTTTACAGGCCTTAAATAAAGAACTTAATGAATATTCACAAAAATATGAACAATTTTGTGAGAATATGCCAAATACTACTAACATAAACGGCCAAACAAATAAATATAATCAACTAATCGGAAGATTTACCGAAATGAAAGGAAAGATTCAGGTAAACTAAATGTATTATTTATAGAGTTGAGATCATGAGTCGATTGAAGCTAGACCACCATGGAAAACCTGGAAGCACTGGACGGCCGTTTCGTCCTATTATGGGACTCCTCAGCAGTGCGCATCGGCTTCGGCTCGAAACTGGTAGGTCCTGGGTTCGAATCCCGCGAGAGTGGGTTCGTGGATGCGCACTGCTGAGGAGTCCCATAATATGACGAAACGGCCGTCCAGTGCTTCCAGGTTTTCCATGGTGGTCTAGCTTCAATCGACTCATGATCTCAACTCTATAAATTACTAAAATCTTCACAAAAACCCCCTCTGATAAATGTATTATTCTTGATTTTTTATTGCATGTAAGTATTTCTTCTTCTACTACTACTACTATAGTCATGTATGCCGATTTCTTAACTCAGTGTGAACTTGATTCAGCACGTGGGATGGCATGCAGACACACTGAGTGGATAAGTGTCAAACAGACAGGATGAAGCGCACTCTCATCACTCACTCACTCACTCATTCATTCATTCACTCATCGTCTCAACGTGTTACACTGCGTAGTTTGTCGAAGCAGGCGGTGGTGGATCGATTGACGTGGTGATGAGTGATGAGTGGTTATGTGGTTGATTTATTGATTGATTGATTGAGTGAGTGAGTAGTGTGCATTGTGTAGTAAAGTGTGTAATGTTGTGGTGAATAGTAGAGTGTATTTGGATGATGATGAAATGGAATGTTGATATTGATAAATAAGTTTTGTGTGATTTCAATCATTTTTCGTGTTGCCGAGCGGTCTAAGGCGGTGCATTGGGCATCACCTTCAAACGGCATCAGTTCGAATCCCACCACTGACATGATTATTCACAACCACGTCCTTAAGTTTTCTGAACAAAATTCAGAACGTACTGTTCATTATTCTTCATACTAATACAATAATGATATCAGTAATAATACTATCGAAGATTTATTTCAATTGTGGAGCTTTCTATCTTTAAAGATTTAGGCATATTAGTCTTTTTCCGAGTTGTATTCTATTCTACATAGAATTTAAACATTTGATTAGTTTCGATACATTTTTCGTCACTCTTAAATGATTCTAATAACAGTTGATAGTTTGTATTATTGTTTTTGAATGAGAGTGACATCGATTGTGTTAGGAGAAGAAGAGTAGTTGAAATTAAAAGCTATACCGACAACTCCATAGTCAACTTTTCGTGTATAGTTTCAAGCTACCTGGTTTAATTTTACAGGATATCTAAGAGTAGATAGAATGAAAAAAATACTAGAGCATAATAAGCCATTCATTCCATTCTTATTGTCTGGCACTGTACAACCGAACAGAAATCGGCTTGTAATTCGAATCGTGTTTATTCTCTTCAAATATTATGAAAGTACATTATTTTTAAATGTACGAAAAGCTTGCAACACTTATGAAAGTTGTAAATGATACATCAAGAATACCAAATGCCTATTTGTCATCATTTTTCGATTTCTTTCCTAGCAATTCACCTCCTGGATTAATACCATACAACAAAACTATTCAGCATTTCGTGACTCAGCACAAACTACTGAACGATGGATGAGTAGTATAAATTTTCGTCTTATGTCATCAGGGAATAATAATACTAACAGTAATCTGACAGGAAATTTATCTGCTTATCAAGATTCAACAACTCAAATTGATCAATTAATGAAAGAAATCGACAAAGAAGGAAAAAGTCTTTTAGAGAATACACATCAATTAGTTCATTTACTTATTCATGGTATAACTAAAGATCAAACAACAATATCAAGAACTAATAGAATATGTGAATCTGTTACATGTCCATATCGAGAAATTCCAATGGATCATAGTGTAGTTGATAATTGGAAATACTTAGTGAATAGTTCAAATGAAGAAAAACTATTGGATAGAATTGCATTAGATGCTTTAGAAAGAAATAAAGAAATTGAAACAAGTTATATTAATATTCATTCTAATGCACAATCTATCAAGGTATGTAAAACTGTTTTAGATTCTTCTTCTTCTTCTCAATGTTAAGTTAATGATGAAAAGGATTGATGCATAGCTTTGATTCATGTTACTTGCTTATTGTACCATACTATTTCAAGTAGTTTCAAGTAGTCTGTTACATTTATTAATCTACATACTTAATATTATCAGAAGGGGCTTTTGTGGAGATTTAGTACTTTCATAGTTGAAAGCGTGAGTCAATTGAAGCTAGACCACCACGGAAAACCTGGAAGCACTGGACGGCCACCTCGTCCTATTGTGGGACTCCTCAGAAGTGCACATCCACGACCTCGCTTCACGAGATTCGAACCCAGGACGTACCAGTCTAGCGCCAGAGCACTCAACCGATAGACCACTGAGCCGGCATCCGATGGTGTTTATGTCTAACTCCAACCAGTCCACTAAGTTGAGCAACCGTTCACCAATTGTTTTCAGTGAGTTTATATCTCACAACTGAACTCCACTAGTCACTGCTTCTCACTAGAACTCCTGGATTTACCTCTCGAAGTCAGTCACAATAGGACGAAACGGCCGTCCAGTGCTTCCAAGTTTTCCATGGTGATCTAGCTTCAATTGACACACGCCTTTAACTATTAAAATACTAAATTTCCACAAAACCCTTTCTGATAAAAATCATATGCTCACTAGTGAGCGCCAAACATTCGCTTTTCATCCTCTCAATTTCGAGAACAACAGTGATACCGCAAGAAGGCAGTGAGTAGGACTTCACTGACAGAGGCTTTATACGCGTGGCCATGTGAGAGCATTTGGAGAGGGAGATCGGAGTCTCCCCACTCTCGGCCATACCAGGGCATTTGGGGGCAGACTACTTATAACTACTAAATAGCTATTTCTAAGTAAACATATCAGTGATGTTTGTTGTACCTTTAACATTGTAACAGATATAAAAAATAGAATAAGATTTGAATTCGAAAATTTTCTTATTTTATTAATATAGAGTCGAATAGATGATCAGTTGAATCGTTTCAAAGCTTACATTGATTCACTAAATTCAGTCGCTACATTTATACTGAATGATTTACAGTCTTGGTGGAAACGATTAAGTATTATAAGTCAGTCGTCAGCGGCTGTAGCTACAATAAAAGGAATTACAACAACGAATCAACTCAATGCAAAACCAGATCCAATCTCATCAAATTCTTACAATGTGACAGGATTTACAACTTATCCAAATAAAAGTTTTATCAATTATCAAATAGATCGTTTGAAACAATTGACAAATGAAAAGCCTCCGGCTAAAGCAGTAAGTCTAGAAGATGTTGGTCATCAGTTAGCTATGACATTGGCTATGCAATCACAATTGATAACAATGAAGAGAGAATTGTCTACACTTGGATATAAGTAAGCTGTTAACAATTTTGATACTATTTTTTCAAGTACATGGTATAGTAGATATCCAGTAGGAATAATAGAAAATCACATTTTCGAATTGGTTTTGTTACTTAAACGGCATTACTACTGGCTTGAATATTAACTTGGTTATCAATAATGTTATATTTATATAGAATAGCTGGACTGTGGCTAGCAGCAGAGTTCATAACACGCAATGCGTCTTGTTGCGGACTTATCAGATTGATGTAACTGCATCCAGGTTGATATACACTCTGTGATTCGAATTCAGCAATCTGATCACACATATACTTGTTAAGACATTTTTTTAATATTAAAATTAAAATGTCAACTAGACAGGTTAAGGTAAGAAAATAAATAAAGTACACAAAAACAATGTGATGACTACTCTGGATAATAAATAAGCATTATCAAGGTAGCAGAGATGGATAGTGGCTAGCAGTGGAATCCAGGAAGCGCGTTTCGTCCTAATTGGGACTCGTCAGCCGGATGTACCTGCATCTCAGAGTTGATGTTCACTTTGGCACTCGAACTCAGTACCTTTCGCTTCAAACGCCATCGCGTTATCCCCTCAGCTACTGAGTCTTGATAGCCATTTGTGAATTAAGGTATATCGAGGCAATACGCACAGTATGCACATATGCCAATTAGAGACTGACCAGTTGCAGTCCTAACAAAATCGATGGGAAGATTCAAACAAACAATACCAAGTGAATTACCAGCGTAGGTTAAGGGTAAGAACAAATTGTTTTTGAACACATAAAGGGGGTTTCAATTTCCGTATAGCCAAGGCTTCAATAAACCTTAGTATACGTCCTTGAAGGCTTTTGTACAACACTACAAATGCTGATTTGATGTCAACCTTATGACCAGTTTCAACTAAATGTTTCGCAATAGAGGAAGATGTTTGTCTATCCTGTGATCTTATTTGACCATTCGAATTCATTTGGTTCTGTAGCCATTTAGGTATGTGTTCCGCCACCCTTATTTGCAAATCACGATTGCTCCTTCCTATGTACGTGTTTCCGCACATACATGTAAATTGGTATACACAATGGGATGTGACACAATCGCTTATGCGCTGTCTAGGTTTTTGGTGGAACATCGACCTTGTCTTTTCAATGATGACAAGTTGAGCTGCATAGAATGTCCTGTTTATGGCTAATTTTGATCTCCGTCTCAACATGAGACTATTAGAGTCACTCCTAAATGGTAATGTAATATAAACTCGCTTTCTGGGTGCCAGAAGTGTCATAGGTCTAATCGTATTGCAACCCTTCCAGCGGTTTATGAACTTAAATGAATAACCATTATTCATTAACGTATTAGTTAAAAGCCTCGTTTCTACTTCAATAGTATCACTAGTACAATTACGATTGATTCTATTGAATAAGCCCTTAATTAAACCACGTTTGTAATGAATTGGGTAGTGACTATGGAAATTCAGGTATTCCCCCGTCCATGTCGGCTTTCTATATATAGAACGTTGGATGGTACCATCTTCTCTTCTACTGATCAGTATATCTAGAAAAGGAAGTTGGCTGTTCTTCTTTTCTTCGCACGTAAGAGAATTATGCTTCTGACTTGTATTGAGTTCTTTTAACAAGCGGTTCACGTCTTCACATTTATCCCCTATGATTATGATATCATCAACGTATCGTCTACACAGACACGTCTTTTGGATTGAGTTTTCAGCTAAATTTTCAACATACCACATGAACACATCCGCCAGCAACGGTCCTAAAGGACTACCCATAGCTACGCCATCAATTTGTCGAAAGTGATCACCTTGAGATGTGAATTTTACATTGTCAGTGCGTAATAATAATAGATCTTTAAGAGTTTCAACAGGAAATGGCAATGGAAGATTATTAAGTGAAATATAGTCACATAAAATATCAATAGTTTTTCTCAGGGGTACATTTGTAAATAAAGAGTTCACATCAAAAGAACACATTGTCTTTGTTTTGATGTTCGTATCCTTTAAGTATTTAATTAAATCAAATGAGTCAATCAAGGAATACTTACAAAATTGATGTCGGATAGGATTTAATACTTTTGTAAGCCATTTCGCTAGTTTGTGTGTAGGTAACCTGTCTAGTTGACCTTTTAATTTTCATATTAAAAAAATGTCTTAACAAGTATATGTGTGATCAGATTGTTCGAAATGTATTGCGCAAATATATCACATAATTCTGATAAACTTCGTCTTCTCATTGCATTATCGAAACTTTAGACTCTCATTTGTGTAACGGCTTAGTCTTAATTCAATTTACAAAGAGTCGGATATGAGCATATGTGTATCCAGTGCAAATTTCTTTGGTATAACCATTTTTGACAAATTTATATATATATTATGTCCATTTCACTAAGATTAGTCACAAGAGAGTTAAAATATCGACAGTAGGATAGTTCGATCCATTTCAAGTTGATGTTGTATTGCTTCTGTGAGCTAATTTAATAACATGGATTACATAACATGAAAACAATCCACTCATGACTAGTTCCATAATCTGAATTACTCAAACCTACGTAACACAAAGACAAGATAGTAATAGATTCTTAACAATTCACATAACCCATCATTTTCATTATACCTTATATAAATATGTATCATGATTTCGAACTTGTGAAGATCAGTTAACTAGATGGATTAACACGTTTTAATCTTTTCTTTCTATTTCACTATTTATTACAGATGTGGAATGTCTTCAGTGGAAATTGATTATATTTCACAAGAAGGAGATATGAGCTCTGATAATAAAGGGAATAGTTCAGATCAAACTTTAGTGAAATTATTGGCTAAACATGTGCAAAATGTAATCGATATAGAAAACAAAAAGGTATATAATCATATTGCTGTAAATTTAGTAAAACGTAAAGTATTTCTTATCTATATCTCCCTTACTGTCTGTTTATCTAAATGAAGTACTAATCTGTGTTAAAAGAAAACTTAACTCTACAGTAGAATAATGTATTAGGGTAATGAAAAACTGTTTCGTCCTGATTGTATTTGTGTGGTATTAGGTCTTTACTTAGAACATCTTACAGTTCATTTTACTATTTTTTTTATGACTCTTTACATTGATTTAAACGAACTAATCTTCACTAATATGTGTAGACTTCATTTATGAAGAAAGCTTTTAATAACTAATTTGAGATGCTAAGTGATAAAAGTAGTCTATATGAAACCCTGGACATAGGTTTTATATTATTCGGCACTCATTAATGGGTTTTACCTGTAATATTGATCTAACTGGTGCTTCCTAGTAAATTCGGTCCCATGTCACAAGTAGACATTGATGATGAATACCAAATAGCACAAAACTTCGGTACAGGTTTTTCTGTCGACTTTCTCCAACCACCTAACATCTCAACACAGAGAACTCAATGTTAAGTCACTTAGATCAGTAACCATATTGCAAGTTGGTCAATAGAATTTTGTTAGCACTAAAATGACTAAGCAAAAATAACTCTGATCACTGATAAATAATCAATCAATTGGTGATTAACTTTGAGGTTATATTTAGAATTCTGTTTTGATGTATATACAATTCATGAAAACCTTCTTTGATTAATTATTTTTTAAAGTAAACATGAGTGAATGATTCATTAATTTATTAGATTAAGTAAAATCCGCTACGTTCTATATATTTCAACACCCAAATAAATTTACAACGTTTAAAATTTATTCATGACAGGTAATTAGTATTTTCATAGTTGAAATCATTAGTCAATTGAAGCTAGACCACCACGGAAAACCTGGAAGCACTGGATGACCGTTTCGTCCTAATATGGAACTCGTCAGCGGTGAGTATCCACGATCCCGCCTCGCGAAATTCAAACCCATGACCTACCAGTCTTGCTCCAGAGCGCTTAGTATTATAGTTATACTAAAATTATAAAATATACAACACAGTAATGATAAAATATGCTCAGAAATACCGAAATTCCGTTCCTCAGTACTTTTACATAATAATTTATTAGTTTGAATATTTACTCATTTTTATTCACACCTTATCTATTCTAATAATTAGCTTGAATGTCATACTGAACAACTACGTGAATTACGAACAAAATGGGAGCATTATGTTAAAGAACGTGATATGTTTGGTCGTTGGTTATCTGAACGTCAAACAGCTTGTCATCATTTATTAGAATTGAGATCAAGATCAACACAACCAGAAGATGAAGAGAGTAGAGCACTTGAAGTAAGAACTTTTTGTATCGAAATTTATCCAAATGTCTTTTTTTCAATAAAACATAGTGCATCTAAATTTCATGTGATATAAGTTAGCAAAATACATATTGCTTATATATATATATATATATATATATATATATATATATATATATATATTACTTGCTTACCTACGTCTGTTGCCCCTCGTCAAGGAGCATAGGCCGCTCACCAGCATTCTCCATTCAACCTTTGTCCTGGGCAATCCCTTCGACTTCTTTCCAGTTGTTATCCATCCTTTTCACATCTACTCCTATTTCCTGGCGTAACGTGTTCTTTGTCCTTCCGCTTCCCTTCACCATTACAATTTAGGGATTGCCTTGTAATGCACATTTGTGATTTCCTTAATGTATGTCCTATTCACTTCCAACGTCTTTTCCTAATTTCCTCTTCAGCTGGAACCTGCTGGTTTGTCCTCTCCCATAAAACGCTGCTTCTGATAGTATCTGGCAAGTGAATGTTGAGTATTTTGCGTAAACAACTGTTTATAAATACTTGTACTTTCTTGACGATGGATGTAGTAGTTCTCCACGTTTCAGCTCCGTATAGTAGAACTGACTGTCTTGACATTCATATCGAAGATTCTTGCTTTGAAGTCAGTTGAGAGTTGTTTTGAGTTCCATATGTTTTTCAATTGTGGGAATGCCAATCCTCGTCTTTTTTACATCTGCATCAGATCTTCCTTGTTTATCAATGATGCTTCCCAGGTTCGTGAATGTTTCCACTTCTTCCAGAGTTTCGCCATCAAGTGTGATTGATTCGTTTGGTGTTCTTCGTCTTCTATTTAAGAATCTTGCTTTTTCTTTGTGTATGTTGAGGCCTATTGACGCAGAGGCTGCTGCTACATTTGCTGTCTTCGTCTGTATTTGTTCATGTGTATGAGATAGGAGGGCTAGGTCAAATCCAAATCATCTAATTGATTCAGAGATGTCCATTGTATTCCGTGTTTCCCGTTAGATGTCGAGGTTCTCATAATCCAGTCAATCACCAGAAGAAAGATGAAGGGAGAGAGTAAACAGCCTTGTCTGACTCCGGTTCTTACTGGAAATGCATTTGTCAGCTTTCCTTCATGCACGATATTGCACTGTATGACTCGTTAAACATGTGTCTTATTCATCATTATGGATGAAAAATAGTTTTTAACAAACACTAATATGATTCAAATGAAGAAGATTCTATTGCAAATGTTTCGTTATAATGAAGGATTCTTTGTTGATCTGTACGAATGATTAGGTAAAGCAAATACATATTTCATCAGAGTAGTTTTTGAAAAATTCGTTCATTTTGAAAATAAACTAACATTCTTTAAGCAATCGTTGCTGACCTCAGTCAATTATAAAAATCTTCAGTCCTAATATGAGAATGATTCGTAATTTATCTTATTACCCCATAAGTGAATGAATCAGAAATTTTGAATATCGACTTCAGCAGGTATTATGGGTCGTTTAAATACCCAAATACCCTGGTACGATCAAAGGTGGGGAGAGTCCGCTCTCCATCTCCAGACGCTTTCACATGGCCATAAATAGTCCTCAAAGTTACCATTCATAATTCTCCATGGGATATAACACTAAACTGATGAAACTACAATAGTCTGTTTTTGTTAGAAATGAATCCAAATTGGTTTTGATCGAGTGAAATTGATCTGATTCACTTAAACTATTGAAAAATCACGAAATGCATTTTATAAAACTGATACTTTTAAATATTTTGTTTTCATTAGAACAGTAAGTTTATTCTTTGTAGTTACTTTTTTATGTTGAACGACTAGGCAGTGGATTACAATAACAATCGGTAGTTCAAATTCATGATAAACTGTTCATTATTAGTTATATTTGTAATCATTTTCTGTTATGTTAGAGCACATTCTTCTAAAGCTTTATGATTGGTACCACGAATTGACAAGAGATAATTGTTTAGTAGAAATAAATCAATTTAATCCAAAATGTATTCAACCATGACAATATTGGAACAATTGCTATTGTAAATTTTAAGTGAAATGAAAAATAAGTACGATGAGACCATAATCTATAAAAGATCTTTGAGCGATACTAAAATGACCTTGAGTGTCCACCTAATAACTAGAACCAAATGAAGATTATAAACCAGTATGAGGAATAAGAATTGTGATTTTCATTTGATAGTTAAGATTATGAATTAGATTTATGGTTTTCATCACGAACTGACATCAACTGTAATACTAAAACGGTGTGTAACTTGTAGTGCTCTGCTTCGCTAATCGTTCATCTCGATAACCGTTATAATACAAATCTTAACGATGTATAAAATCAGAAGGCGAAGAGAAGTGGCAATTACAGTTTTATTGAGAAATGACGCAGGCCAGAAAGTTTTAAGCACATGAGTAAATATCAAAGAGCGAAACAAAAATGACACGCATTGGAGACGGAAGTAAGCCAACTCGACAGAGCGAAGCAAAAATAATGCGCACTGGAGATGGCGGGTAAGCCAACTCACATTTATCAAGCGTTAATCAATATTTATAGTCAGATAAAAAGTGTACACACAAATACGCTCAAATAAAAAAAGTCAGGGTTAATAAGTGAATAATTAACAATGTGAAAACATGGCTCACGTCAGATGGGTAAATTGGCTTGTCCAGAAGCTAGAATAAAGTATATGAGCTAATACATACCAACCGACACTACAAACTAAATGGATGAACGAATTTCGTCCATAAATTATAATCTCATCATAAGTATTTTAAAGAGTCTCATCATTAATTTGCAATAGTATAGGCGTAGGAATTCATTGATAAAAATCCCCACCCTCAAACATTATTCTTGATATTCTCTATATATAACGACTAAAAATTACTTTGATTTATATCTCTGTTTAGTTTATACAAAAATTTCCAACTATTTATAAGGTAAGAATAGATATGAACCATAAATGCTTTTTATATGTAGCCAAAACCAAATCAATCAAACAAACAAGCAAATCCTGCTGTTATCCTATATCTATTACACTTATAATATGCTTTACAAACAATATTGCACAGCCTATTCAATTGCTTCTTCTATTGTTGTTTAAATGATGGAATGAATTGCACATTATCTGTTTGTGTTTATACATTTATATGAATAATCATTGAAAGGTGTAATTCTTTGATATATGCATCATTTTGATTCAAAATGTCAGTTTATGTCGTTAATTTTATTTGGATAGATACATTAAGAAGCTTCAAATTTGTATTTTATATGCTTTTTTAATATATATTTTAGCTTAGTAATTAAAAGATATTAATGTTGATCAATTTAAGGATTTAAATTCCTTTTTGTACTTTTATGGTTGAAATCATTAGTCAGTTGAAGCTAGACTATCATAAAAAACCTGGAAGTACTGTACCGCCGTTTTGTCCTATTATGGGACTCTTCAGTAGTGCGCATCCACGATTTCGCACTCGTAAGATTTGAACCCAGGACTTATCAGTTTCGTTGAGGAGTCCCACAATAGGATGAAACGGCCATCCAGGGCTTCCTGGTTTTTCATGGTGGTCTAGCTTCAATTGACTCATGACTTCAACTATAAAATTACTGAAATCTCCACAAAATACCCTTATGATAATAATCATATACTCAATAGTGACTGACTTCAAGAGATATTTCCTGGAGTTCTAGTGAGAAGCAGTGACTAGTGGAGTTCAAAGCACGTCTGTTGTGAAATAGGAACTCACTGAAGACAATTGATGAACGGTTGCTCAACTTTGTGGATTGGTTGGAGTTGGACATAAACACCATCGGATGCCGGCTCAGTGGTCTATCGGTTGAGTGCTCTGGCACGAGACTGGTAGGTCTTGGATTCGAATCTCGCGAGACGAGGTCGTGGATGCGCACTACTGAGGAGTCCCACAATAGGACGAGGTGGCCGTCCAGTGCTTCCAGGTTTTGCATGGTAGTCTAGCTTCAATTGACTCATGATTTCAACTATGAAAATCATTATTTTGCTAAATATTTCAAACGGTCATCCAAATGCTTCCAAATTTCTCATTGCGGTCTAGCATAAATTGATTCATGAATTCAACTATTCAATATCTATATATTTTAATTGTTTCATTGTGGTTGACAGTGTTATCCTGGATCCAAATTTTATCATATTTTGTGTATGTCATTTGTATGTAATATAAACATATCTCTACTACATCACCAGGTTAATCAAATCACCAATCCTGATTATTTTCAGTGTTTATAGTTTCCTAATGTTGATATAAATAACTCAAATAATCAGTCACTCTTGATCTATGAGCTGCTTTTATAACCAATTTCATATGCTTCGAAATTTATTCTGATAACTATTTTGGTGTGTGCTACTGATATCGACAAATATAAGTAGTATATATCATCAATCGAAAGTGTAATGCTTGGTGGTAGAAGATCAAGAGGATCAAAGAAAAGATAACGAAAACAAAGAATGATGGACGTGGTAACGAAGAAACAATCAAATCTGAAACGATTCATTAATATTTTGCAAATGAAATATAAGTAGTAGGATAAGGGATATAATAAAATTCAAAAAAATAGTAATGATTTATAAGGACTGTCGTCCAAATTTGATCGAAAGGTTTCACAATATTCGGGCTCCGAATTAATGTAAGACATTAAGGAGGAAGAATGTATTTATAGAATCTCAACGCATGAATTTGAAGTAAATCTAAAGCTTTGTTTGGCAATTTGATCCAAGGCATTTTCAACAAAATGTAATCAAACATGGAAATTGATATTAGGTTCTTCGGTTAACTGTATACTAAGTATTTTCTGTACATAAATGAACCTTTAGAGTAAAGTGCTTCTCGTATAGTTTGCTCCTTTTCTCTCGTGTTCAACTCACTGTATAGTTCTAGCTTGGAGGTTACGAGACTAGCTTAGGATCCGAGTATAGCTTTCAATTAGCAAAACATTAAATATTTTTAAAAATCAATTTCCTCCTTTTTATTTAATTATTATTATTATTAGCTTTATTCAATATTATATTTTTTGTACAATATAGAATTCTCAGCCCAAAGTACTTCAACAAGTTTCCGTTTCTTACTTCTTCGTCCTTCCTGACGATAAATATTGAGTGATCGCCAGTTAGAACTTAGCAGCCCAATCAATCGACATCTGGATAATGTACATTCTTCTCGCTGAATATTGCCGGCGACCACGATATCTCTGATTAAGCCTTCTGTAACCTTTACAGCGAAAGGTCTTACACTTTTCAGAAACGCACCTGAATAGGTTGTGCGATTAATAGGCATAATGATGTATTAAAACAAACGAAATTAGATAACTTATTGAAATATCTAGATAACAGGAACAGGTAGCCCAGATGTTTAAACAGGCCGCCAACCTTAAAATGAAACATTTCTAACTCCAATGTTGTTATTTTTTTTCTCATTTTTTTTCTCTTTTCTTTTTCTTTTCTTCATTATTTCAATACCAATCATCAATGATATAGGATTTTCTAAATAGTTTAAAAGATAAAGAATATCAAATAAATGAATTAACAAAATTATATCAAGATCTTATTCAACATAATACACAAATTCTTGATCCATTATTAGATCGATTAAATACAGAATATAAAAATTTATTAAATCAAACCAAATCAAGAATAGATAGAGTGAAAAATATTAAAAATGAAAGAAAACCAATAGAAGAAGTAAGTTTGTATTATTTTGAATAGATTGAGAATTGAATAGACTGTTAATTTGGTTATTTATTCTTTGAAGAAGTAACTTACATTAAGTTACGAAACGTCAGAAAATTTAATTTTTCTACTCATTGAGATATCGCCAATCAGTCAGTCACAGCATAAAACTTTGTATGTACATACATCAGTTCGAGTTGTCATACCATATTAGCACAGAGAAGAAGTTGTCGATTCAAATCCCATAAGCATTATGTGAAAGATTAGGGTTTGAAGATGTTATTCAAGGAGTATAATACAGTGAAATGAATTTGGAAAAAGAAAAAAGTAAGGGATATGAAGAATTCAGAAGATTAGAATTTGGTAGAACACAAATATTGGATGCACCTTCGCCATTGCAAACGATTTTGATCTATATCATTCAAGTTCTCTAACCATCGATTGCTATCATCTCACGCATTTCAACCAGGTAGTCTACACCTATCAACATGGCTCAGTCTAATTGTCAGCGATTTCATGTATTTATGCCACATTTTGGTCTGGCCGCCCCTAGCTGTTTTCCAACCTACTCCTATATCATAAAGCATTGCACGTCGGGGCAGTCAGTGTTTGGGCATACGCAATACGTGTCCCAGCTATCTCAACTGATGAAGTTTCACTACTTCATCAATTGATTGAGATATCTGCAAATATATTATTTATTTATTTATAAGTTTGAATGAATTTCTTGTACCCGAAGTTTTTGTGCTGATGATGTCGTTTAGAAGGATGATGAAAGTTCCACGACCAAACAGTCTACTTCAGAGAACAAAACTCCATCGGAATTTTTCCTCTTTTCTTTTTATTTATTTAGTTAATAATAATTTTTATCTGAATACTAATATTAGCTTAAATAAACTATGATATTTCATAGTGATAAGATCTCTACTTTTCATTGATATCGGAGTTTACATCAATCTACGTCAAATACTGTCAACATTTCATGCCTAGTCTTATAGACTTTATGATGTGTATAACCATGTAAATACGAGGTGAGGTTTTTTTCTTTTGTTGTACTGGATAATTCGGCGAGAATATAATTTTTGGACGACCTTTGAACGAATCTTAAGTGACCTTGATCAATCTTATCCAATCAGTAAACAGTCAGCATATAGTAAAAATATATTATACAAAACCAAAGAATTAAACTGGATACACTTCTTTTATATGGTCCAAAAACTTGTCAAGGTTAGAAAAAGGTTAAAAGGTTCAAAAATCGTCATGCATAAGGTAGAGGAAATCATCCATATGGCTCCATAATAGTTGGTCTCTGGAGTCACGATAAGGTCATAAAAAACCCTCTCAGCCTCGACCACATAGCCTCATTATTGTTTGTGTGCACTCCGGTTGTGTAAGTTTATCATTTTTATCATGGATATGTCCCTACAATACTCATACCACTGAACAGCCGAAGCCTCATTGAAATCTGCGATTATTGAAGCCAATGTTACTGGTACTTTTATCATGCAGTTCGCGGAAATTGTTATAATATGCCTTAATCTCAATCTGGATCGAGCGAAAAAGGTTGCTATCCTAGCAAACACCCTCCTTCAACATATATTACATCGAAGGACAACATCACTGTAGTCTGAACAAAGGTCTACAAGTCATTTAATACCCGCAATTACAAATACAGGAGCTTCTTATTAGTCTCATTTGTTGTAGCCGCTTAATTGTCAAGTCTTCTCTATAGTTCTCTGTGAACCGATCGTACATGAGCACGAGGTACTGAAATCGGCGCCGTGACCTTGAAATCCCTCAAACGCTTCTGATTGGCTCGTCCATAAATTATAGTCTCGCCGATAATTCACATCTTTTTAAGTAAAGATAATATAAGGACTTATTCATTAATTAAAATAAATGATGAAGTTGCTACATTCAAAGACTCAAATATATCATACATTCATAATTGATTGAAATCAAAAAATGTATACAGGGAAGATTAAAGAAAGAGTTTGGATTGAATAATCATGTGATATTTGTATAAAATAATGATTCCTCTCCATATTATTCCGTGCTTATTGTGCACGAGACTGGTAGGTCCTGGGTTCGAATCTCGCGAGGTGAGGTCACGGATGAGAACTGCTGAGGAGCCCAACAATAAGACGAAACGGCTGTCCAGTGCTTCCAGGTTTTCCCTGGTGGTCTAGCTTCAACTGACTCATCCTTTCAACTATGAAAATTCCAAATGTAATAAGTTCAGTTGTGATCATTGAGTTCTATTTGTCTTAAAATGAACTATTCTAAGAATCTCTAATTAGTATCAAAATATCATAAACCTACTTCAAAATTAGTTTATTGTAGCTGCTTATCTGGAACTATTATTTTAATAATTTGATGTGTAAGCGATCAATTAGTTTAAAGATACAATTCAATCATCCATGAGGATCACCACTTTTTTGAATTAGTTTCGCATATAATTCCCATTTAAACATTAAAATTAAAAACATGAAGTTCAGTGAAGGGATCTCTTTTCAATGAATTTATTATCAAGCTGTACAATCGTATATGTATGAAAATGTTTTGTTAAAGTACTAATTCCATAAAGAAATGTGAACACGAATAATCAAGATGACGTAATGGAAAGGCGATAATACTAGATTACGTAATACGAGTAATAACAATGGATTAAGTGAATATAATGAGATGATTAAAATGAATAAAATGTTTTGGTTACGATAATACAAGGTCATTAAAAATCATAGAGGTGTAAAAATAAATAAGATGACATGATGAGCATTCATGAATAGAATAACAAGAATCTAAGACATAAGTAAAGGGGAAATGGAGTAATAATTATAATAATAATAGAATGATGATAATAATAATATGATAATAATATTAAGGCCATGGTAACGATGATGATAAGACATACTTCTTTTGTACGCATAATTCTAACTTGAGCTCATGGATGGTAAGAGTTTCGGCTATTTTTAGGAGTTGAATACGAAGAAATCTAGGTAGATTTGAATGAATTATATAAGCAATCTTAAAATCAGATTATGGATCCTGTAGAATGACTACAGTCGATCAGGTGTTCAAGTATAGAACCCCGAACTGCTTTCCTTTCACCCTTGTAGAACCAAACTGAGATATGTTCTCGTATTCAAGTTGAAAGCGAGCGTTGGCTATGGCCAATGTACCTTGCTCCACAAGAGCAAATGAACTGGTAGATGCACATAGAGGCGACCGGACTCAAAAGTTTATCTTTTATTGTACAGCTGGATAATAAATTCGTTGAGAAGAGATCCCTTCACTGAATTTCGTGTTTGAATTAGTTCCAACATTCTCTTTAATAGAAAATTCATTAAACTGTTTCAAAGTTCTTAGTTACTCAATGATTGATTTACAAATCTACTTATAATATTCTCATAGGAGATAATTATTCCTAAAACTATGCAAACATATACAAGTTATCCAGCTGATGAATATCATCAATCCAATGAATATATAATACATACAAAGAATATGGATAATAATAATAATAATTTGCATATGCCTAGTATGGAGTATGGATTAAGAAACAGTGGTGGGAATAGAGGCATAGCTAGATTATTATGGCCTTATGATCATCGACGTGTAAATTAATGACCATAAATTGAGTATAGTTTTTTTTTGTTTTTATTTTACCATCGAGCTAACCATATTGCCTTAGATTTTAAGCTAACCAATAATTAAATTCACTTAGTATTGTTTGTTTGGATCTTCCCATTGATGTTTTTAGGACTGCAACTGGTCAGTCTCTAATTGGCATATGTGCATACTATGCGTATTGCCTCGATATACCTTAATTCACAAGCATGGTAAGCAGAGATGGATAGTGGCTAGCAGTGGCCGAGTGGATAACGCGATGGCGTTTGAAGCGAGGGTACTGGGTTCGAGTTATGGAGTGAACATCAACTCTGAGATGCAGGTACATCCAGATGACGAGTCCCAAATAGGACGAAACGCGCGTCCTGGATTCCACTGCTAGCCACTATCCATCTCTGCTAACCAATATTTAATTTACATAATTTTTTACTTTATCAAATCGATGATATTGTGGAACGTAGATTGAAAGGAAGAGAAATAGAAAAGATACATTTTTCAAGCTTCATTTTTGATTATTCCAGGAATTTTTCATCATTTTTCCTGGTAACAAGATGGTTGATGTAGGTAAATATAAGATATTAATTTAGTAAGAGTGGATCTTTGTTGGGAAGACCCAGAAAATTCCTTAAAATATGATCAAAAGGGCTCTGAAAACTCTAGGAAACATCTTATTCAATCATCAGTCAATAGACTTTTCTTGGAAACATCTAGAAATTGATTGAATAATTACTTATTCTGCTACTGTATTATGGAGGTTTCCAGAACTTTCCAGAAGCCCAAAGCTATCTGAAACCTTGGAGTATAGCATTCTTTCCACATTTCGAGCCTCTCCTCTCGTATTCAACTTGCCAAACAGATTTAGCCTGCTATTTACAAGAAAAGCTTAGGAAACTAACTCAAGGGTTCAACTAGATTTACAAATCTTTATTAAGTTTTATAATATTTAGTTTAGCTTTTGAGCACTATAAAATGATTGAATAAGATTAAAATTCACAAAGTTGATTTCATTCATGAGTATTGTGACGGTAGAAGTTTTGTTTCATCTTTATATTATCAATTCTTGAAATAAAGAAGCATAATCTCAAAGACTTAACCTCTATTATTGAAATAACATAGTTTGTTGAGTTGCGTTTTTCTATTATGTGTGTTTAGAAACTTTATATTTGGTAGTTGATTTTGTTAGTTTGAAATCAAATTGAGTTATTTCCTGGATTAGTTTAGCTCAAATGAATTTCATATTATCATTTTTAAAATTTGAAAAGCTGTTGACCAACTCTCATTAGTGTTGCAAGGCATCGCTCAAGATATAACAAACTTTTCTTGCTTTTAACAAATTTACAGACAGATATGAATGTTAGTGATGAAGTAAAATGAACTTGATAATAAAAGTACTTATGCTGTAAATCGAATAGATTGGCAAATGCTCCTACAACTAATGATATCAGTACAAGAAATTAATAATTACAACAACAAAATATAGGGAACTTAAAGTTCATAATGTTGGAGATGTTAAATCCCCAGAACTCACTTAGTAAATGACTCAATTTTGAAAATTTGAATTTCCTTGTTTTCGCGCCAAAAGCTCTCCTTTCACCTTCCAGTCGTATTTCACCACTTGGAAATATCCTAAACGCTATTATTCCGTTGTATCTTTTTAGTGTGCTGTTTTGTAAAGCTTCCCAAGGACAACTTTATATTGTATATATATGTTTGGTTTCTTCCTATTGTGATTGCTTATACTTCGGCTGCTTACGGAATATATATTCCCCTACTCATTGACCTTCGTTCGTTTTTTCGAGTAAGGAGAAATCGTAATTAGTATCAAGCATATCAGCTTTTTAATGTCATTCAGACTAAGTAGTTTAGATGATCCAGAAAGTCTATTTTCTCTTATTTAAAACTTATTATTTGAGTGCACATATGTTTCAGTCTAATTTTTTCATGTCTACAATAGGATGTAGCTACATATATCTAGCTAACGAGTCACAAATAGAACGAAACACTAACCTTGGATTTCACCGATAGCTACAAGCCGTTTATTTTATAAAACTTGCAACAAAATGTCTGTATCGAGACAATTCGATCAGGATTTACATATACTAACGAAGACTAATGAAAATTCCGTCTAGAATATTAACAATAAGATAATTTTTACCATTACTAACAATTATATGGATAAAAGTAGAACTGACAAATACATACAGTACTGACGAAATGTTTAAAAGCGTGAGTACTTGAGACTGACTGTAAACCTTATATAGATATGAAACGTGGAAATATGCTTACCTTAAGGTTTATTGATCCCCTATGATGCACAAAACTGTATAAGCAGTCTTGAGTATTTATCAGTCCTGCTTTCTGCCTAGCCCAGCCAGTTAAGTTCAGAACACCAATAACAGTCTCTGCAATATGAACCATTATTCTCATACATACTGGGTTTATATACCAATCAAACAGACCACATCGTACCATAAAATAGAAGATAATATTTGTACAAGATTTGGCCAAATGTGGCTGTGAATAGGGGGAACAGTAATCAATAGACTGGGGATAAAACAAGAATGGTAAATTGTATAGTAATAGTTCATAGATCAAAATAAAGCTTATAATAAGAGGAACACGAATATGAATAGTTTAGTTACTTAATATTTATAAAATAGGAAATATACATACCATATTGGTCTATAAATAGTCCTCAAAAGTTACCATTTATAATTCTCCACGATATATAACAATAAGAAGTTATTTTTATCATATAACAAAGTAATTACACAGTTTATGTATGGACTCGATATATTCATACGGTTTCTAAATAAAGACAAACTACTCTATTATATAGACCAGTAGTTCATTATATGCCTCTGTTGTTTGCATGAATTAGGTTTCTTTCTTGAAGTGAATAATAGTTTGAAGTGACTTATTGATCATTGTTCTGATAATTTTTGTTAAAATTTAAATTCTCTTTGTGTTATTCTTCTTTCTTTTCTTCAATGCATTCATTGAATATAGTCACAATCAGAGTATCGTGGTAAAATACCAATTTTACCAGAAAAAGCTGAAGCACTTGTTCATAGTTCAGCTAAAACATTGAAACATACAAAATTATTGAATGAATTAGCTAAATCAGTCAATCAATTGAAAAATGAAGTGATCACTAGTGAAGTTGATGCTCAAAGAAAGTAAGTATTTGTTTTTTTTATATTGATGATAATTTGATTCATTTTATTGTATCATTACATGATTGGAAATTTTGAATGTAGTATCCAATTTAATGGGTTCTTACAATAAGTTTTATTACTGTAATATCTACCATCCTGAGTAGTTACAGTTTAGCAAAGATTCATTCTTTATAAACTACTCTTAAATGTAACAGTAATTACTAATAAGATCAGTATAAAGAAACCTAGAAGTGACCAAATCAAGAACGTAACATCGGTCCATGAAGTTACTAACCATCCGTTTATGTAGTATGTGAAAGTACAAACTTCCTTATATGAATTTTGCGCGATTATAGTTATAGACCTTTAGTGAATTGATCAATAACCGATAACATAAACGCTTTCATATTTTAGATCAGAAGGGGTTTTGTGGAGATTTCGTGTATTTTCATATTTGAAATCATGAGTCAATTGAAGCTAGACAACCATGGAAAATCTGGAAGCACTAGACGGCCGTTTTGTCCTATTGTGGGACTTCTCAGCAGTGCGCATCCACGATCCACCATCGGATGCCGACTCAGTGGTCTATCGGTTAAGTGCTTTGGCGCGAGACTGGTAAGTCCTGGATTCGAATCTCGCGAGTGCGGGATCGTGGATGCGCACTTCTGAGGAGTCCCACAATAGCACGAAACGGCCGTCCAGTGCTTCTAGGTTTCCAATGGTGGTCTAGTTTCAATCTACTTATGATATTCTTGTCAGTAATAGAACAATATCCTACCCAAAGAAGAAGAGTAGGTCAATTCAGTTTGATCCAAATATGAAAAATCAATCAGAAAAAGACGATTAAATAAAGAAACAATTAACTACCAGGGAATAATAGCAAACGTCCCTAAAATCAAACAAGGAATGTACTCCACAAAACAACCTCACAAAAAGAGGCAATCTGTTCATAAAGTAAAAACTAAAGTATGGCAGTCCAATTTCACGAGAGCTATAAAAACAATGTTAAGCGAAACAGCGATAAAACGGTTATTAAAAGACTGAATAACATGGAGGGCATAGTAGGCATTTAAAATTTGTGAACAATGTGGTGATAATAATTACAATCAAACTCAAGAATTGGAATCAGTATACAAAATACAGACAACAATAAGAGAATCAGTACATACTACAGAAATACAAAGGGTTAGTCATAAGAAAAAACAGTCATGGAGGGATTTTCTCCATATTTGCACATGATCATACAAAATGAATCTTGCAGGAGGCTTAAACTTGCTGAGGGATAAGGCTTCTACAAGTTTAAGTATTCACCCTAAATAACTGTTATACAAACCAAAAAAGCTGAATTACGTCCCATTATGTAACCTATATCAATAATGTATTGAGAAACGGAAAAGGTGTGCATTTTATCATCTGATCTTATTGGGTCATTTGATTGCATTTGTTTCTGCCTTCATTCTGGTACATATTCAAATATTCTAACTTTGAAATCATACCTCCATATATATGTTTAGCCACACACATGTACACGGACCAACAAATTGGAATAAGAAGCAAATGATTACATGTTGTTTTAAGGTTTTTAGTGGAGCATGGAAAGTTTTCTTTTAGTAATATTAATGACAACTTTGCTGAATAAAATTTTTTACTGATAACTGATTTAACGCTTTGTTTCAACACAAGTTTATTTAACTTAACAGTAAATGGTATAGTGATGTGGACAGGTATTTTTAGTGCCAGGAAACAGAATGTAAATTAGAAGTATGATAGAAAATTGTTAACACTGACAAACAAATTAGAGATAAAGAAGCAATCGACTTGTATCAAAGCCAATTTAGTTAGTGCACAAAATGTGCCATCGATTTATAGGGAATAATTTTGTTGGTTGTCGTTTATGAATGGGATATACAACCTTGTTAAAATTGGTATTATATTTGTAACACACACACACACTCTAGGCTATTTATCTGAGAGTATTTATTTAAAGAAACTGGCACTAAATAGTCATAATTTCATCCATATCAATATTCATTATCTGAATATAGTTCCATTCATTCTTTCTTATATGAAAGCTCTGTTAAAACATGAACTAGATGTTTGTGCAAAGAATATTGTCTTCCTACAATTTTCATATCATAACTATATACTACTTTTATTAAGGTTACATATACCTAATGAAGAATCTGTGTCTTACTATAATTATCGTTCTTATACTTCAGTAAAATCTTTCTTAATCAGTAATTTTTTGAAATCTTTGAAAGTGTAGTACCTGAACAACATAGTTTCCAATAACCTATATTACTAAAACATCTAGTAAACACTGAAAAATACTAGGAGAGTGTTTCGTCATAGCTTTTATCCTAGTGTCCAAATCTACTTTTCACTTATTCTGTATACTCTAACCACTTCCATTGTTTAATGCCACATTGTCGTAATTTACCAACTTTACTTCTATTTTGATTTATGAAGATCATCATCACTTGTAATCGCTAAGTGTTTTCTCCCATCTCAACAAATTATAAAAATTCATCGTTCATTCACAATATAACATCCAAAGATGTCTGTTATAATCAAATGAAAAAGCTTGGAAATTATAAGCGAAGATGGATAGTGGCTAGCAGTAGAATCCAGGACGCGCGTTCCGTCCTATTTGGGACTCGTCATCTGGATATATCTGCATCTCAGAGTTGATGTTCACTCTAGAACTCGAATCAAGTACCATTCGCTTCAAACGCCATCGCGTTATCCACTTAGCTACTGAGTTCATCTTTGCTTATAATGCTTGTGAATTAAGGCTGCATTGAGGCAATACGCACAGCATGCATTATACGCCAATAAGAGACTGATCAATTTCAGTTCTAAACATCAATGGGAAGATTCAAACAAACAATACCAAGTGGATATAGTTAGAAATGTTTACTTTATTGTATAACAATCAATGTTATACATATATACTGGTCTATTTAAAACTTAGACCGTTGTATATATTCCCATTTTAAAATATTTATTATTCCATATAGTTGAGATCATGAGTGGAAAACCTGGGAGCACTGGATGGCCGTTTCGTCCTATCGTGAGACTCCTCAGGTCTGTTTGGAGATATCAACTCACTGAAGACATTGGTAAATGATTACTCAATTTAGTGGATTGGTTGGAGTTAGACATTAACACCGTTGGATGCCGGCTTAGTGGTATAATGCTTAAGCCCTCGCTTGCGAGGCGGGATCGTGGATGCGCACTTCTGAAGAGTCCCACAATAGGACGAAAAAGACGACCAGTGCTTCCAGGTGGTCTAACCTCAATTGACTCATGATCTCAACTATATAAAATTACTATAATATGCAAAAACCCCCTACTGATATTTATTTATTTTTCTTAAATGCTTATTTTCTCATCTTTTTTTTTTCGGTATATCATGATCTTGATGATGGGGGGGGTAAATTATTTGTTGTGTTTGCATGCAATATTTCGTATAAAAATTATTAAAAAAACTGTTGTTAAATTCATTTTATTTTAATTTCCATGTAGTACACTCATTTTAAAGCGGCATATTAAAATGTTGGCAGCTAATCAACATTATCATCATTCATAGATTCATTTATATATGTGTGTTGTTAATTATTTACTATTGTTGTGATGGTTGCTGATATATAGTATTAGTAGTATATTATCTTGTTTTACTGAAAAAAAAAGATTTTTATATTGATATGTACATTTTCATTGAATTAAACTAGTTATTTAGTTGATCAAAGAGATTATTATATCCCTTCAAATACAATGACTTCTTCTAATCAATTACAACAAAGAATTACCACGGAATCAATTCGAAGAAATTTACCTTCATTTAATTATTATCCAATAGTTCAATTGAATAAACAATCAATCTTACATAGAAATCATAGATCTTCACTTGAGGATCTATCAAATTGGGGTATTGATGACGTGAAGATTCCATCTTATTCATATGATATGAAACAACCGATAGATTCAATACCATCTCAACATTCTAGAAATGATTTATTACAGTATTCAACATCTAAACCATGTACACATTTACAATCGAAAGATGGATTACTTAATGAACAGTAAGTTCTTTTAAAGAAGATTATTATTTCAAGATTCTATGTGGTGGTCTATATTCGATATTATCCTGAAACCTCGTATATTGTTCGTCCTGATAACCGTTACTCGATAACGTCCCAACGGTGTATAAATCAGAAGGCGAGTGCGAAGGATTGATTGCGTTTATTATTGGACCATACACAGATATCCCAAATTACAGGCACGTTAAACAAGCATGAAAGAGTAGTGCCGTAAAGCAGACGAATGAGCGAGAGATCAATCGATCGGGTAAGCGAGTACAGTACAGTGCAGTGAACAGGATTAAGATGTATATATATATACAAATGGAAATGCATGAATCATCGAATCTATTAAGCGATTAATAGTTAGGCTAGCAGAATGAATACATGCGTAGGCAGTAAGCAGTACAAGCGTGCATAATAAAGGTACAATAGTATAGATAGGTTGTCGTTGTTGTACGGATGACTGTCCGTTAAATAAGTTAACAAAAGGGTTTAGCAAAATTAGATGTAAACAAACTCAATAGTGTATGAGCTACTATAATTCTATTATGTTATTTCAAGTATGAGATTTATCTAAGAACTTTCGTCTAAATTAGAGCTAATAGTTTCATAGTATTTGGGCGCCAAATTGATGTAAGACATTAAATAGGAAGAATATGTATTTGTAAAATCTCAGCGAATGAATTTTTAAGTAAATCCAACGTTTCACCTGACAATCTGGTTCAAGCTTTTTCAAGGAAATATTTCCTATTTAATGTATGAGATTGTAGACCATCGACGTTGATGATCTATATCGAATGATTGAAGACCTACTCGAGTTAGACGGGAACGGTGTAACAAACAAGTTGAATTCGATGTCATACCTCTCAGTCAGCACCTTACATGTTTTACCCCATCGACATATCAAGGGACCATGGATGCTCTGAAGACTGTACAACATCAAGGACGTTATAACAGGAATATATTAGTTAAAGTAGAAACAAGCGAAAGTAGAACCACTGCCTCATGGGCCAGTCCATGGAGTACGATTAACTTATGCGCGTTGATCGTCCTTGACCTTGACGGGGATCGATGATTTGTTCGATATTTAGTGACCCAACGGCCGGATGATTTGGCCAGGGTTCAGTGACATTTCACTGGCCCTACAAGATTTATAGTTAAAACAAATAAAATTTCATGACAAATTTTGTAACTTGGATTATGGTTTTTGATATTTATGATTTCATCAGGGAGGTTGATAGATTTATCACTGAAATCAATTTCTTGTTATTATATTTGGATACTTAATTGATTGTTGTCAGGATCATTTCGAACGGAAAACTTTATTTTGGGCAGTTTTAAGTCTTATGAAATAGCTTTCAACTTCAGTTTATCTCTCTTGCACAGAAGAGATATTAATAGTAACTTCGACCACAGTGTCATTACGGAGCTTGTGATTGATTAGGGGTTGAGACCGAGATTATCTGGTTAATAGATATGGCTTAATGCAAACATGTGACAAGAAAGTTGTCAATGTATTAACTACTAAGCAGTTCTACCATTCCAGGTCTGTACAAGATGTGTAGAATGATGAAAAAACTATTTTATTCGACTATATATAGTTATTTATTTGAGTGTCTTGTAAGGGTTTATTTACCCTGAAACTACTTTTTGTTACAAATTGATATCATCTACAGGAAACATTGAGAAGCAAAAAGCACTGAATAACTATTTCGTCCTAGTTTAAGACTTCCTTGCTTCACTGATCTCACACAGAATCGAACCAGTTATCTAGTGACTAGTAATAAATTGAGCAGAAATCCAAGTGTTCACATTCCTGATTTCAATTAATAAATAATACCGTACAAACACTGGAAAATACTAAAATTTATGGCCACTCAGTTATGCAATAATCTTGTGTTATGTATTTGACCTAGGCTGTAGCCAATTGTTACGTCTGACCGATTGTGAACGCTATATTTGCTTCCCTAAGCTAGTTCTGTGCTCCCGAGCTAGATCTATACACCGACTTGAAGACCAGAGAAAAGGCACAACGTGTGTGGGAAGCGCTTTACTACAGGATTTATTTACGTACAGAAAATACGGGGATTATATAGTAATTAAGAGACCTTAAGTTTCCACAGTAGCAGTGTGTTAAACAGCCAATCAGGATCTCGTTATTTTAGTAGCATAGCTTCTAATTAATCGCTGATTGGTTGGGGCTCTTTGTGAGCCTCTGGAGGCTCTGATAGAGTTTACTGTAAGCCGACTTAACACCTTGTACTCATGTCTGATTAACTTTAAAAGGAATTCCTGAAGTTCTAATTAGTAATCATTTCACTATAGTTAAACCATTTACTCCGGGTAGCATTAGACTACTGACACGTATACCATTAAATGGCTGGTGTTTGCCCCCAAATGCTTTGGTACGGCTGAGAGTGGGGAGAGTTCACTCACCCTCTCGAAATGCTATCACATGGACACGCGTATACAGCCACTATCAGGGAAGTTCTACTCACTGCCTTCTCGCACCACAGGTGTTGTTTACGTAAGTGAGATGATGAAAAGCGAATGTCCGGCGCTTTAACCGGGTTGTTGGACACGACGCACAAACCTATTGGAGTTGAAAAGCCCTGATTCCAAACCAATTGTGGACGTGGGCTCTAGTGTCCTGAAGGAATAAATGAAGTATGAACCAGTTGTTGGTCACCGGTCACCATGGGACTGCATCTCCTAATGTTGCTCCACTGTCTTGTGAATCAGGCCCTTAGGTGGAAGGCTCGGAGTGTGGCCCCCTAAAATAAACCTTCTGTTTCGGTTTGGCACTCTGGAAGTATCACAGCCCTCAAACGAATCGATGATAACTGCTACTGGTCTCATTGTTATTGTGTCGGGCATATGTATTTGGTGCCTCCTTATACCAATGTTTTTATGTTCAAGTAAAATAATAAAATAATGATAAACTGATTAATTTAAATGTTGTCTTACTCAGTCTCAAGACTTGATGATTATATATTTGATTCCGTGCATAGTTGTGGGTGTTCACTGTGAGATTGCTTCAATTTAGAATAAAGTAACTGTTTAAGGTCTCCTGGTTTTCAGTTATTCTATAATTGATAATAAGTCTATGACAATATATATTGATATTCGAAATATTGTCAGGAATGATCCTTAAAAACTCAAAGGTTCATAGATACTTCAAGTAAATAGCATATATTCATCCTTAACGCTGTAATTGTTTTAATCCCTGTTCATTTGTTCACAATTTTACTGAAACCATTATTGATTATAACCTGAAATAACACAAACTGATGAAACCATAGCGTCGTTTTTTTCACTATCAATTCGACAATTCTTTAACAGTCTATGTTATAGACGATCATTATCCTTTTTCCATACTGACGATATCAAATGATTTACATTTATGTTGATTTCTTATCAATTTTGATTATATTTCTGATTTAATAGGAAAAGATTAAATACATCACCTTATTTATCATCATACAAGAGTTCAATTCCAAAACCAGATACATTTATGAAATCTCACAGTTCCAAAAAAACGAATTTAACTCCATCTTATGCAAGTAAACCTATTACAAGAAACATCAATGTACCATTGGATATTAGACAAAGAATAATCTCTCAAACACAATCACTAGATAATAAATCTACCCAAATGACAACTTCCAGTTTCAATGATAACACTTCTTTGATATGGACTAAAAATGTTCCAATAAAATCAAAGTTAGTGAATTTATTTTCATTTTATTGTTTGTATAATCTAATGTTTTAATGAATAAAAAATTACCGACAAACATAAACTAAAACTCACTGAAATGATCAGTCATGTCCCAAGATGTAATTCAGCATATAACCTTTGAGTGTCGTGATAAACATAAATATTTTCATAGTTGAAAGCGTGAGTCAATTAAAGCTAGACCACCTTGGAAAACCTCCAAGCACTGGACGTCTGTTTCGTCCTATTGTGGGACTCCACAGCAGTGCGCATCCATGATCACGCCTTGCGAGATTCGAACCTAGGACCTATCAGTCTCGCGCGCGAGCGCCTAACAACTAGACCACTGAGCTGGCATCTCATGGCTTTAATGTCTAACTTCAACCAATCCACGAGATTGAGCAACCGTTCACCAATTGTCTTCAGTAAGTTCCTATCTCACAACAGAAGTGGTTTGAACTTCACTGATCACTGCTTCTCACTAGAACTCCAGGAATTACCTGTTGAAGTCAGTCGCTGGTGAGCATTTGATTATAATCAGAAGGGGTTTTATGGAGATATGGTATTTTCATGGTTGCCGGCTTTCTGGTCTTTCGGTTAAGTGCTCACTCGCGAGATTGATAGGTCCTGGGTTCAAATCTCTCGAGGCTTGATCGTGGATGCGCACTGCTTAGGAGTCCCACAATAGGACGAAACGGCTGTTCAGTGCTTTTAGGTTTTTCATGGTGGTCTAGCGTCAATTGACTCATGATCTCAACTATATTTAGTATAATAATCAATACTTTAAAAATCGATATTTGTTCATTAGTCAATAATCTTCCGATAATTTTTTTTCTTAATTTTTCCAGTACTAACTCAGATAATAAATCATATCCAATTTACTAATACATCAATAAATTTCGTTGGTAGTTACACATATCAATTAATTGAATACTCACTCTTCAGATACCTTTTAATACAATTCTATATACATATATATATAAGGATAATGCTCCATTACATCTGAATATGCTTCCATGATTACTGTTACTTCATTTCATATGCCAAAAAAAAGTATAAAAAAAATAATATTGAAATTTATTTTTCAAAAAATTTTTCTAACCAATGTATCAACAAATGGATAAATTAATGTTTTTCATATTACCTCACTATATATTCTATCTAATCATTATGAAAGTATATAACTGATTAGTTAGCATGGTAACTAATTTCTATTACACTTGGTAAATATATATTGAAAATGAATTTTTTTTTAAGATCAACAGTCAAATAATATTAATAATAATAAACATCCACATCCCACACACACACCCATACCCACTATATGTGGACCGTTTTTTTATATATTGGAAGAAAACAAAAAAAGTATTATTTTGTTATTATTAAGGTTGAAATAAAATTCAAAATTTGTACAATTTTATTGATTTATTATTATTATTATCGAATTTTCCGGATATTTCCCGCTTTTAAAAAAAAATATGTATGTACTTTAGATTATTACATTAAAAAAAAGTAATATATATAGAGTAATATATAATGGTAGTATCTTTTTATGTAACAAAATTTTTCCGATGTAATAGTGATAAAGTGAGTTATCTTATCAGGATTTGATTTTCATAATGTAACGATACTTTGAATGACCTTACGTATTGATACCTAGTCGAGATATCGTGATAAGTGATTGTTTCTTGGAATCAAAGTTCAAGAATTCGTTCTCAGATACGGAAGGAAATATTCTTAATACCGATTTATCCAGGATTTGGAAAAAAAACCCAGATTTTAATCAGTATAAATGACAGAAAGCCAATTCAGAAACTTACCTGCATTGAAACGAAAAGATATCCATGTATTTATATACAAAACTTTATATTCTCCCAAGTAAGGTAAAGCATGGAAGTAATCAAGCAAAATGAATAGGGTTTGGAGTAGTGTTGCAATATTTGACATAATGATTACCACTATAAATAAAAGACAGATAATGTAATATAATTCCTCATTTAATTTCATCTAACTTGTAGTGACCTACTTTAATGACGAGAACGCGATTGGTATAATGGGAACAATTATTATTATAACCAATATTACCAGTGATTGTTTTACTGTACTTGTTTGTTTAAGTATACCAAAAACACACCTTCTTCCGTTTTCCATGACTCTAGTTAACTCGGTAGTTCCGCTTGTAAATGTTGGCATGAACTCGGTATTCTTTTGATACCATGAGATCGCCAACAAATATATCTGATTACGACCGACGATTACCTCCTTGTTTTTGGCTTACGGAGGGATCCAACCTAATATCTGGCACGTAATCTTCCTGTAGTGGTGATCATAGTCAACTACAACCTAACAAATGCTAATGCACTGTGTACTGGTTTTAATAGAAAAAAGGTACGGAACGTATTGGAAGAATTTATTTAAGAAGTGAATATGAGGACAGATAGCCAAAATGGGGTGACAAACGCACCGTAGTTTAAGACTGTTGTTATAAAAAAGATATCCAAGTATTGATCACCTTTTATATGAGACAGATAACGAATTAAATACAGGTTGTAACAGATCAAATGCTTTTTAAATCTATCCAAAGTGGCTTATCTGACACTGCTGCTATCTCTCGAATTTTTCTCACTGTTTTGTATATTAACTTGTTTCGAGAATTTTTGTAAGCATATTGTTGTAATTTTTAGATTCCTCTAACTAAATCGATATTATTATTGATAATCACTTTCTTCAATATTATAATCTGGTACAATATATACTCGACAATTGATCGTTAAGATCGGTTTCTATTATTTCATTTTGTCGATGAATGATGCTGAGCCGTCAACAATAGGGTCTTATTTAGATGAAATTAAGGTCAAAACATGTAGTCATTCTTTGCAGTCATTTCTTCATTATATGCTGCATATGTTTGTTGGTTGACTTTATTCTTGATTCTAAAAATCAGTTGTTTTATTTTTCCCAAACCTAAAGAGATTTTTTGTGTTGCTCTCCTTGTGAGCTCACTTAATAATTCTAATAGAGCAAAGTAAACATCGTTTTGGTAGACCTACATGATTTTCTTCGACCAAGGATGACATGCAATGAGACGGTTGAAATGAATGATATCACATCATATGCATCAGACTCTGGGCGTATGTAAAAGACGGATCACGCTAATATCACAATGGCTTTGTAAAGCATGCTGCTCTACAAAATCTCTGCTGATTCTTGAGGCACTTGGGCTGCTAAACACAGCCAGAAAGATTCTCCCAGATAAATGGCCAGGGGCAGATGAGCAGTTGCAAAATCTCGATGGAGCAACTGGCATTATTGTTATTCAGATCTTTGATTTGAGTAAAACCATCAACCTGAACTCTCACAACATGGTGAATGACAACTTCACAGATGTAGACGTGTTTACAGGAAGAAAGAAAAGACATACAAAGAGGAAAGAAATTACAGAGAGCTGAAAAATATGTGAGTTGGTGGTTTCGGTTGAGGAACCTCATACAAATCTCTATCGCAATCCAAAACAGACTATGCAGGAGCAAAGCTCGAATGTTGTAAAAGATTTGATCAATGAACAAAGTCAATGATTGGCTTGAAGTAAAACCTAGAAAATTGGGAGAAAAACGTTAGACCTGCACGCCTGATGCCACATCGGACTGCAGGGATGATAAGAGTGAAAGGAAGCTAAACTTCGATCTCTCAGAGAAGTCAGTCGTTTTCCCTAAGAAAAGAAACCGAAGGCTAGGTCTTAACACATTCCAATTCGCATTAAGTTCTTAATAAGCAAGCTACTCCTTGAAAAACTAGCAGATGCTAGCATTCATGAACTTCACAGAACAGAGTGAAGAGTTTATTCCGAAAGAATACAAGAAACTTAATATTAAAAGCTTCACACAAACTGACTGTCTGTGTGGAACGCAGCCCAGTTTATTGCATTAACAGACAATCGACGGAAATGTGAAAAAAAAACTTTAGATTGATGGTTCTTTGTATTGTAAAAATACGGAGCCAAATGATTCCAAAACCACCCTAGGTGCCACGGGATAGTATTTTACATAATTGAAAGCATGCTGCGCAAACGACTGCAGCCTACTAAATGAAATGGCAGAATCCAAAAATGTGGTGGACACAGAAAATCCTGACATGAATATCTTCTCAGAACATGGCTTGTGATATTGGTTCTTAACCACACGATGTTTGAAGCTGAACGTATAATTAACAGGAAGATATACATTCAACACTGTCAACAATGATGAGCGAGGGATTAATTTATCAAAATGCTGTGGCTCGATCATGCAGGCGCGGTAATTCTGTATAACCTCTTGCTTTTTGTACCAAATATGTCAGTCTCTTCCCAGCCTAAATGTGTCCTACAGAGCTATCGTGAAGAATCATGTGACTTCTGCGTAAGATCTTACAGATTAGGTAGTCATATAGTGACAAATCTACAATTTTCGGATTAGGTCTATTACTACAATAACAAAGATAAACCTGCCAATACCAATTTAGACCATACAAACTGGCCCATCAGGAGGGGAGGCATGGACTAATTTCCGGCAGTCATACGATCGAACAACCCAATCACTTTAAAGCTGGAAAGTCCATAGGAAGAAAAAGTTCAACAGTACCTCGAGAGGTAGGGAGATTTGACGTCTACTATGACGAAAAATTGTTAAGATGCGGCCACCTGCCTTGGCAGAGTAAATGCCATGGAAAGCTACTGTTCGCTCTGAGATAAGCTTATAAACACAATCTGGGTACTGAGCGAAATATGGAAAGCAACTGTTGCAATAAGTAATTAAGAGTCTTAAAAGACTGCCCTTACTAATAAATTACGAACAAAAAAGGAATCATTGATTCCCATCCTAATTGAGAAAGGGAGTTTATCTCAAGTGAGAGGAAGATCAGGAAATAACAGAGGACATGATGGACTATTTCAGGACAGTTTTGCTCAGGAGTCTGAAGTGACCGGCCAGTTTCGATAAGAACACGATTGGAATAACGGAAACAATTATTATTATTGTAACCAATTGTACCAGAGATTGTTTTACTGTATTTGTTTAACTGTATCAGTTTCACTTCTGCTTTCGCTCTCCGCCTTGTTTAGTTCGAACTTGCTCACGCACTGCCTGTTCGCCTGTACTCTTTGGCACGTCTCGGTATTATTTCGATACCACGAGATCGCCAATAAATACAATTGATCTGGACTAATAAAGCCTTCTGATTTACAAGCTACCAAAGGAACCAAGTCGTTTTTGGGCGCGTAAACGAATTGTAGTGGTGATCATAGTCCGTCTTCGACTCGACATCCACTATAAGTCTTTTCTAGACGAAGGACTAGGCTCAAATACAAAGTCAAAAAATCATCTGTTCATTGTGTACTTTAATCGAGACTACGTGCTTAAGGCTCTGAACACTCAAGATATGGTAAGAATGGGGGGTTATTTACCGCCACAGAACCGATAAAACTTCAAAACAAATAGAACCAGATAAAATATAACCTCTAAAACACCAATGCCTTACTGCCCAGTGACAACGATATTTAATATGTCACTTGGCTAAGGTGAGTTACCTATTAACTAAGAGGATGAAATTCTCACTTCAACTCATAAGTCACTATCAAGACAACTTTCATCAAACTACATACTTGTAGTTAAAATACAGGGAAGAATGATCAAAAGAGCTAAAATGACATCCGTGGGAGCCAACAACTTGTTAAACAGCAAACATGGTTTCAAAAAAGAATCACTTCACAAAACAAACCTTCTTATAGTAAGAGGGCAATGGATAGAGGCACTGCATAGTGGAAAATCAGTGGCTGTTGTCTATGTAGACATGATAAGATGTCGAAAAATAGACTTCTGTTTAGGCTGTAAAATTGTCGAACCCCTCCTAAATTGGATCAAGTATTTCTCGTATGGTCATAGAAAGAAAGTAAGAATATATTCCAAATGCTCCTCCTGTAAGCCAGGGCTTGGCGGATTTCACAAGGCTCTCTCCCAGGGTCCCTTACTTTTTGTACCGTACGTAGGAAAACTCCCAACTATATTTGAATCCCTGATGCTGTTTTACACTGAAGACGCAAATGTTTGATCACAAAAGCAGTTGATGTCTATAAACTTGATCAGATGTGTCCACATGCGCATTGAAGATGCAAAGGTAAATAGGCACACTATAGGGGGAGAGTCAGCGCTCACAAAGATCTTGAAGTAACAGTGAGTCATTATCTAAGAACCATGGCTCACTACCATGCTGTCGCAGCTAGTCGGTTCACAATCCTATGGGTTTTAAGACGGATGCATACGAAGTTAGATACTAACATGTTCGACACAATTTAAGAAATCCTGGTGGGATCCAGACATGAAACCTCAGTCAGGCTTCAAGTCCCCGTCCAAGAGGTGACTCGGATATCTTGGAGAAGTTACAGAGGGCAGCATCTAGAACTTCGGGGTTTCTCATACAAAGAATAACTTGAGAAGCCAGACCTCCATTCTGTCCTGCAGTAGATCAACAGATGATCTGATTTTGATATGTGGATTACTGACAAATGATTTTGTGCACGATATATTCCCTCTTGTTCTTCCTTCCAGAACAGAGCACATCAGAAGATGTAGCAGGCAGATACTAAAAGCAAGTATGAACAAAATACTCAGGGTGTACAAATTTCCAAAGAAAGTCATCAGTTCTTGAAAACTGCAACCTGAAGAAGTGGTGCCTACTCCTTTAGTTGATGCATTCAAGAGAATACTATACACTGTCAGAAGCTTACTGGAAAAGGACTAATACAGGCCGTATGCCTTCTATTCTCAACACACAAATTTGAAATCTGTTTCTGAAGGCCAGTGTTCTGGCGTCTAATCAAATATGCAGTGAATGACCTTGACAAGGGTATATAAAAGTGTGCATTTGGTTGTATTATCCGATATTTTGTTGAGGCGTTTGAGAATCCTATCTTCATACAGAGTCTCTAATGAGTGTGTTTAAAAGAACAGTACTTCTTTGTCGTCTAGTAAATTTGTCCGTTATATTTGCTAGAACACGAATTTCAGTCTTCAGTAATAAGAACAGGAGGTCTAATGACCAATTTTAATCCTTGCAGTTTGTTACACTGTGGAGGTCCAACCTCGTCTTGAATATATCAACAAAAGGTGCTGATATTACGTGTTCTGGCAGAGAATTCCAGTAATTCACTACTCTGTGCGAGAAACGAAACTCCAGACGTAGACGATTTGATCTCGGTTTGTGGACTGTGTTTGAATGTCCCCTCAAATGACCAGCCCTAGAAGGGAGGAAAAAATAGGACAAATATATAGCGAATATATATATATATATATATAGCCTCTGCTACAGAAGTCCTACTCACTGCCTTCTCGCACCACGGGTGTTGTTTACGAAATTGAGAGTGTGTGGCGCATATATATCTGGTGCCCCTTTGTAGCAATATTTATGTGTTTAAATAAATAAATAAAAATAATGTATATTTAATACATAAGACCTGCGTTATAAAAAATGTATATGATTCCACCTCAATGTGTAGTTTATGGATTTCGACTACAGCAAACTGTTAATTAGCATGCATTTAATATGAACATGTTTTCCGTAGTGATTTATTTGTTAGATACTACATCTATTCATTGTCTTTCGTTTTCTCCTATCATTACAGCACCTCATAGACAATGGTATTCGTACAGATAGAACAAGCTATTATTAATTCATTGAGTAAATTGTATGAACAAAACGAAGAAAAAGTATGTTTTCTTTTCTATTTTAGAATAAAGCCTCATATATTTAGAATCAGAGTAAATCTCAACAAATATTACATTTAAAATGCGACAATAAATCAAGAATTCTATCGACTATACATAATGATGAGATAACTAATCTAGATTATTTCTTTTATTTATGGAATCTTTTCAATGTAACACCAGTTGATTCTGATATTATCTCTGTTGGACCTGTTGTAATGGATAAACGCTGTTTATTTCAATATTTTAGTCAGGAGAAATGTTGTAATGTTTGGTTTACGGTAAGTTATGACATATATATTGAGTATAACTCTATGTTTTATAGTTTATTATCGTTTCCGTCTAATAAGCCCTACATATTGATGTTCTAGGATCAATAAGTACTGCAGTGTTTATAGCTTTTATTGGTATTGTCTACCACTATTAATTGAGTCCGCACACAAACAAATTATTGATGAAGTCTCCAGTAAATGTTGATCATTTACTATGTTAATGGAAGAAAAATTAGATGCAATTCAGTCATCTCTGTCAAATTTTTAACTGGTCCGAGTTATACTGTTTGTATGAATATCGAGAATCCAGTTCAACTGCCTAAAGCAAATTAGACGGTTTCGGTATCTATTTTCCTGAAGATACTGATAAACCCATATAGATCATTAAAGAACAATAAGGTTTATTAGTGTGCACCGTTTTAATTGTTTGTAACTCTTTTATCGTCACTTCAGGAGACTTTTGAAGACCCTATCAATCTTAGCTCAAAAAGCATGAAAATTGAACTGGAAACCCAAGTATGAATTTGTTTGCTCGCTTCCAAGTTTAGTTTTATGCTACATATATTGATACTCGTCTATTCCTTAGATCAAAATGGATGAATTTCTTCAACCAAGTAATTTTCTCTTGGCCTTCTTTTCAACCGAACTGTTTCTCTTAGTAAATACTGTTCTTGTTTATTTATTTACTGATTGTACGACCCTTCCGTTGTTTATTTCTTCACAATTCTATCCCTTCACTTATTCGGCACATTCCTTGGTCCCCCATTGTACCAGATTTTCTATAAATCAAATAAATAATTATTTAAATTGTTATTTAACATCTGGATACCTTGCTAAGGCAAGGATCTTGTTTTCGTTCAGCCACAAAGCAAGAATGTTTGAGATGTATCCACCTTCCAGTTGTAAAACGCTGCTTCGTGGCTGAGATGTATTAAACTGATCATGGAAGGTGAATTAGTTCAAAACATTAACCACCTCGCGCATATTGTAAGTCTCATCATTGTTGACGGATTAATAGCTAAAAAAAACGGCACAAATTCTAAAAGCTGGTTTGGCTTCTACTAGTATCATTTTTTGCGCAGCTGGATTCTTCGCCTACTTGTAAAAAGGATAGGTAATAATAAACGGCATTCCGCTCTGTTTTATTTTATGGTTGTGAAACGTGACTCCTAACACTAGAGGATATTTCTCAGGCTACTATTATTTGAGTATAGATGTTTACGAAGAAATACTGTCGTATAGTAAAACACCGGAATTAGAAATACTGAGGTGAGACGTCGGATATTAGGTAAAGACAGCATGCGAGGTTGTTAATCTTCATCAAATAAAGTTACTAGAATATGTATTATGCGTGTCCAACCTCATCTGCCTCTGTGTCTATTACTCTTGCGGTTTTTATCTCGTAAATTTCACCTCTGTCCTAATACCGTATAGGATTTTGAGCCGATGCGTACGTGGTCCTGTGTTGCTGATGACTGATATACTGTAATTGTAATGTATCCTTCAAATTAATCTTACTTAATAATCGATCTATAACTATAAACTCTTGATCATTATTATTTCTTTTCAGGAACATCCACCTTATATTGACAATCGAAATATCAGCTCGTTGATACTATTCTTAGAAACATTCATTGAGCACATCTTTCAATCAAATCTAGAAGTTCATCATATGGAAGCATTATCCTGTCTGATTCTTTTGTCATGGTGGAATATCGCTTTTGGTCATTCGGAACCTTACCAAATCATAGCTTATGAATTATATCATGCATGGATTCGTTTGATCCCCCGAATTGTTGAGAACTCTTCATTGATTATTGATCAATTCTCTAGTTATCCTGAACATTTAAACTTATTTATCATAAATCTTTTACGTATCTACGTGGATCATAATTTCCAAAAAGAAAATGTATGGAAACTGTCTAAAGATGCCGCTTCTCAAATGACTGGTATTCATGCATCTGTAAATATGCATGGTTTAAGTGGAATTTATCGTAAATCTATTGAACAGTTGAGTATGAATAATACAAAAAGTCTTTCAGCTATAAATACACTAAACCAAACTGTTTCTATCAATAATACTTGCTTAGCCATTGTGGAGATTTTAAAGAAACTTGTACGGTAGGTAATATCTTGTTTGCAGTATTGTAGTTGAATATGTTCAGACGTTTCTTCTTTAGAAAAGGCACAGTATTTAAACAACTGGTTAGAAATATTTTCAATCGTAACATTTAGATCGAATTCAAATTACAATGTTTATTGTAAATATCTGTACAGTACGAAATCCCACCTTCAAATCTCCGTAAAATTACATCAATGTTAGTGACGTCCAAGGTTGACAGTCATACACAAAGTAGAACCCAAACAAATGGTTATTGGTCTAAATTCTTACACTTTACATTAGCCATAAGAAGAAATAAACCAACTTATCCATTACAGATTGGTATACTTGGCCTCAGACCATACTTCAAGTGGAAGAGCTTTACAAACAGAAGCGGAGCGGGGTACTAACTTGGAACTTAGTAGATGAAAGCTGAACACCCTAACCACTAAATCTCTGTGTTAGCCCCCAAATGCCCTGGTACGGCCGAGAGTGGGAAGAGTCTACTCTCCCTCTCGAAATGCTCTCACATGGCCAGCGAATATATAGCCTCTGCCAGGGAAGTCCTACTCACTGCCTTCTGGTGGCAGGGGTGTTGTTTACGAAAGTGAGAGGACGAAAAGAGAATGTCCGGCGCTTTAACCGGGTTGGTGGACATGGAGAGTCCACCTAGGGGAGTTGGAAAACCCTGATTCCAAACCAATGGTACACATGGGCTCCAGTATCCTGATGGAACGAATGGCGGACGAACCTGTCATTGGTCAACGGCTGCCATGGGACTGCATCTCCTCACGATGCTCCACTGCCTTGTGGATCAGACCTTTTGGTCAAAGGCTCCTGGTGTGGCCCCCTAAGAAAAGCACCTGCTTCGGTTTGGGCACCAGGGCAGTATCACAGCAAACACACAAATAAATGAAATGATGAATTCTATTGACGATACTATTCCTGCTCATACTAGAAGCAAGACAATTTACATTATTATTATTATTTATCATATCGCTAACTCACCCCCTTTTATCCCCAATTTGTGTAACCTTACTTTTCAACTTATGCAGCAGCTCGCCCATGGTGGAAAATCTGTCCTATCTAAACGATCTCCAGTCACTGTCTGGTTGAAAGTGAATGCTTCCACCGATTACGAATACTGAAGCAGTCTTTCTGAAACCACGTACGCCGTTCAAGCTGGATTCCTTCAACTTTCGCACACTAATGCACATCAGACAACAGATAGGGCTGGCTATGTCTATGGAAGGTCTTAATGTTGATGTTTGTTGTCTATCCGAGACCCGTATTCAAGACTCTAGTGAAGTACTACAAATCCGCTCTCCATCTGTCGCCTCGAAAAGCTTGTTCCACGTGTGCTTATCCGGGGACCCTGTGGCATCTTCGTCTGGTCTTGCTGGCGTTGGTGTCGCACTAAGCGCTAGGGCTGAGGCAGCACTAATCGATTGGATCCCCATTAACAGTCGGTTATGTGCTGTCAGATTAGAAAGTTTCATCAAAGTGAGAAGAAACCGGCGTGAGAAACGGTGTCTTTTCGTCATATCCGCCTATGCCCCGACAGATTGCAGCCCGGATGCAATCAAGGATGAGTTTTACCACCAGTTAACAGTTCTTCTCCAGAAAGCGCGTTCAACAGATATTGTAGTATTAGCCGGAAACTTGAATGCACAGATCGGACGTCTAGGCACAGAAGAGAGTCGTTTAGGTGGCCGATGGGGACTTGTTGGTCGCAGGACAGATAACGGGGACCGTTTGCTGCAACTGTGCACAGACCACAACCTGTTTCTGGCCAGCACTAACTTCCGGCACAGTCATCGCCGGTGTGCCACCTGGCGTCCTCCCTCTGCATCCCAAGCCTGGACTCAGATTGATCACATCGCGATCAGCTACCGCTGGCGTGGTTGTATACAAGACTGCCGCTCCTTTTGGAGTACCTATCTGGAGTCTGATCATGCCGTGGTCTGCGCCAATTTCACCTTACTTTTCAGTGGCCGAAGGATTGACCACCACCAACGGATCGATGTTAGTAAACTGACTGCAACTTCTGTTGCAAGTAAGTATCGAGTGGAGCTAGCCTCTAGGCCACCTACCACCCCACCGAAAAGTATAGATGAGCATTGGTTGCATCTTCACGACGCCATGAAAATGGTGAGCAAAGCCGCTTACGGCTTCGCGAAACGTCCCGCTTACAAGCACTGGGTTTCTTCTGGCTCCTTACAACTGATGGAAGCCCGTCGGTCTACTCCGGGTGACCGTGAGTTTGACCACAAACGAAGGCTGTTACGTAATGAAATCGGGCAAAGCTTTCGTAAGGACCGGGAAGCCTGGTGGTCAGAGCGTGCTAATGAGATGGAAGCAGCAGCTGCATCTGGTAACTGCCGGAAGCTCTTCCAACTCATCCGAGCCACTGGCAGAAAGAAGTCTGGTGTGAGTGAAACAATCTACGAGGATGATGGGATGCCAATCACTAATATCTCTCGACGTCTTGGACGATGAGCGGAATTTTTCAAAGGGCAGTTCAACTGGCCTGCTGCTCCGGCAACATCAACCAGCTTGTCCTGCTCCCCATGGCCGGTGACGACTGATCCACCAAACGAAGCGGAAGTCCTCAAGGAACTCCAACTCTTGAAACGTTACAAATCACCTTGCCCAGATGACTTACCTCCGACTCTTTTTAAATATGGTGGTGACTTTCTGACTAAGGAATTGACTGTTGTTTGGAAAGGTTTGGGAGCAAGAAAGTGTTCCAACATCTTGGAATGAGTCAATAGTCGTCCCTATCTTTAAAAAGGGTTCACGTTGTTCCTGTAGCAACTATCGGGGGATAAGTCTACTTTCGATTGCGTCCAAACTATTGGCTTCTATCATTCTTCGTAGGTTGTTTAAAACCCGAGAACGATTGACTCGCGAGGAGCAGGCTGGTTTTCGTTCTGGTCGAGGATGCATTGATCACATCTTCACCCTCCGCCAAATGTTAGAACACCGTCATACTTATCGCAGGCCAACAATCGTAGTGTTTCTTGATATCAGGGCTGCCTTCGATTCGTTGGACAGGACTGTTCTCTGGGATTGTCTATTGAAGAAGGGTGTGTCTGAGAAGTTCATTAACATCTTAAAGGCCCTGTATACGAACACCTCAGGCAGAGTGAGGGCATACAACCACCTTTCTCCCTTGTTCCATTCGAGCAGTGGGGTTAGGCAGGGTTGCCCGATCTCACCATTCCTCTTCAACTTTGCTATCGACGACATCCTGGAAACAGCTCTGATGGATGTAAGTAATGGCGGTGTGGATATGTTGCCTGGAGAACGACTTCTCGACCTCGAGAATGCGGATGCTATTGTCTTACTGTGCGATAATGCCCAAGGCATGCAATCCGCACTTAATCAGTTGGCAATCACTGTCCGCAGGTACGGCATGTGCTTTGCACCCTCCAAGTGCAAAGTACTCCTACAAGACTGGCAGGATTCCAATCCTGTACTCACCCTAGATGGTGAGCAGATTGAAGTAGTTGAGAAGTTGGTGTATCTAGGTAGCTATATAAGTGCTAGTGGTGGCTTGAGTGATGAGATTGATGCACGTATAATGAAAGCCAGAGCGGCTTATGCCAATCTGGGCCATCTTTGGTGCCTTCGTGATGTTAGTCTGGCTGTAAAAGGTCGGATCTACAACGCGTCGGTGAGAGCAGTTTTGCTCTATGCTTGTGAAACCTGGCCTCTCCGAGTTGAGGATGTTAGACGTCTCTCTGTGTTCGATCATCGTTGTCTCCGAAGGATTGCTGACATTCAGTGGCAACACCATGTTAGTAATGCAGAGGTTCGGCATCGTGTGTTCGGGCACAGAGACGATAATTCAGTTGGTGTCACCATCTTGAAACACCGACTCCGGTGGCTTGGACATGTTTTACGAATGTTGTCCCAGAGACTTCCACGTCGTGCACTATTTGCCGACCCTGGGACTGGTTGGAAAAAGCGGAGAGGAGGTCAGTGTATGACATGGTGTCGTGGCATGAAAGAAAGCTGCAAAGGGCTAGCTTCTGTTGGACCTTCACGACTACCTGTCTGGGGTCCGAGAGATGGTGCAACACAGTGGCTAGAGACGTTATCAGATATGGCTCAGAATAGAAGCCAGTGGCGATCCTGCTGCAACCTTCTTTTACTTTCTACATAAAGAATAGTTCTAAATTTCTTAACTGAAAGAGTCTTCGGGTTGTACATTTCAGTCCGCCTTATCTTTTCATCCCTTCTCTTCCTACTTTCATTATTTTGTGTGGCGCATATGTACCTGGTGCCCTTTTGTACCAATATATATATGTGTTTGAATAAATAAATAATATATGAAATTAACAAGATAAAAGGCAGTGAAATAATACTAGATATAGTATAAAGCTAAATACAATAAATATGGTGCAATGGAAGAAACAGATTACCACTCACTTTACTTACTCCCGTTACCTTTCGTGTAGCAGCATAGGCCACCCACCAGCATTCTCCAGCCAACTGTGTCCTGGACAATCCTTCCAAGTTGTTTCCAATTGCTACTCATCCTTTTCATATCTGCTTCCACTTCCCGACGTCGTGTGTTCTTCAGCCTTCATCTTTACCACTTCCCTTCACGATTACAAGTTAGTGCCTGCCTCGTCATGCAGTTTGGTGATTTCCACAATCTATGTACTATCCACCTCCAACGCCTTTTCCTAACTTCCTTCATCTGAAATCTAGTTTGTTCTCGCCCATAGTAGGACGTTGCCGATGATAACCGACCAACAGACATTCAGCATCTTGTGTAGACATTTGTTTGTAAATACTTGTATCATTTTGGCGATGAATATAGTAGTTCTCCAAGTTTCAGCTCAGTACAGTAGAACTATCTTGACGCTCGTATTAAAGATTCTCACTTTGATATTGGTTGACAATTGTTTCGAGTTCCATATGTTGTTCAATTGTAGGAATGTTGTCCTTGCTTTACCAATGCTTGTGTGCATCAGATCCTCCTTGTTCATCGATGAAGCTGTTCAGTTACGAACCAATTTCCATCTCTTCCAGAGTTTCTCCATCAAGTGTGTTTGGTTCGTTTGGTGTTCACTGTGTTGTATTTGAGGATCTTGCTTTTACCCTTGTGTATGTCGAGGTCTACTAATTCAGATGCTGCTGCTGAGCATATTTAACGTTAGTTTAATACAAGAATGTCAGATAAACACCACAATAAAAGAAATTAATGTTATGATGAATAAAATATCACATTGGCAGACAAATATTACACTGAATAACCATCATATCGAATTCAAAAGCGGAATTGTTGTTGACCAAAAATCACAATGATGTGCTAAAAGCGAGCGGTCACTATGTGCTACAGAATACAAATTAGTAATAATAATGTAGCTCATATACAAAGTATAGGTTTATGTACTTATCTTTGGCTCACTGTTCATTTGTGAGTTGTTCGTAGTTACCCATTTGCTAAAACAGTAGCAGGAATTAAAACTTCCTTTCTACCAGTTGAATATTGAGTCCACCCTTCCATCATATCAACCTAGGTGGCTATCTATCTCGTGTGATTTTTTTTTATACCCTAGAATGGTGAACTTATTAATTATCATAATATTTAAAAATTAGCGAATCTTCTTAACTCATAGTGGTATTTCTATTTTCTTTAGCTTAGGTTTAGCTGACTGTTTAAAACAAAGTCCTGATTTACCTATTATTTCATTTGCTGACAAACAAATTATTGAACGTTTCAATATGGTTCGAGATTATTTACTTGTTCGAGCTTCTCGTCTATTAGCTTATGAATTAGAGTCTAATGTAAATGGCAACTATATACCAAAACAATTCACATGTTTGGTACATGTCACTGCATCGAAACATTTAATTTCTGAATTGTTGAATATTTCACTATGTAAATCTGAAAAAATTTCTCACAGTAAAAATCCTCACATTGATTTAATTTCTTGGACATTAGAACATAATTTAAATGTTACTGGTAAGTAGTATTGATTAAAGAATTTGTGTATTATTGCGCAACTTAATGACTTAATTTTATACTATTTTGCTGTATGAAATAACAGGAACTGTCTTACTTAATAGAAATGACTACATTGACAAGATGAATAACATCTTGAATGATCACCGAAAATTTCAGAAATTGAATAACCAAAAAGATGTCAATAATAAGATAGAAAATGAACTGACCAGATCTTTAAAAAAAAGCGCAGAGATCAACAGATAATTCCACCAGACATATATGAATCAATCAAGCCGACAGGTACTCATTTATCTAGGTTATACGGACTACCGAAGGTACATAAACCTGATATCCCATTGAGACCAATTTTAGACATGTTCGATTCTCCTTACCATACGGTAGCAAAGTGGTTAGTAACCGTTTTAAAACCACTTCACAAACAACTAGTAAAGCACAGTATTAAGGATATATTCCAATTCGTGGAGAAGATTAAAAACATAAACATCAAAGGTCTAAAGATGATGTCCTTTGACGTAACGTCATTGTTCACAAATGTCCCACTCAGACAGACTGTAGAATATATTTGTGAACAGCATAGAGAACAGGAGGTAGTAACTACAGTCCCTGTGGAGACCATCAAAGAATTACTACTAAAATGTACTATGAATGTACATTTCAAATTCAATGGTGAAATCTACAGACAAATAGATGGTGTCGCGATGGGTTCACCCCTAGGTCCCATATTGGTGATATTTTTCTCGCGAAACTAGAAAACGGCCCACTCACACGACAGATTGAATAGTTTTCACTTTATTGCCGATATATGGACGACACGTTCATTCTATGTAACGACTGTACTGACTTAATGGAGACACTACAGGTATTCAATACAGCCCATCCGTCTATAAAATTCACATGTGAGGAGGAAAATGGAGGTAGGATCGCTTTTCTAGATGTTCTCCTTACAAGAAGAAAACATCGTGGATGGGTCAGTATACTAACTTTCTTAGTTTTGCTCCTCTACAGTACAAAAGGAACCTAATTAAGACATTACACTATAGAATTAAGACCATATGCTCTGAAGATACAGTCGAAGAAGAAGAAAAAGCATTATATATGACCCTGAGAGAAAATGGATACCCGGAGAAATTTATAAATAAAAACATAACTAGTAAAAGAGACCATAAAGAATGTTTAATTGTGAATAAAGAGCCTCTGTATATACGTCTAAAATTCAGAGGTGACGCACCTAGTGAAATGGTAAGATTGAAACTACGAAGATCAATCGAAAGGACTTTTAATTCAGGTAAACTACAACTAATGTTTCCCACACTCCCAATGATCACGCCGACGTTGAAAGATAAATTGCCTAGACTAGCCACTTCTTTCTGTATCTATCAATTCAACTGCTCCTGTGGAGCAAGTTATATAGGCAGATGTTCTAGGAATTTGTATACTCGGGCTCGTGAACACCTTCCAGTGTGGTTAAGCAAAGGTGTAGTCAGAACGGTTAACAGCTCTGTTTTAGCCCATTTAGTTCAGACGGGACATAGAGCCGACATTGAGCAATCTTTCACAGTAATATATCGTGTAAATAATAGTTTAATTGATTTACAGAGTGTAGGTTTCTGTGTTCAGTTTTAAACCATACTTTTCTGAGTAGGCTGTTAATATTATTCGTCTACCTGAGCCCAAGGTAGGTAATGAGAGGTTTGAACTCTTCAAACTAGTACCGAAAAGTTGAGTGCTTTAACCACTAGGCCAATGCACATGACAAGGCGATCTAAAAGTAGACCTTATATTTTTTTACATCATCCGTTATTTGAAATTCATAATTTTACGTGTTTTCAGTTAGTTTATAGGGAAATTTTTTCTCAAAATGATATGTAGAGTAGTTTTATATTGGAGGTTGAACTGACTGTGTTAGTACTCTGTTATATATTTATTTATTTGAACACATAAATATTGGTACAAAGGGGCACCGAATACGTATGCGCCGCACAAATCTCATTTGATTTGTGTGAGGGCTGTGATACTGCCCAGGTGCCCAAACTGAAGCAGGTGGTTTTCTTAGGGGACCACACCCCGAGCCTTTGACCTAAAGGTTTGATCCACAAGGCAGTGGAGCATCGTGAGGAGATGCAGTCCCATGTTAGCCTGTGACCAACGATTAGTTCATACGCCATTCTTTCCTTCAGGATACTGGAGCTCATATGCGCCATTGGTTTGGAATCAGGGTTTTCCAACCTCCCTAGATGGATCCTCCATATCCACCAACCCGGTTAAAGCGTTGGACATTCTCTTTTCGTCCTCTCAATTTCGTAAGCAACACCCGTGGTGCTAGATGGCAGTGAGTAGGATTTCTCTGGCAGAGGCTATATATATAATGTGATTCTGCTTTTCATGGCATAAGAGTACTTTTAAGAACTCCGAATCTAGAATAAATGGTTTTCTAGTTGATTTCTGTTAGTGATAAATTTGCATTCAAATATTAGGTAATTGATGAATCCACCTTATCCCTATTTTAATACACGTATCTATTTGGTCCGGACATTAGACAATTTCCAGTTTTTTTGTAAGTGTATGAATCCAAATTTATGTTTTACTCGTACTATTGTTTGGTCGCCTGATTACTATCTTGAATCTTCTCATTGGGTTGTATTATTCACAATTTGAGAAATCTAATGGATAAAGGTATGGTATGGAGAGGAACAAGCTAATTAGAATTAAGATGATTGAAGAGCTTTTGTGCCAAGTTAAAAGATCAGTGACTTTTATCTCAATTTGATTAAAACGAGAACACAGAAATACCTTTATATAGTATTCAAAAGGTTTAAATTTAGAATGAAAAATTATATTTTGTTATCACTGAACTGATGCCACCTTTGAGATTCAAACCCACTTTATGAATTAGTTAATCAGAGAGGTTATTGAAGATATTCTAGAGTTATTTAGAGTGTATAATCTTAAGTTCTCATTTACCCACGTCCTTTGTGTACGTTTCTTTTCAAATAAATATTTTTCAGACTATGCATTCTGGTGTGTTACGTCTATTGATGTTAAGGATATTGAAGCAATAAATTAGTGAGTGTTTTTTATACTTGTTTTTCTCCTAGAAGGTATGGTAGTGAAAAAGGACTTCGGAGTATTCTTTCAATATTACTTGTGATATAATGTAATTTATCACTCAATAATATCTTTGGTTTACTGTTTATTCTATTTTCGCTTTTTGTTTAAATGATGAGTAAAATTCATCAGTTCTTTTCATTAACAGATTAGTTGATTTTAACTAATTCAGACTACTTGATTGGAGTCCGTGTGACCATCGTAACCAATGGTTGGAGACTCTAAGTGACATAACTCAGAATCGATCACAATGGCGTAGGTGTATACACTCTTTATCTTCCCTTAAACCTTGAGATTAAAATCGCTTCATAACGTTCTTCCTTCCTATACTATATCTTTATACACAACCTACCTTTTATATACTACCACCACTAAATTAACTACTATGAATCCGGTGTTCATCTTGTTGTGCTAACGATATATGGCAACATGGACCGATGTGTATATGTGCCTGGTCCTACGTTGTAGCTGACTGAATCTTATATATTCTTTTTGGACGATATCATTTACTTAAACCATACAATTATATTTGAGGTTACTTGAAGTATGTTATAGTCTGCGGTCGATTGATCACCGAGTAATGAGCATTGTCATGTATGTTTAATACTTAATATTGGTCAAATCCCATTGATCAAGTTGTTCTCTGGCCACTTATTTAAGTGACTCGATATTACACACTCTGGATGACGTGAGTCCGAATGCCTCAGTTTCTTGAAGATTGCGTGTACATCTTCTGGGAGAGTCACAACTAGCATGATACCTAGGTTTGGAAGGATTTCTTTCCGACTACCTTCAATTATAGTTATTTATTGTAAAAATCGTTTGGGATTACTGCGTAAATATGATCAGAAATTTCAATTGTCTAGAGGTTATCTAATTTACCTAAAGAATTATGTAAAAATAATAGTAAGATGAACGTGGTTTACAGATGAGGAAGCAATTTCCCATAAAGTATGATAAGGAGATACCATCTGATTAGAAAGTTAGAAACTTGGTTAAGACCGTTATAAAGCAAGAGATTGAGCATAATGCGAACCTTATGTGGTTCACACTTCTTGTGGTTTATACTTTTATCGAGCCTATTCTTTTCATGTTGATGGTTATAAAGGACAATTCTGGAGGTTAATGTAATCACGATAAATTTGTTGACTGATTTGCATGCACCTATTATTGACAGTTAATCGAAGTAGTTCTCTGAAATGCTTTTCCAAAGAACTCGTATTGTTTGATTGATGTAACTTAGCCTTGTGGAGCAACTTGATTTAGTGATGCAGATTGCTATGACTCAAAGCAGGAGTTTATCCTTAATACATGCAGAATTCATATCCTGGCTAGAAAAGATAATACAATGTTCGACAAAATAAAATGTTTTTTTTTCAAGGATCTGGAGATGTGGTTTTCATAGCTTTCGAGTTTTCTTGAACTATAGTCGGGAAACCACATCAAAAGTAAAGTAGTTACTTATAACATTTCAGTAAGGTTCTCGCTGTATCACAAGTTGCCTGAAATTGAGTGTTTATTTTACTGATTTTTATTTATTTATTTATTTATTTAAACACATATATATTGGTACAAAAGGGCACCAGGTACATATGCGCCACACTTGATTCAATTTCGGGTGAGGTCATTTGTGGAGATTTTTGATAAACTTAAAACTAAAACGAAAAAGCTTTCTGATCCTCCCTGGTTTTCAATTGTTTTTGATCTGACATAAAAACTATCTTCATATGACAAACTCCTAATTGTTGTTTGCTTATTTCGTCTGATATACTGTTGTTTATTGTTCTCCTATAGCTTATTGTCTCGTTTACTTCCGCATGCTAAACTCTTAGCCAAAGATCATCTATTCTGTTTTTCACTTATACTACATCTTGATCGTGTTCGTAAAGCTGCACTACCAGATAATGAACATATTAAGGTAGGTTACTGTTTTATAAACATATCATAAACATTTACATAATACATCTTGATAATGGATAGCAAATAGTCTTGGTATATACTTCCATAAACAATGAACCTAGAAAACTGTTTTTTGCATCTAACTTATTTACACAGGATTATCATATATTAACCTGAAAACTCATATTTTTAGGATCAATTAAATTGATATATTTCCAATGTGTTTGGTCGTGAATCATGTATCTGGTATAATTTGACCTAGTCTATATATAGATTATCGATTGAGTGTTAAGTCTAATGGTAATATAATATCGGTCTCCGGTCCTATTACCATATTTTAGTAGTAAACCTCAGAAACAGAAAATATTTTAATTCTTTTGTTATATCAGTAACTGTTGTAAAAATGATGGAGAATATCTGCAGTTCGTAATTAGAAGCCCCCAAATGCCTTGGTATGGACGAGAGTGGGAAGAGTCTACTCTCCCTCTCGAAATGCTCTCACATGGCCACGCGTAAATAGTCTTTGTCAGGGAAGTCCTACTCACTGCCTTCTCGAGGCGGGGGTGTTATTTACGAAAGTGAGAGGACAAAAAGAGAATATCCGGCGCTTTAGCCGGGTTAGTGGACACGGAGAGTCCACCTAGAGGAGTTGGAAAACCCTGATTCTAAACCAATGGTACACATGGGTTCCAGTGTCCTGAAGGAACGAATGGCGTACGAATCAACCGTTGATCACCGGCTACCATGGGACTGCATCTCCTCACCATGATCCACTGCCTTGTGGATCAGATCTTTCGGTCAAAGGCTCCGGGTGTGGCCTCCTAAGAAAACCACCTGCTTCAGTTTGGACACCTGGTCAGTATCACAGCTCTTACACAAATCAAATGAGATTTGTTTGGTGCATATGTATTTAGTGCCTCTTTGTACCAATATTATGTGTTCAAATAAAAAAATAAACGTGATTAGAATGTTGGTGTTGTGTTGTTTAAATTGAATAGTGTACTCATGAAGCTCTCATTTTCCTTGTAGACAACATCATCAACAAATACTTTTCTAAAGTAGCCATTTTATTTACTTTTTTTTCACAATAAAAATGACACTGGTTCTATTATGTGGACGTCTACACTTGATGAATATATTATATTTTGACTCTTCATTTTATCATATGTACATATTCGTCCCCATACAATAGATGTTAAGACTTATGAAAAAATTAAATTAAATTATCAACAGCTTTTTAGGTATGTTTATATCTTATGAAAGTCAATTATTTAATAGCTATTTTTCTTTCGACAAATTTAAATTCGCTTTTCCCATTACATTTTTCATGTGCTTAAGCGTCGTTCATTTGTCATTGTGACCAAAGATGCTATCTCCCTATTGGTTCGTCACTTTGTTTAATATACCAATTTATTCCCTTCCTGTTAAAGATATCGTTACCTATTTAAATCGATCTTCTTCCGTCTTTTCTAAAAACATTCTAAATCAAGATTTGTATCCTAAGTTAACTAGTTTCCATGAGAAATATAAGGGAGTTGTTGTATTTAATAAATATATTTAAATAAATTTTAATAAATATATTTATTACTATTTAGGCAGATCACATCACAGACGTTTATTTTTTGGTCAGTCTAGATCCTCACCATGTTCAATTTTGTTTTCTGAGGTGGATGGTTTGGTCGTGTTGTATTTGTGGATCATGTAGTGGGCATCAGCTATCAATAGACGTGCTATTTTCCTTCTGCTTTGCTCAGTGTAGTGTATTCATTGTTTGTCTTTCTTCCGTTCTATTTAAGTTTTATTTTAAATAATTTTCAGCTTCTACGTGCTGTATTTGAACATCTATCAATATCAAGTAAATGTGATCTATTAACATCACTTCAATCATCATTGAAAAATTCTAATCGATCAACTCCATTGCCTAATTCGACTGTACACTTTCAAACACGTATTCGTCAATTATTCAATCGTTTGGTTGTTTCTAATGTAAATTCTAGCGATGATAATTATGACAATAGTCAACAAGTGTTAAATCTTTTCAATAAAGATGTAAGTCTTTGTTAACCATATATACGTCATGGCTACGGATGGCCTTGATATAACTATTTTATCATAAATATATGGTAGTGAAATTAAAATATGGTTGGTCACTGAGTGCGGACAAGCAGGAACTTAGCCTACTGACTATTAAATATGTGATTTTTTTTCCTCCCATTGATTTCTATCTACTCCGGACTCAATGATATTGACTGCTTGTAACTGTGTAGCATAAAGTATTGTCTAGTCTATATGCTGGTTCTCGATTCTGGGTTGTGAATTCTAGATCTGGTACAGCGTGATGAGTCTCTTTATTGAATTAACGTATTATCGAAGTATATGTGAAGGTGAGAAAAATCTTTTAAAATATCCGTTATGTCATTTTTGTTTGGAATAGATGAATTATAGTTAGCAGTGGATAACATGTGTTGATACTTAAAGCTGAGAGATAGTTAATTCAAGTTCCAATGTGAACGTCAACACAGAGATTTAAGCAGATCCGTCTGATGATAAATAAGAAAAAACTCACCGCCTGGATTCCATTACGAGCCACAATCAGTCTGTTTTTAAAAAAACTTTATTCTTTAAACAGATAGTTTGGTTTATAATACAATGTTTTACGGTAATTACTTGAATAGTTTATTTGATTTTGGATCAGATTACTATTCATGGGGGAGAGCAGACTTATTTCTATCTCTTGATGTGCCCAAAGGTGATCGCCATCACTAAAACGTTCTAGTCAGACTCTTGGTAATGATTGAAATAGGTTGGGAAAGTACATTCAAAGGGGATAAATAACATTTTGACAAAAGCGAATCCGTCGCTTCAGTATGTCTATATTGATTATTGAGAATTGAGCATCACACTTCCATAATCCATTGATGATTACCGAGAAGAGTCGACAGAGAAGTCTACTACTGATAAGTAGTATAATTAAATATTTATAACAAAGTCAAGAGGGAAATCAGATGTCTAGACGGGATAGAATGTACTAATCATATGTGAATGAGTATGTTATAAATAAGGGGAGATGATAATAAAGTAACTGTTTACTAGTAATGTGACTGGCTGAACATAGTAATTTGATACTAATATGTAGATGCTATATGGAAAGAAGGATATCTCATCAACATACCAAAGAAAGGAGATCTGAGGAAGTATGAAAACTAAAGCTATATCACACTACTATCAGCACCAGGGAAGATTTTCAACAGTGTTACTGAACCGGATCAAAGATTCAGTAGACGCCCAGCTTCGAGATCAACAGTCCGGATTCTGTAAGGATCAGTTGTACGCAGACCAAATCGCGACACTATGGATCATCGTTGAACTCGTCACCATATATCAACTTCCTTGATCATGAGAAATCATTTGTGTTATAATGCGAAATATAGCGTATTGCGATAGGACTACGCGAAATTCTACCGATTGACCAAATTCAGATATCCTAGTTCGACCCCAGTACTGTTTCCCAACTCCAATAAATCAGAACACAGCCGTTAAATGAGAATTGTTTATGGGGTCAGCAGCAGAACAACAATGGTTTACAGATAAGGCATATTTATACAGTTACGATGACTATTAACAGTAACCAATGGAAAAGAAGGACACGTAAAGGTTATAATTAGGACGACTCAAAATTGACCAATAGGGAAACGACACATGAAAGTCATAGTTAGGACACTGTAAATAATGGCCAATAGGAAATAACATGCGAATTATGTGAAGAGTCTGGAAACATACCATTTTACATTCGAGATAATTTTTGGGATATTCTTGTGAATATCCTAACAATTTGACAGCATGTGTAGGAGAACATTATGGAACCTTCTTCAACACAATGGAAAAAGTAAGTGAGAAGATCGTAAACATCACACGGAAGTTATACGACGGACTACAATGCAAAGTAGTGTATGGAGGACAGCTGAGAGACGCATTCCAAGTGAGGGCCAGTTTCAAACAAGGCTGCTTTCTATCTACCTTTGTTTTTCTTCTGATGGTTTACTGGATTATGAAGACCTCGACGTGTGAAGGGAAGCACGTAATACAATGGACAGGTTGGGTGCAACGTGATGATTCGAACATCTCAGATAACCTAACCCTTCTATCCCATACACACCAGCAAATGAGGGTCAAGACAACTAGTGTAGCAGCAGTTCCAGAAGCAGTAGGCCACAACATACACTAGGGTAAAAGCAAGATACTCAAATACAACACGGAGAACACCAAACGAACCAACCACACTTGATGGAGAGACTCTAGAAGAGGTGGAATTTGTTTCGTACCTGAACAGCTTCATCGATGAACAAAGATCTGATGCAGAAGTATAGGTAAGGATTTGTAAAGCAAAGACAGCATTTATACAGTTCAACAACATATGGAACTCGAAACAATTGTCAACAAATATCAAAGTGATAATCTTCGATACGAGAGTCAAGACAGTTCTACTGTACTGAGCTGAAACTTGTAGAACTACAATAATCATCATCAAAATAGTACAAGCACTTCCAAACAAATGTCTACACAATATGATGAATGTCTGTTGACCAGATACTATTAGCAACAACCAGCTATGGGCGAGAACAAACTAGATTTCAGCTCGATGAAGTTAGGAAAAAACGTTGGAGGTGGATAGGACATCAATTGTGGAAATCATCACACTGCTTCAAGAGGCCAGCATAACTTGGAATCGTGAAGGGAAGTGGTAAAGATGAAGGCTGAAGAACACACGACGTCGGGAAGTGGAAGCAGATATGAAAAGTGTGAGTAGCAATTGGAAACAACTTGGAAGAATTATCCTGGACAGAGTTGGCTGGAGAATGCTGGTGGGTGGCTTATGCTCCTCCATGAGTGGTGACAGCCGTAGATAAGTTAGTAGTAATATATGTAGAATACTTTTCTGAAGCAGACTACGTCATCTCCATGTGCCACAGCACAAACTAGCGATTGCATTTTGTGAATCCAAACTAACATTATATTGTTTCATCATTACTGAACTACTCTCAGTTTTACTCCAAAATCCGCACCCATTGATTCAATTTTAGAAAAAATTTTGTCAGCATTTAATTTCACCTTTGTAGACTGAAATTCTCTTGTTTTATTGGTTCATTTATTTTCAGCATTTCATAAATTTTAAAAACATTGAAAAACAATAAAATAGCTGGATAGTATAAAATCATTTACTTTCCATTCTTTCCAGTTTCTTCTAGATTGTGAATTGTTGTTATTCACTAATCCCGTGAGATTTTTAGTCGAATTAATTCGTCTACCAGTCAATCGTAAATGTCCACATTCACTGACTGCAGTTCATCAGGTTAGTCTTTTTGTTGTTTAACTGCCATTATTATTATTATTATCATTGTTATTGATGTTTAACTCTTTTCTCATCATGTTACCTGAAGTTTCCTAAAGTCATTAAACTGCAGAGTTACACCTTTGAGCTACCTGCTTTTAAGCATTCTAGAATGATGAATACTATTAATTATTCTATTCAATATTATACTTTTTGCACAATATAAGATTCTCAGTACAAAGTACTTCAACAAGTCTCTTTTTTATTTCTTGATCGATTCTGTCGATAAATATTGAGTGATCGCCAGTTAGATGTTAGCAGTTGACGAATCGGCATCTGAATATTGTTCATTCTTCTCAATATGTATCGTCAGCCAGCATGATATCTCTGATTGTATCTTTTTTAGCTTGTACAGTGAAAGGTTGTAAACTTTTCATAAACACTGCTGAATAGGTTATGCGATTAGTAGACTTAATGTTATGTTAAAACAAACAAAATAAATGCAACATGGAGAACACCAACCCAATCACACTTGATGGCAAAACTCTGGAAGACGTGGAAACATTCACGTACCTGGGAAGCATCATTGATAAACAAGGAGGATCGGATGCAGATGTAAAGGCGAGGAAGAACATATATAACTCAAAACAACTGTCACCTAATTTCAAAGTCAGAATCTTCAATACGAACGTCAAGACAGTCCTACTGTATGGAGCTGAAACGTTGAGAACTACTACGACCATCATCAGGAAGGTACAAGTATTTATAAACAGTTGTCTACGCAAAATACTCAACATCGACTGGCCGGATACTATCAGCAACAGCGTTTTATGGGAGAGGACAAACCAGCTTGCAGCTGAAGAGGAAATTAGGAAAAGATGTTGGAAGTGGATCGGGCATACATTGAGGAAATCACCAATGTGCATTACAAGGCAATCTATAACTTGGAACTGTGAAGGGAAGCGGAAAAGTGGAAGGCCAAAGAACACATTACGTCGGGAAATAGAAGCAGATGTGAAAAGGATGAATGTTAACTGGAAAGAATTGTTTGGGACAGGGTTGGATGGAAAATGCTGGTGGTTGACCTATGTTCCTCGACAAGGGGTAACAAGCGTAAGTAAAAAAATATATTCCCTTAATCCAAAATCAAAACGAAGCATTTGTCTATAAAATGGTATAATTGATAAAAACATAACCGATGTAGTTTACGACCCTCAAATTGTATAGCATTTACACGTGACGTGGTACAGTCAATAAATAAGTTCTCTCTGCTATAGTTATACGAGAGCTATTCACAAAAACACACAGTAAACTGTTGGATGCTGGCTGATTGGTCTAGAGTTAGGTGTTCGCGCCCGGAATCGAAGGTCGTGGGTATGCTTTACTAGGTAGTCCTACACCGAAGCCAAATGGGTTTCCAAGGCTTCTAGGTTCTCATTGGCGTTTTAACTAAGATCTCATGACTTAAAATCTATGAAGATAAACTAAGTAACAACCAGTAGCTGTATCACTTCACTAATGCCAGGGAATAAATCGAAACGAGATTGATGCATACAGTTTATGGATATTGTCACTAGTAAACGTATATATTCAGTGATGATATATGAAGAAAGGAAAAGCTATTCAGAGTGTCAAAAAAACACAATTATCATGACAAATGAATTAAATATTGCAGATTCATTTACTCACTTATAAAATATCAAACATAACAAGAATGTTTGATAATGACTGTTTACTTTACTTTTTTACTTACGCCTGTTACTCCCAATGGAGCATAGGCCGCCGACCAGCATTCTCCAACCCACTCTGCCCTGGGCTTTCCTTTCTAGTTCTATCCAGTTTTTGTTCATTCTTCTCATGTCTGTCTCCATTTCTCAGCGTAATGTGTTCTTTGGTCTTCCTCCTCCCCTTTGGCCCTCAGGATTCCATGTGAGGGCTTGCCTTGTGGCACAGTTGGATGATTTCCTCAATGTGTGTCCTATCCACTTCCATCGCTTCTTCCTGATAATGACATAAACTACTTAACAATAGTAAGTAACGTAGTACACAGAAAGGAACTGAGTATGATCTATCATATCCAGATTTATGTAATCATAATTCATTAAAAACCTTAACTTATTCTTATGTTGGTTTGTTCTCTGAGCTGGATGGTTTGGTCGTAGAGCTTTCATCGTTGAAAGCTCCACGACCAAACCATCCAGCTCAGAGAACAAACCAACATAAAAATCACCCACCTGAGCTACAAATCTTCTCCACCATCTCTTAACTTATTCTATTGTATTTTGTTCATTTAATTATAGCTTCTTGATCAATTATTGTATGCATTTCAAGTTCCTATTAATTTTTCTACTGGAACAAAATCTTTACCTGAAACTAACCATGATAAATTTACGATGACGATTTCATCTGAACAACAAGTTGTGCATAGTACAATTTTTCAAGAAGTCATTTTAATTGATTGGTCAAATCGTAAATCCTATTTAGACATTTCATTATTTGGTCATGAAGATCCATTTGATGAATTAAATAATGGAAATTTATTCAGTGTAAATTTTCAATATGAAGAGGAAAAAAATAAAAGTGACTTATCAAAGAATAATAAATTATATCAATTTGATATGTTTGAAGAAGCATGGTCAAGTTCTAAATTATCAGAAAATCCTCTATTGAATACTATCGTTTATTTATTTAAAAAAGTATGTTAAACTATTGTTATAGTAGGTACATTTTTCCTTTATGTCTCGATTTTGGCTGCTAAATTGACGTGGTAGCTGGTTTTGCATATCGGGGTGAACTAATCAGGCAATATCAGCTGGATGATTCGATTCCCTAGGTTCTATCATACTAGGCTGGTTAGTTGAAGAGTGACAATATTAAAAGCGGTAAACTCAAGGTCCGAGAACAAAGTTGCATTGTCGATTAAACAGTAGTGGGACGACTGTAGGTCTTTTTCCCTCAGATAACTAGCATCTACATCGGTGTTACCTCCTCACAACGGTAGCGAAGGGAGTCATAAAAAAGTGACCCTGCAAATGTCACACCTCACTTTACCCACGGAATTCGGTTACCGGCGCCAAAGCTTTTTAAAGTGCGGAGCTATTACATTTAAGACTATCAATAAAAATGCAGCGTGCGACCGATCTCAAGAAGTTATCGTTTTGACTCTACAGTCATGGTTCTGAGTTCTCAATATCACCACTACTTAACCCAGTCTACCTTTTAGTACGTTATAAAGAAGTATCCCTTTACTTTATAGGCAGTCGGAGAGTGATAATTGCTTTCTTACCTCTAATAATACTCAAAATCATCATGTCTACAATCAGAATTCACCTTCATTACCATCCATTTTTTTGCTAAATGCTTCATTTATGGTCTACATTAGCCGAATCATGGGTATCTATCACTTTGTTCCGATATTCTGATATTTGAAGTATTTTTAACGCAGTCTTTTCTATTTATATTACCCTACTCTATTTGAATGATTCGCTTAATGTAATTATATTATATATTTAAATAGCCTCAAGTAATATTTATGAACTAAATCCTTTTAACGAGTATCTTCAATTAAGTAGATAACTTGGTTCTACATGTACTCACTGGTGCTATGACTTTTGGTTTGTTTATTATCGCGTGATAATATCGCTAATCAGAAAACGATTTATACAATCTTAGCACTGTGCCAAATGAATGACTTGTTGATCGGTACGAGCAGCCTAGAGTTTTTATCGATCCTTCTCATCTAGCCTTGCCTGTTGAATACAGAACAGCAATATCTGCTTCCACGATATGGATCATATATTTCGAACATACTTAGTTTATATACAAGCAAACCAGACCACATTATACCATAAAATAGTAATTAACAATTGTACGAGTTCAAACGCAAGAGTGGCTGTGATTATGAGAGACTGTAACTAGTAAATTGGGAAGAACTTAAGAACAGTAAATCTTACTACAATAGTCGATAGGCCAAATAAAAGCTTATGATAAGAATATATATATATATATATATATATATAACATTCCATAAATAGATCTTAGCAACTGCCGTTCCTTTATTCTTCATTCGGTTATGAAGATCTGGACGAAACCTAGTTTGAGTGCAAATATCTTCTTGACATCCATCAACTAGGACTTACTATTTATTTAAAAAGAAGGACATCAGTATTCAACAAGATGAAATATTCTACCAGTTTTCAGTGGATCTCCTTCAAATGCCTTGGTACGGCCGAGAGTGGGGAGATTCGGCTCTCCCTCTCCAAGTTCTCCCACATGACCGCGCGTATATAGCCTCTGACAGGGAAGTCCTACTCATTGCCTTCTCGCACCACGGGTGTTGTTAGCGAAAGTGAGAGGACGAAAAGCGAATATCCGGCGCTTTAACCGGGTTAGTGGACACGGATAGTACACCTAGAGGAGTTGGAAAACCCTGATTCCAAACCAATGGTGCACATGGACTCCAGTATCCTTAGGGAACAAATGGCGTACGAATCAATCGTTGATCACCGGCTACCATGGGACTGCATCTCCTCACGATGCTCCACTACCTTGTGAATCAGATCTTTAGGTCAAAGGCTCCAGAAGTAGCCCCCTAAGAAAACCACCTGCTTCAGTTTGAGCACCTGGTCAGTATCACAGGCCTCACACAAATCAAATAAGATTTGTGCGGCGCACATGTATCTGGTACCCCTATGTACCAATATTTATGTTTTCAAATAAGTAAATAATAAATATCAGTAGATATTATCTTTTAATCAGTATATATTATATTATTATTATTACCTTTTCTTTTTACAGCCAAATTGTTTCATTCAAATAAACAACATTATGAAGTATTTCTTAAAACTTTTAGAAAACAATATCATGAATAAATCATCTTCTCATATTGATCATTTAACGTCTACAACTCATACTACTATTATTACTACTAATACTACTAATATAAATAATAACCAACATACCTTTATACAACATGTACATATTCGAATATTTATTCATGTATTATATTCACTTATAAAAGATAAATCTATCATTAAACTTTTAGATAAAATTAATTTAAATGAATTAATAGAACAATTTATTCAATTGTTCAATATTTTATTTTTAAACCAATTCAATACTACTACTACTAATAATAATAGTAGTAGTAATAATAATGATTCAAATGTACAATTAATGAACAATGATATACAATATTTTATTTCAAATGAAGTAGACATTATATTATTTGAATTAATTCATTATTTTTGTTTTAATCAAGATAATAATCATAATGATAATCATGATCCATTAAAACAAATTAAAAATAATCTTAATTTAATTTATAAATTAAAACAAAATATTCAAAATTCAATAAATATCTATAATTGGTATAAATATAGATGTTTTTATTTATTTAATATAATATTTACTTCATCCATAGCAACTATTAATCAATTAAATAATGATAATAATAACAATAATAATAATAATGGTAATGGTAATAATAATCAATATTTGGAAGATATTTATCAATTGAGAGATCAAATTTTCAATTTATCTATTGAATTAAATGAAATACAAATGAATTCATTGGAAAATTTCATGGATATTAATTTATTTTATAAAAAGTAATTCATTTAAAGAAAAAAACAATCTATGAATTGTAATCATTTCTTATAATTGATATTAATTATTATTATTATTATTATTTATTTAAACACATAAATATTGGTACAAAGTGGCATGAGATATATATGCACCGCACAAATCTCATTCGATTTGTATGAGGGCTGTAATACTGCCCAGGTGCTCAAACTGAAGCAGGTGGTTTTCTTAGGAGGCTACTTCTGGAGCCTTTGACCTAAAGATCTGATTCACAAGGTAGTGGAGCATCGTGAGGAGATGCAGTCCCATGGTAGCCGGTGATCAACGATTGATTCGTACGCCATTTGTTCCCTCAGGATACTGGAGTCCATGTGCACCATTGGTTTGGAATCAGGGTTTTCCAACTCCTCTAGGTGTACTATCCGTGTCCACTAACCCGGTTAAAGCGCCGGACATTCGCTTTTCGTCCTCTCACTGTCGTAAATAACAACCCCGCCACGAGAAGGCAGTGAGTAGGACTTCCCTGTCAGAGGCTATATACGCGCGGCCATGTAAGAGCATTTGTAGAGGTAGAGCGCACGCTCTCCACTCTCGGCCTTACCAGGGCGTTTGGGGCAGATATTACTTACTTACGCCTGTTACCCCTCGTGGAGGAGCCATAGTCCGCTCACCAGTTCCGGTTATCGTTTTCTGAGCGAGATAGTTTTCTACGGGATGAGATCGCTAACCCCATGTTCAACCCTCCTCCTTTACCCGGGTTTGTGACCGGTAGTCACTTTATAAAAGCTACAGGCAGAGTTTTATAATTGATATAAAAGAAATTAATTTGACTAGTCTGTTTTTGTTTTGGTAATGTAAACTTTTTGTTTTTCTTTAATTAAAGGATACCTAAATGTACAAGTTGACTAATAGGTTTGGTTAAGGATTGACTGAAGTTCAAGACGGTTGTTTCATTGTATTTGAGGCAACCAAATGCTCTAGTTACGGCTGAGACTGGGGAGAGTCCATTCCTTTTCTCGAAATCCTCTCACATTGCTATACGTATACAACCGCTGCTAGGGAAATTCTATTTATTGCCTTCTCTCGGCGAGGGTGTTGTTTACGAAACTGAGAGGACGAAATGTGAATGTCTGGCGCTTTAAATAGGTTGATGGACACGAAGGGTTTAAACCAATGGTGCACATGGGTTCCAGAATCCTAAGGGAACTAATAGCGTATGAAATTATTGTTGGTCACTGGCTGGCATGGGACTACATCTCATTACGTTGCTCCACTGTTTTGTGGACTAGACATTTAGGTCAAACGCTCAGAATGTGGCTCCCTAGGATAAATTAATTGTTTCGGTTTGGGCACACGAGTAGTATCACAGCCCTCAAACGAATCGATGGTAATTACTACTGACCTCATTGTTATTATGTGAGGCGTATGTATTTGCTTCCCCCTTGTACCAATATTTATGTGTTCAAGTAAATAAATTATCCTCTGGATATACTTGAAGACTAGTGTTAGTATTTCCTCTTATGATTGTACATATATTACGGATTTATAGGAAAATAAATAGTAAATAGATCCGTGGTATTGCAAAATATATACCACCGAATGTCTTCAATCATGGAGTATATGTTAAGGACCCTAACCAGTTAATTTTTATGTACTAAAAAGGCCCATAACAATAATCATTAACTACATGAATTAATTCCATGTTTTTTTGGCCTTACATGACTTTCCCTCAAATCCACTCATACAACAAGTATAATATCAATCCCTGAAACTTAGACAATGAAAGTGATATTGTTAGAAGCATATCTATGATGCCACTTGAAATAGCCAATTCTAACAACAGTCCATGATGTGCTCTTCGTTAATGAAAGAGTTTCTTGTGAAGTGGTGACCCGCTGATTAAACCATACTTGTCTTTTCACTATTAGATTAGACTATTTTGGTTTTGTTAGCAGAGTTGATTCACTGATTTGTACTGAATTAATAAGTTATATCAACATTACCGTTTCTGTACTGGTCATTACTTTGTGGATAAACTTACATATAATTGTGATAATAATTGTTGTTTTGAATCGAAGAAGTAAGTTGGAAGAAAGCTTTACTCACAAAGTACAACAACACTTAATGACTCAGCTGAGAATCGACCCCAATGACACAGATACATTTACCATTCGCCTTCCTTTAGATCCTGAGTTTTACGAAAATCTAATTTTTATTCCATGAATTAATATTTTCATTTTCTTCTCGAATCATATTCTCTCTGTCTAATCTTTTTTAATGCTACTACTATTACCCATGATACTTTTACCACTTCTAATACTCTGGTATGTCACTGTTTTAATGTGATATGGCAACTTGGACAGATGAATATATATTCCAGGTTCTGCATTGCCTATGATTGACTGAATTTTTAATAGTATTTCTCTGTAGAAATTCACTTTAATAGTTTAGTAGATTATTCCTTATTTTTTTCTCTTTGTCATTGTTGTTTTTGCAGTACTGGCATACAATTCAAGGCTATTTCCGTTGTTCCATCATTAACAGGACAAACAGAAGATTGCAATTCACTGTTACCGTCGAATGCAGTGGTTGGAGACAATCATATAAAAAGCCAAATGATGATATCACCACGTTTACTGTATTTCATTTTTGAGCTAGCCACTGTTTCTAATACGTTATGCAGTGAAGTATTAAAATCAATCATAAACAAGTCATTGAAATCGAATGGTCAGTTACTGGATCCCATATCAAAAATTAGTTCTGGTCATTTAATAATTGCTATTCAATTGGTTAGTTTATAATTATATTTATACCTATATTCCTTTTGCTTAATGAATAACTAGACTGTGTAAAATAGCTCCTAGTGAATAGGATCCGTCATTTCAATTGTTTTGCAAAGAGAAGTAGTGATTGTACAATTGCTCAAAAACTACGCGCACATTTATGTAGACAACCAATAGTGTGAACCGTACACAGTACTTCAAGGCACTGTCTACTTTTGACTGCTGATAGCGAATTGGTTGACGTGTTTTGTTCGAACTTGTGATAAAGTTTGTTAAATATCGAATTAGTTAAACCATTGAACCATAGCTTCTGTCGACCAGCTGCCTCGTCCTGACGGGTCATGTTCTAAAGCGAAACATCTGTCCGATGCTCTATGGTTTACAATGTCGATCTAGCTAAGATCAGTTCCTGATGTAAACTTTGAAATTCAACAATCTCCAAAAACCATCTCCTTTGTTGGGGAGTCGCGAAATACTCCTCGAAAAAAATCAGAAAATCCTTGAAAACACGTTATCCAACCGGGATTAAATAGAATTTTTTACAAAGCATCTAGAGAGACGACAGATCGCGTGTTAAGTTTTAACTGGATAATTACCTTTGTACTTTTATGTTTAGCATGCTTCTAAAGCTCTCTGGATGATCAAAGTCACGTTAAATTGTATAAATACACATGATTTTCTGTATATACAACTCTCTGTATATACAGCTCTTCTTTGAACTTCACAATATTTTGTCTTGTGTTCAAGTCGCCGTGCATATTCACTCTGGCGTTATTAGAATCGTCTAGAAAATCATATCGAGCGTTCAATTAGCATATTTACCACCCTTCAGTTAAATATTGCATACTAACTTAAATTTCCATTGGCATTACGGGAAAGCTGTGACCTGTGAATTCAACCACTGAGTGAGGCAGTAGTTCACTATTCAATTAAATATCATACTTCGTGGCGAAAGTTAATTAAATGTTATTTATTTATTTATTTAAACACATTGTTACAAGGAAGCACCAGATACATATGTGCCATACAAATCTCATTCGATTTGCTTGAGGGCTGTGATACTGCCCAGGTGCCCAAACTGAAGCAGGTGCTTTTCTTAGGGGACCACACCCGGAGCCTTTGACCGAAAGATCTGATCCACAAGGTAGTGGAGCATCGTGAGGAGATGCAGTCCCATGGTAGCCGGTGATAAACGATTGATTCATACGCCATTTGTTCCCTAAGAATACTGGAGTCCATGTGCACCATTGGTTTGGAATCAGGGTTTTCCAACTCCCCTAGGTGGACTCGCCGTGTCCACTAACCCGGTTAAAGCGCCGGATATTCGCTTTTCGTCCTCTCACTTTCGCAAACAACACCCGTGGTGCGAGAAGGCAGTGAGTAGGACTTCCCTGTCAGAGGCTATATACGCGCGGCCATGTGAGAGCATTTGTAGAGGGAGAACGGAATCTCCCCACTCTCGGCCGTACCAGGGCATTTGGGGGCTTACGAACCTTTAGATCATTAAACTGATTAGTGCGAATATATCTTACTTACTGAAATGTCTTCAGGGTTCTATCCTTCATATGTTTGTGACGAATGCACACTATAAACGCGTTTCAACACACTAGAATAAAACAGATTCCCAGTACTCTTTTAGTTTTTCAGCTATTGATTATTTTTTAGAAAGAAAAAAATCAAAATGTCATTTGGATATGGCTGTTATTATCCTATGGTTTAACACTGACTTGTTCAGTGGGGTTTGAATTTTAATTCTTATAATATTGATGTTTAGGGCTGGGACGTCCGTCCCAGAATTTACTTCTAACCACTATCCATCTCTGCTTAAAGTACTTGTTACTTAATGTCATTGTCGAGGCAATCCACATAGGATGTACATATGCCGATAGACGAAGTTATTTGTTTTACCAATATAATATAGAATATGAAAAAAGCCGCTTGAACAGGAAAATAACCTAACGCCACAGGTCATCCATTCAAGCTGGGTCAGAAAAGCTGATTTTATTTTTTTTATTTATTCATTCATATATACCCACCATTACTGACCTGTACTGTTTGGTTGACCTTTGTATATTACACTGTTAGTTGAGATGATCTAGTAATGAGTGAAATGTCTATTCAAGTCACAATGAATATGAATGATTAATGAGGTATATTTTCGATACATGATAATGGAATTGTTTTTGGCAATTATTAAATCACCTAAGAGTTGAAATCATCGGATTTTCATTTATAGATGTGATGATAAGTGTTTTAAACCCTTAGGGTAGTGATAGTCTTTGTTTGTGAAAAGTAGTTCAACAATTACTGTATATGTATAACTGAAGATGTAGCCAATGAGAAGTATATGGGTTCTGGTCTATTATTAAGCTTAATATTATCGGCCTAAATCCAAGTTGTTGTTCAGCTTTATGGTATGACTCACATTCTCTAGTGCATACATAAAACGTATTTCATCGAGATCACGAACCGATCAATGTTATATTACCATTGGAAACCTGGAAACCCGTTTCGTCCTAGTATAGGGTTCCTCAGCAGTGCGCATCTACGATTGCGCACGTGGGACTCGAACCCGGCACTTCCGATCTGGCGCGCTAACTCTTGATCTCTGAGCCGGCGTCTAACATTGTTAATGTCCAGCTCCAACCACTCCACGTTATTGCGCGAGCATCTTGTATTTGTTTGACAATTTATGTGACTGACTAGATAAAATATTTTATTTTAATGACTATGTTGGCTCGAAATACCATTATGAAGGGAAAAACTATTAAATGTAATGTACTGAATTCAAAATTTCACAATACGTAACAAATTTCTTTAACATTTGATTTTCAGACCCATATTGGTCTAAAGTTTGTGTGTTGATGTCATTTATGATTTCGTTGAATTGTTATATGTTTATTGAAACTTAGCACCGATATCCATCAACCTTCAGGCCATATCACTCATTGTTTACCAAAACTACTGGACTACTCTAACTATATTTGTCAATTATAGTTTACCACATGAACAGACTTCAGCTTAAGGATCGTTGAAATTTAGGGAAAACTGGACACTTGTTTTATCAGCGTTTGGAACTCCACATAATTGCGTAACTAGGACCTTCAGACTTCTCGGCAAGTGCATTGCCTTTACATCACTTAATCGCAGTTATCAAAGTAAGTCCTATTTGAAACATGAAAGATTGGCAAAGTAACAGAAAGATTAAATTTCGATCATGGATTAGTTCAAATCACATATGGATGAGTTATGTTAAAATTTGCCATTGTTATATGATCATTAATGACAATACAGTGTCTAAGATAGTAAAATTAAGCGGGTTATATGCATGTAATTTCTTTATTCAACAACTTTTGATCGGCAGTAAAGTATTTATTACAGAAGGCTGAATATTTACTGCTTATCATTATAGTGCACATCTATTGCCAAATAAAAGTGAGGTTTTCTTATTCATTTTTCCTTATCAAGTTTCTTAGGAAAATTGTTAAATCAAAACAGTGGAAATGTTGGGAACGATTATACTTTCTATTATATAAATTACTCAAAGCTGGTGTATTAGTTTATCCTGTACCGAATTTAATTAATGACAATCAAGAGACAAATGACAATACACCTTCAAGACTATTCTACTTATTGGATTGGAGTAGTGAGTTTGTTAAATGCTTTTTTGTTATTATTGGAAGTTAGACATAAACACCATGGGATGCCGGTTCACTGGTCTATCGGTTAAGTGCTCTGGCGCGAGATTGACAGGTCATAAATCTATCTAAATTACTATTGAACCAAATGGTCAAAAATTGCTATAAATAGATTTGCCAAGTAGGAAACATTTGAGAGATTTTTAAAAAGTTGACATCCTATGAATTACTTCCTATTCGGCAATGTACAATTACTAATTATATTACCGAGACTCATATTTTGCCTCTATTATTTCCTGAACTTAGTAAACACTGTGCTGCAGTGCGTGGATAATCCTAGAGGCTGCTAGTATATTATACTTGTCTTTGCGTTCATATTTTAAGCGTTAGGACTAGTGATACTACTCGGTTGCCTAACCCTGAGACTGAAAGACTAAGTGTAATTTCTTAATTACTCAGCTACCATTCGACAGAAACTGTTAGTATGACACTATTGTAAATATGGTTGTGGATAAACACTTGAAATATTGCCAACAACTGATCAATATTATTTATTCTAGCAAATATTAACCAACGTATATACTCAGGAAAACGAGATGCCATAACATTTGAATCCATGCATATAAAACGAAATCCAAAAGCCTCACGTTACCTCATCCAGCACATATATTATGGGGTAAAAGAGTTGGAGACATGCTTTTAGAGATAACACTTTCATCATATGACTTTGCTTGGATTGATCTTCCACCAGGAGATTCACTTTTTAGTTTAGAATACGCAGATGATACAGTTCTTTTTAATGAAGGCGCTGACAAAGTGCAGTCTTCTGACCACCTAAAGCAACAATGCAAGCATCTTTCAGATGCGGTTCTCTCCCTCCAAATGTAAAATGTAACTTCAGGATTGTCTAGGGTCATTATCTCAATTAATGATAAGAAGTAAAGCAGTTGAACGCATCAGCTGCTTCACTTATCTTGGAATTCTCATCAGTACTGATAGTCTGGTGGCTGAAGAAATTTTGGCACGGGTTCAGAAGGCTCTGTTGGCTTTTTTCAACTTGCATCACTTGTGGCATGGGCGAGGAAGCCGTATTCCAACCAAAGGACAAGTTTACTGCACAGCAGTTGGTCCCTTCCTACTTCATGGATGAGAAACATGGCCATTCAGAATAGAAGATATTCATAGGTTACTGGTATTCGATCATAATTGTCTACAAAGCATTGTTCGTACATAGGTTAGGAATAGAGTACTAGGTAATGATGGGGAATCAATTGATGAGGTAGTTAATTTCCATCAACTCAGGTGGTTGGGATGTGTTACGTATTCCCAGCCAATGCTTACCTCGACGGGCTGTTTTCTAATGCGGAAGAAAGCTTGAACGAAGCTGCTTAGGACCATACCAAAACATGGCATCATTCCATGAAGTCACTGACAATTGGACTTCGTCACGCTAATAGGTGTAGGCTATCTGGTTAGGGTCCGCGTGGTTATTTTAACCAATGGTTAGAGATCTTGAATGGCATAACTCAAAATCGTCTGCAATGGCCGAGGCGCATCCACTCTTCTTCCCGCAAATCCTGAGACTCTAAATTCCTCACTTTTCGTTTTTATTTTGCTAATTCATATTTTCTTTTCGAGTCGTATATCTTCGATGCCTAATCTTTCCTAGTACCACTGATAATGTTACTATCTCGATTATTCTGTGATTTGGCCTGACAACTTCACCTCTCTGTACTAATGCTGTACAGCGACTTCAACTAATGTACATGCGTACAGGTTCTACATTGTGACTGACTGAAAGTTGTAAGAGCCGAACTAATCACAATGATCACAAATGAAAGTATCTATTATTATTCCTTTATATCCTTTTTTCTTTATCCCTTTAGAACTTTGTGGTTCATTCGATCTCTTCACATTAACATCAGATCTATTTAATTTATGGTGTATGTCATTGGAAATCCTATCTGATCAATTATTAAATCCTTTTCAACCCACCAATCTCTCTCATGATAACAGCAACAAACTATATCATCGAAATACTGAGTTCTACATCCTTTGCCACTCATTATGTGATTTAGTCTCGTATTTATCATCAGTCATTTCTTTACATTCAACTAAAAACATTGACCGAATTTGTAATAATGATGAAAATAACAATAATGACGGTAATACTGTAAATAGTGATGCTGATATTATCTCTTCATTAAAAACTAATCAATTTATACAATATAGTAAACAATTAGCAATCCATTTACTTGATCAATTATCAAATCGTTTGTCGAATAACCTGATCTCTAACTTATTAATCAAATCAAATTCACAATTGAATGTTTCTGATGAATTGAATCGACTGAAACAGACAATTTTGTTAGTACAAGATATAATAAGAACTTAATGATGAATTGATGAAAAAATGAACGTTGACTTGTATACAATATTTACTTTTTCCTAATCAAAAATAATAAGATGTATGAATAAGATAGTCGTTTTTGCGTTATTTGAAGAATTGGTTAAAGTAATTTCATTTTCCACTTCTCTCTATCATCTAGTATTATCAGAAGGGGTTTTGTGGAGATTTCAGTATTTTCATAGTTGAAAGCATGAGTCAATTAAAGTTAGACCACCAAGGAAAACCTGGAGGCACTGGACGGCCGTCTCGTCTTATTGTGGGACTCCTCGGTAGTGCACACCCACGACCTCGCCCCGCGAGATTCGGACCTACCAGTCTCGCGCCAGAGCACTTAACCGATAGACTAGTGAACCGGCATCCGATGATGTTAATGTCTAACTTCAACTTCGTGAATTGGTTGAAGTTAGACATTAACACCATCAGATGCCGGCTCACTGTCATCTAGCAGTCGAAAATCTTCTGTCTGTTACAACTATCGTAAGGTGAACTTTGGGGAACTAGATATTAGTTTAATTAGTGATAGAGCTAAGGAGGTCGTAAGAATAGTCATATTTTATTAGAAGGGTTAAGATCTCTTCTGGAACGACACACTTTCTACCAATTCGCTTTTCCGCATGACCTTTGCCCTCTGATGTCATATTATTTTAGTTCGCTAAATTGCTACATGCTCGAAGGTCATATTCAGGCTACCATAGTAACAACTTTTGTACCAATTTTGTTTGAGTTGTTTGTTCTATCACAAATATCACTTAACCTGCAATTCCATCTTCTTGTCTTAGCTGTCGAGGTTCGATGTGTTGAGTATAATTGACTATTTTCAGTTCCGAAGAGAACCTATCGTATTAGAGAACTCAATCGTTCTCGTTTCTCAATCCGTAACATCATATACGATGTACGGTCTAAGAACCCAAATAAGACACAACAGGTATTTGATAAGTAGACGAAATAACAATAAGATTCACATATGGAAGATTTTTATGAGTAGTTTACAAGATAAGAACCCTCACACGCAGAGGAGAAAATCCATATATCCACGTTATTGCAAGCGATTCTAAATTGCATGTTTTGTCCCTTAAAACAAGTGATTGTTACCATCTTGTTGTGATTTGGTGAATATTGTGCAGCCTATAATCATTTCGTTGAATGCATATATATTTGCAAATTTGTCACCATTCTCGTTCTTTTCTCCCAGTCAGTTCATATCGTCTCATGATATGTTCATACCCGGTGTTGTGAATTCCAACTTTGACGTTTAGGTCTCACATCAGAATGGTCAAGCTACTTCCTGTGCATTTCCGTACGATAGATGCAACCTCTCGTGTAACTGATCTTTATAATCATCATTGCTATTGGGCGCATAATATTCATTGTGATCACCCCTTTGTTTCGAATGATGCTTTGATGACCCTGGATCCATGAGATTCCCATCCTATAAGTGCATTTCGTGCATCTTCGGACACCATCAGAGCAAAATCCCGAGTGTGCGAAGCATTTTCCTTTTCGTGACCGGAGTACAGAAACATTTTTCCCGTATTTAGCCTTTGTTGTCCAGCTTGAATCCATTGAGTTTCGGTGATTCCGAGCACTGCCAAGTTTTTTTCCATTTCCGTAGCTATTTGTCTGGTCCTTCCAGTCTCCCACATTGTTCGGACGCTCTTTGTACCTATATTACTTGTTGCTCTGATTGTTAGAAAGGGCATCAGCCTCGTGACTTCTGAAGAATTTCGACTTTCATCATGAGGTATCATAATCCTTCCTTCTACTCCCAGGGCAGAGTTTAAATGGTTTAATCTGGTTGACGTTTTTTTAGCGAGTTAGTTTCCTACGGGATGGGGTTGAAGAGCCCACGCCCAACCCTCCTCCTTATGCGGGCTTGGGACCCGCAGTAGCCTTAGAAGAGCTACAGATGGAGTTAATGTTTGGTCATCTGGAGACCGTTTTTCACTAACAGGATAGATTTGTAAAATATGTGACTCGGTCAATTTAATCAGTTTATGAATATCCACAGAACACACTTTCTGTTCAAGCTGTAACGCCGAAACCCTCTACTTATTTTATAAGAAGTACCTTCAGTTCCCTTATTTTTATAGTCCTACGCGTTATAACGATGTTGGTGTAATACATTTGTACATCGAACTTCAAAATTAAATTGCTGAAAAGAACACTGGAAACGTCTTTAATGTGTAATATGACTTCAGAACCCAAGGTCTGAAATCAAGAAACGGGACCACCATCTTTTTTATTGACGTAAACGTATGGAAACCACTCCGAAAGTCTACGTTGACGTTGTCATTATAAGACATGATTACTGATATAAATATTCTTAAAGATAGTTTTTAAGTTAACGAAACAACATCAGTATTTACAACCAAATATTACGCAGTCTTTTTTTACAGTGGACAGAAGACATTACTTTTCAAACACAATGTACCACTTTCTGATTAGACCACTTCTAAATAGCACTTAAAACTTACATTTCCCCAAATTATCAGGCACAGGTAGTTTATCCCCATATAAACAACTGAGAAACTAAAGAGAAAAAATGGCATGTTATATGCCATGTTCAATGTACTGTTGTACTATTCGTTTTAACAAACCCAATCGATCACAAGTAAATGATGACGCTATTCAGTAAAGAAATTGTATTTAGAAACATACAGACACTTCATTCATTAAGTAATCTTTAATACAGATATATAAATAAACACCGAGGCGGGGGAACAAGTTACTTGAGGACAAAATCTGAACTAACTTAAAGAAATCATTATAAGTTTCAAAGTAAATTATAGCAAAAATATTCACACAAAATCTCACGATAAGTGAAAGATCTATTAAAAAATAAGTTGTTATCGAAAGAAATCTATGTCTCCATTGCTACTGGAGTTAATTCACCGTAAACTACTGGAGAATTTTCAGGAATGCACGTACCGTCATTTAAATTTGAATTATTAGGCTCCGTTGTAGGCCTTTCAGGTAACAGAATATGTAAGTAAGGATGTGTTATATTTACTGCACCCATAGCTGAGAGATCTGTATAGATTGCAGCATAGGTTTGATGAAACAATAAACCATCACCTGAAACACGACGACAATCCACAAGAATTGAACCAGCTAATGGATATAACAATACTCGAAAAGCAGTTCCTGGATGCTCTGGAGTTTTGATATCCACCTGTAGATTGAATATGGAGGTTATAACACACGATATATATATGAAATGAAATACAACGAGTTAGAAGAGGTTATTTTACAAATTATTCAATAGAACCAACTAGTAGGAAGTGGTCTATGCAGTAGGATATGACAGTAGCTGTACCAGTTAGCTTTCTAAACGGCCAATTAGATTTTAAGTGATATACCTATAGTTTAGTCCTATTGATGTAGATTAAAATTAAAAATGACAGCATACACTGGATGACAAGGTTGAAAGAAGAAAGGTTACAAAGAAGGACAATTTATAATGGCAGTGAAGTCTATTATTAATGAGATCAGATAACTACAAATAAGAAATTGTCAGAAACTAAGTCATACATATTCTAAATAACTAATGCTAAACAAAGCGTTTAACATACTTGATGCTATATACACTAATGGTAAAGATTAATCCTTAACTCTGCTTTCCTAGATGACAGTTATATTCATTAAGTATGTCAGCGATAATAGATGCGAAAAAATATGCATAATGTACTTAAAGTTTAAACACTCGGGCAGTAGTATTTCAACTCAGTAAAAAAAAACCATATGGATGATTCCAGGATAATATAAACTACACTGTAACTACGGAGTGCACACCATTACTTGTATTTTTTTAAAAATCTATGTAACTTAATAACCAAATACAGGTCCTTAAAATAGGCTGAAATACAATGCCTATATGAGAACTCAACTTGATCTGAAGGTGATGTATAGTTTGGATCTACCACAAAGTTGTTGAAATCAGAATGTTTTAGGCACTAACCTACTGCACCGATGTCATTTATAATAACTCTTGAAATATTAAACTTAATATAATATTCAGAAAATATTCTAGAATAAAATAACAATGGTTGATTCATCCCTATTTTATTTAAAATCAGAATGCTAACAGAGTGACTAGACGTACAAGTAGGTTATTTGATCCTTTGATTGTTGCCCGCAGATGTCTCCTTTGAACAACGACAGCTCGAATAACCTCCATTGTATGTTCTACTGAGGAGAGTGCTGAAAAGAATCGAGTCATACGGCGCATAAGACAGGAAAAACCAAGCCGATCCTTAACGTAATCAATATCTCCAACCATCTGAGACGCCTGAAATGAGAAACAAATACGAAATTCAGCAAATTGATATTAAATAAAACTGTTGTACGATTTCGTCTTCTTGATAGTATGAAAATCAATGGTTTATAACACTACTATATTAACACAGTATATTCACAAACTGAAGAAAAAACTTACCATTAGCATACTGTCAGTATCAGCCGGTTGAGATAAGTGAAGATCATTTATAATAGAATCTAATTGAGCATGACAAACTGGCGTAGGCTGAGATGAAGGTACTGAACAGTAAATAATGAAATAAACAAAATAAGTTTGATTTTACTAATGAACATCATACATCGTAAGTAACACTAAAACAGTAATAATAACTACTGATAATCCCAAGGTCAATAAATAGACAAATGATTAGTTTACGAAGATAACAGAATTACAAATTCAGAAATCAAAATAGTAATACAGCTAATAAGAGTATGTGTGAAAGCAATGAAGATATATGAACTAAATGCAAGAGACTAATGTCATCAGAATGTTAAGTAATTCATCTATCAAGTACAAGGTTTATATACTCGGCAATTTTGAATCACATTGGTTGTGTAAAATTTATTAATACTACTATCCGGCTGCTAATATTGAGGTGTCATCACCAATCAGTTTCCAAACAGAAACTTTTTCACCTACCTTAAGGATTATTAATATCAACATTTAGCGAAACCCTGACCAAAAAATTATGCACAAACCTGGTGCATCTCCTTGATAAGCGCTGCGTGAGGTGTTGGTACGGTCGCTGTTTGGTACGACAGTATTTACAGATACACCTGAGTCTTGTCTGCTTCGCGGTGACGCGACAGGAGTTAGACGTCGGGCAAGACCAAGGCGATACCAAGGATGGTTTTTAATGGATTCAATAGTAAGACGATCAGAAGGACGATGAGCCAAGGCTCGTGTGAGAAAGTTGGCTAAGTCAGGAGGAAGTCGGGAAAACACAGGACCTGTGTGCAAATCTTTATGTTCGGTCCACTGGCGATATACAGGATCAGATGTATAACTGGCACGTGACCAACAACGTTGACCAGTGACAGCTGTGAGAAGTGTAACACCAAGTGAGAATAGATCAGCAGGTGGTCCAAAGTAGGGACTAGATAAAGAAAAAATTTGGAAACAGTGATATTTGCGGGGAATATCTAACAACAGAAAACAATTTAATCGTTAAAAAATCTTTTTCGATGAACATATGAAGTACACTACTCACATTAGTCAAAAACATCTAACAATAAATAACACTTTGCAACGAATCAACATATCAATGCTTCGTTATTACACATATATCAGCAAGAATATTTAATTATCTATTTCCGCCTATGTAAAACAGCAACTGGAGAAAGAAGGAATAACGCGAATTCTTTGTTTTTCACAATGAGACACACTAGGAACTCTCTTAAGGCATAGTAAGCTTGGTTTGTGTCTACTGTTTACCACAGGGGGAGCACTTCCTAAAGTAAAAATCTGCAATCTCATAAACGAAAACACCTGATAGTCGTATATCCGACTGAAAATAGTTTTCTCCAGAAAACAGTACAGTATAGAGATTGGTACAGTATTCGTCTACTTTTTAAACTAGCTTCTATAATATAACAAGTGAACATTAGATCATAACAAACAGTTCTAACTGTTTCTGACTTTTACAGTACTAGGTAATTGTAAGCATTACTCGGGAATGACATATTGGCATTATATTTGAAGATCCAGAGAAAAAATGAAAAATTTGAAGAAATTCATGTAAGATTACAGGATAGTAAAAAGGTATCTTTTTATACGAAAACTTGTTATCGATAATCATAAATAAAATATACAATTACTTTTTTCCAAAAACTTCAGGCGCAGCATAACTTGTTGTTCCAACTGCTCCTTGAATAAGTTTCTGTTTTCGCAGATCTACAGCCCATCCAAAATCAATTAGTTTAGCTCTATCCTTCTTTGTGAGCATAATATTCTCCGGTTTCACATCTAAATGTGCTATTTGTTGATCATTATGAAGGTAATTTAATGCATCTAAAATCTGTGTACAAAAAGAAACAACCTTTTGCTTATTGACATTGAGTATTTATCTTTTTTTATATGAGATTGATTTATTCTAGGCTTTTATTATATATGAAAACAATGATTCGGATTTGCCTTGAACGTCGGAGTCGTGCATTCCAAACTCATTACACTTTCCAAATTGTAAACTGCACTTACCAATCAATGTCTAGAATTCTATGTAGATTATTAATACTTATATTTCAATAATCAAGTAGATTTCATTACCCGGCTGAACTGGTTCTCAAGGAAAATGATAATTTAAAACAATAAGCCTAAAAACTAAATGCATTATTTCATATACAAATATTTTGGTCAATTTATGACAATGTAAACCATAGAAACAAAAAAAACTTCGCGAAATTAAATTACATAGTAACATTTAATAAATGACGATTTATCTATGCTTCTTATAAGTGGTCTATCGGTTAAGTGCTCTGGCACGAGACTGGTATGTCATGGGTTCGAATATCGCTCAAGAGGCGGGATCGTTGATGGGCACTGCTGAGGAGTCCCATAATAGGACGAAACGGCCGTCAAGTGCTTCCAGGTTTTACATGGTGGTCTAGCTTCAATTGACTAATGTTCTCAACTATTAAAAATACTGAAATCTCCACAAAACCCCTTCTGACCTTCTTATAAGTATTCATTGAATTGTTCATTATATTTATGTAAGTTCTATATGTATTCACCTCTATCAAGTATACTAAATACATATCGTCTTTCTAATGACAATACAGTCTGAACAGTTTAGCATTAGACGGTGTAATGTCTACTAGAAACCACAAATAAAATGTATTCAATTTATAAAATATTAGATATTAAAAATAAAAGGATATTCACGTATTCAAATACCTGTGCATAGTATATAAACATTTGTTGAACATGTAATCCTATACCAATGGGAATACGCTCAAACAATTCGCCACCAGGCAATAATTCCATAAACATGAATGTGAATGTAGGAGTATTTCTGTAAGATTAAGAATAAAGAATACAACGAATTTCATTAGTTATAATATATATGTATGTCAGAAATATTAATCTACTACTGATAACGCAAAGAACAAATTAAAATACTTCACAGTAACTCAGATCATGGGAACAGTAACATTTAAGCAGATCCGACAAGTCGTACATCAACAGGATTTGCACAAGTTTCCTGTCGATATTAATAAACATACTTAACCGAGCAGAGTTATTGAACCATTGAATTAAAAAATAATTTAAAAGATTTAGAAACTTGGCAGGTTGAGACATTTTCCCCGTGTTTTAAAGACAAGTAAGAACCTATTAAGAAAGGAACGTTAAAGGTACGTAAGCAAATCTAAACAGGCTAGAACTATTAAGACATTTACCATGTATGAAGAAAGATAAAGGATAAATTCATTAGACGCTACTGTAAATCGAATACAAACACACGTAACTCAACTGTTGTGGTCTAGGTCCATTTATTTGTTTCATTACCTTAAGCCTTTGAAACAGTATTATTGTAATTATTTCACTTCTTGATTTCACCCACTACTCTAACATTTTCTTCTGATTTTTCGCAGCTTTGGATATCATTATTAACATTACTGTGACTGCATTTCGATAAATTAATCAAGTGGATAAGCAGATCTGATAAGACTTCGTGTTAAATATATTTTTAAAAAAAGCATATTTCTGCCAAGCACATAATGGTTTTGAAACTATGTAAATCACCTATCGAAAATCTTTTGATCAGTTGGTCGGTTGATTCTTATTCACAGCTTATAGCTACTACATATACTTTTTTTGGAGATAACAAACAGAGACGATTAGTATAAGTCGAAAACTAAACAGAACCCAACTTTTAATGGATCAATTTGAAAATGTTCCCTAGATATCTTTCGGAGGATGTTTATTTAACTTTTAAGAGTGTCTGTGAAATGCAGCCCACATATAAAGGAAATATGAAAACATTTTCTTACAAAATAAATCTTAATGCTGAGTTCATTTTATGAATATTTATTAAAAAATAAACAATATCTACCTGATTCCATATAAAGTGGCAATATTGTGATGTTTTAAACGTCTTTGTAACTCAGCTTCTTGACGAAGTTCTGCCCTAACTTGTGATACATTAACTTCAGCTTTTGTATTACTACGAAGCTTGCTTTGACCATATACGTTGACTACTTTTGCTGCTAAACAATCTTTAGTATCAGGATTGACAATTAAATATACTCGTCCAATTCCACCTTCTGCAAGACAGTGTGATATTTGGTATCCTGGGGGCAGGATAGGTTGCGCTTCAGTTTTTATTGACTAAAATATTTAAAAACAGTAAAAAATGAATATTTAAAAACTACAAAAAACAGATGACATATTAAGAATCTACAGTATGGATCAGATAGTAGAAATATGAAGTGATAAGAAAGTAAAATGGATTTTGCCACAGACGATATAAAATATTCTCAATCATGTAGAAATATTCGAGGCCTACGAATGAACCTCTACTCAGGGATGTGCGTCTCAGTTAAAAGACGGAATAACAATAGGATAATGGAATTCTTAACTAACTGGATGCTAAACTAAGTTTCTTCAAGTTTTTGTTCACTTTAGCTTAACCATGATTTATTTTTTGTAGAGGTCGTAAAGTGCAAGAATTTCGTTCAGTATCAATGGTTTACTAATTTGAAACACAATAAAGAAACGTTGTAGCAAACTGAGAGATCCTCCAATTCAATCTGTCACAGAACTATTAAAAGAGTCATATGGGTTCGATATGCATATTCATATTGTATGATTGAATGTTCCTAGCTGAGAATGCATGAGGAATTCACATATTATTGCCATCTCCATAGTGCTGCTTATATTTTTCGGTAACACTAAAGTCTGATAATATTTGAGCACGCATGAAGTTTTCATACGATCAGGAAATAGGAATACGCTTGATCTGTATCATTTCAAGGGTGCTAATTTAGATCGATGCATGTCTGTACCGGGTTTTACGTTAATCACGACTATTAGGACTAGAAATGAACCATAAAGAAAGGAATTGTGGAAAGACGATGATAAAGCGCCGTATCATAAAACATTTTTGTTAGCGTCTATAGGTAAATTATTAATACTAGCGTGGTTTTCTACAGATTACGTGGCTAATTGAGTCACAATGTTTATATATGCGGAGTGTGAAATGAAACATGTGACCATTCTCCAATTGAAAGAAAAGCACTAATTCTAAATTCTTGCAAAGACTAACTTTCATAACCTGGCAGTATTTGTTAAGTTAAAGGATAAGACATATAAGAAACACTGAAGAAATTGACGTGAAGCACCAATTAGTTTACGTACCAACAGGCGAAGTATTTGTCAATCATACGAGTAACTGGACACATTTTATTTAGTTTTTACTCACCTTCTGAATAGATGTTTCCTCTGAGTCTTCTGAGTTCGTGGTTACTTCAGGATTTTCTTTGTTCAGTTGAGTAATGTCTTGGAGATCAATGGATTGCACAGAATTGCTTAACTCGTCGGCATACATAGCACTGCAAACCAGTAACAAAGGGATAATATATTTAAAGATTTCAGTAGTTATTGGTATCCTAAAGTAACTACAGCTAAGTGTATATAATGAAGCCCACTGAAGTTTGACAAATTACAAAGCACAAATTAAATTAAGAACTAATCATTCAAACGTGAACAGTTTTAAGACTTCCCTGAGAAATCCAAATACCGGATTTGCTGTGATAATGATGAAAGTATTTTATTGTAACTACAGTATAGAGAAAGTTGGAAATATATCTGCAAGATTCTTTATGCAAACATCATTTAGCAGAAATACATTTTATTTTGAATCTAAGTTATACGAGGATGATTTATGCATAGATCACTGGTTAGACGGTTGTAATGACATGAACGGCAAGTGATATATGTGGTACATTTGATGGCAAGTTTTAATCTATACTGAATAACTTGTAATATTATATAACTGACCACAGATCCAAGATATTGTTTTCCCACAGGTTAGTGATGTCGCTGGAAGTACGTACTACACTCTTTTTCTCAGACTGATCATATTAGAATGATGGCCGGGAACCTAAGATTGTTAAGATAGATCAAAATGACTTTCGGGCCACCATAAGTCCTTTATTTTGGTTCCCACTAGTTTTCTTTATTCCATGCAGGCTCACCTTTAGAAAAGTACCTAGTCATCTTGGTTTCCCACTTTTAGTCTAAAGCATCTGTGGACAAATACCTCACTAAAAAGTCAGCAATGTGGCTTTTAAGCCTATGTGGAATGACAAAATTTCTTAAAGTCGAAATTCTTTCGGCCTTACTATTGCATACTACCATAGAAAGCAACTAACACTACTTTTTCACGTATGGTACGTATAATAACGCGAACGTTAATTAAAAGACGAGTGTACTACTCAGCAAGTTACGTCTTTATTCATGACAATAAATAATCGCTAAACAGAAGATATATTCCAGAGAGTTACCTAATCGATTACATTCCAGTGAGCAATACTGATATTAGGTATAGAATACTAATAAGTAATACATTAGTCGTTAATGACTGACGTCATTTCAAGCGGTCTTAGGATGTGTCGTTTTTTCCACTTACCGCTCATCTTGACTTATTATGCACTATAGCACAAAAGTGGATTGGGATAAGGCAATAGATAACCGGACAAAGTAACTGCAACACTTTAAAAAACCATCAACCCTAAGTCTGAGTCATGTATGGAAGTGTAAGTTGTATGGTTTAAGTCCAATGATATGATTCGTGATTAGTTTTATTAACTCACATATATTGACACTTTCATTTTATACTGTAGTGTTATACACCGATCTCCTAGCCTTCTTTATCATCTTTCCAGTTTGCAAAACTAGGAACCAATATTTCTTATACAGGGTTTGTATGTCGGAAACAAAAAATAGAGTTTAGGAGTTTCCAAACTTTTGCCAAGAAAAACTAGAAAACTGAACTTCTTTTTGCCTGTTCGATCACGTACCTAATTAGAAAGTAGGCTTTTGTGAAGTTAATTTAAGAGGCTTTTACACTCAGAAGTATAATAATGAAACAATATTGGCATACAGAACAAACAGACAAAGCGAACATTACTTAACATAGGCTTTGGTACGATAAAATCCGTTCGAGTAAAGGGCCTTTAATAATGTAAGATACTTGTTAGTTATCTCTCTTTTACGACATTATTATATTATAGAGTTCGGAATGACAGTTAAAAATTCATTGTTTTAGACATGAGGTACAAGGCTAGGTATGAATTGAGATATTCGCGGACGAGTTATTGTGAGACTTCAGCAAGACACACATTTTATCTAGAAAAACATCTGCTGACATATCAAGACATCTTTTGTTGTCTAACTAGACTCGTTAACCTGATGCTTCACCATGGAAAACGCTTTAAGAGTCAATATATTTGACGATTAGTAATTTATTGGTTTCACGAGAATCTACAAAAGAACTATGAAGATTATTCCGCAACAATAGCAAAGAGTGTCGGGAACTTTAATCACGCTGAAAATGTCACTGACCTGAATGGATTTTCACTCATTTTAAATCCAAGGATAATTAACTCTTAATAAATTTGACAGAGAGGGAATTCTATACTTTATTAGCAGATTTCAAGTAATTACATGGACGTTTGTAATGTTTACTTCTTCAAAGCCTCGTTCTGTAACCAGATATAGACGTGGCAACATATAAGTGTTGCCACTGCCTATGACAATCTATTACAAAAAGTTATAATCAACTTTGGATATGACGGTTGCACCTCAAAAGTTTTAGGGAAGTCTACTTCTGTGTCACGAACCCTTCAGGCATGGCGGTGACAAGGTTAATACGCTCAGCCATGAGGGGAGGTAGACAAAATGTATCACGGATCCTTCAAAGCATTTAGTCGGATTAATCATATTCCAATCAGCATCAAGTAGATAAGCAATTTGTTAGTGTTGATCAACTAGTTTAAATCTAATAATATAATCGGTTGGTCAAAGTTGAGGTGAATTACCAGATCTCTTATGATACAGAATGTCCTAGCAGAATATTCCATAGTATCGTAGTACGGCCTTCGTTTATTCATATACATAACCTACCGCAAATTAATTTTAACCTCTTTTTACTTGAGCTATGGAGAAACATTCACAACTAGAATTAAATAAGATTTTGGGATGACCTGACTCGAACTTGTTAGTTTGATGGGCACTTTTGTTATTTACAGCGTGAAGAATGAAACATAATATTCCATTTTCGAAGTAGGTGGCTGGATAAATCTTTAGAAATAAACGGAATGTTTTGCCGTCAAACTAAACAAGAATATTCCTTAGAGTTACTCATGTACATTTGGTTTTAAATAAGTTAAGATTACAGTTAGCATATGATGTTGGGAACTTATTAGTTCGTATATTGAGATGCAAAAACCTTCCTCAACTGACGATACTTGAGGCTAAATGTTCAGTTGTATGTCTGAATCGAGTTATAACAAGTTTGAAATCCTTTATATTTTGCAAGTTATGTTCGTCATTATCTAATCAATTTAGAATCAGATTCGCATCCACCTGGAGTGTTAACGTATCATTCTGGTTATGGAATGATCTTCAGAAAATAATTATTATGGAGATACTAGCTGAGGAGCATCTTTTTGTCAATAAAAAATACTGTTGTTGCGGTGTCCAACGAAAATCCGACACATCCGACACATGCGCGCGTACAATCCGAACCACCTCACTTACAAGGACAAGTTGACCGACACAAATTCCCGGGTAAATCTGAAAACACCAACTGTGAGTTATTCTAACAATTTTTCTATTTTCAAATACGATCATATCCTAATGCCTTCTTCATTGTGGATTGAAGACTAAGGGCGAACTGTCTTGTTTTAAACATATCTCTAGCTCACTTTATAGGAAATTACTTTAACCTTCAAAACAATTGCACTGAATATGCTAAATACCTTTCAGTCTTCAGTAGTAAGAATAGGTCTATTGAACTATAATAACCCTTGAAGTTTGTAAAACCGTTAAGGCCCAATCTCGTTTTCAGTACATCAACAGAACTTTACGATATTATGTGTTCTGGTAGACAATTCCAGCAATTCCCTACTCTGTGTGAGAAACGGGACTCCGGACGTAAATGATTTGATCTCGATTTTTGAACATCCTTAGAATGTCCTCTCAAATGATCAGTCCTGGATGGATTGGAAAGATAAGACATTATTACTAAGGTCATCGTTCAGTATACGATAATCTAATATTGGATTAAGTTGAAGTGTCTCATTCTGTCATCATAAGATAGGTCAGAGAGAACTTTTACCACTTCATGTCCTCGTCGCTGAGCTCGTTCTAGTATATCCGGCTCACATTTGGAACAAAGACTCACTGCTTGAACCTCATAATCCAAATGCATCTTTTCGTTCAAGTACTAAAAGAGCTTACAGACAGCCCATAAGAGCCTAAATCCTTTGACAATAACATTCTTAAGTACAAAACGCTGAAAAACGGTTTTAGACTTCTTATAGTTCTCCCGTGAGTATATCTGGTATTCTCTTGAGCGATAGATACAGAATGCACTCACCGTATCTACACCAGTTATTTGGTCTATACGAAAACCTGCTTTCCATAAGGCGACAGTTTTTTTCTGCAACTTAAATCCTCATACTGTCGTAAAACGTCCTCTGGTTTAGATTAGTCTCAAGTTGGTATATTCGCTTTAAAAAAATTTATCGCGATCCTTTATTATATGCTTTATAACGTGTGACTGGAAAACAAAGGACTCAAATAAATTGAGATTTTCCTCAGTCTTGAATTTTTCCATCTACGTCGGAAATAAATTTCATTGTGGAGATCTTTCAACGTTACGTCACAGTAGCTTCTTAATAAATGTTGAGATCATCAAGACTAGCGCTTTAACATATACTCATACAATTACTCTTAAAGTCAATTCTGTTCCCTAAGTGAGCTCATTTAGAGATTCTCCAAAATATTTGTCTATAGTCTGTTCCTTTTCATATAATTTGAATGTCAGTGAACCCAACAGAAGGATTTTACGTCGAACAATATTTTTTGCGGTAGTTATAAATACCGCCAATCGAGATATACGAAACTATGAGGCAACTAAAACATTTCGGTAGCTTCATATTATATGAGACACCTTCATCTTAGTGATCAGGATAACGATCTGTTGGTGCACTTCGGTAACGTATTCAATAGAAAGTACTTTATATGTAATTGCAAATCAAAGATTAACACAAAAGCGTACCATAAATGAAAATAACATTGTTGAGGTCACAACAAATGTGATCGCGCCAGCAGCTGAACCCACAGGTGCAGCTAATTTATCTCATGTTAGTCAGTGTACTGATATACCAATGCAGTGTGTTAGTTTGCCTCTCATACCCCTAGTGGCCCTAGATAACCAGGATATATCTGATGGAGACTCTAATGTCATTCTTTCCAGTGTAATATCGGAAGCCAAGGATCGTACACCTGATTCTATTGTGAAGGCTCATAAAAACACTGCTAAACCTAAAAAGAATATATCAATTAAAAAGAAAGTAAATAAAAAACCTTCTAGTTCCAAACCGATTACCAAAAATATTTCAACGGCTTTACCAAACAAAAGTATAATTTCTGAAACTATGCTTAACCCTACTCATCGTAAGGGAGGTCATAAGGACACGTTTCGTTCAAACGTTACACAAGAAGGCCACTACAACCATCATGGAAGCAGGCCTGCTATTAGACAGACGGCAATAAACCAACGTGCCCCATGGTTTCCCCCATATGTAATAAATAATGAACCTGCAAGATGTAACTCTTATCATCACTCTCGCAGTGGAGAAGATGGTATACTAGGTTATGCACCATCAACGCAACCCCAACATGTAGGCACCTGTCTTAATTGTCCACCAAAACAAATACAACAAATTATTCAACCTTACCAAAATAAGGATTTTTTTTCGGCCTCCAGAGATCCCTTGTTCCACTAGCACTACAATTCGCTCATGCTATAGCCCATGCGATCCAGCAAACGCATTGAACCATAGTCCAGGCATAGCTAGAACTCATACCTTCGATAAGGATGCTCTCGGTTTTTTTACACTACACACTCCCTTTTTAAACTTATTACTTATTAACGCACGTTCACTTCTGAACAAAATTTCAGCCTTGAGAACCTTAGCATTTCTAGCCAAGCCTTCTTTTATACTTATCACTGAAACGTGGTGTTATCCAGCAGTGGCCGATTCCGAATTAAATATCCAGAACTATCGACTCTATCGCTGTGACAGAGAAACTAAGCGAGGAGGCGGTTGTCTTATATTTGCTTTGGATACCTTAACAACTAATAAAGTTGAAGATAGTATCTTGAATAGTTTACCAGAATCGATCTGGATATCAATCAATACCCTAAACCATAGTCTACTCCTAGGTTGTATATATAGAGCTCCTGATAGTACTGATAATTTGAATGATTGTATTATCAATGCATTTATACACGCATCTACTCTAAACTTCAGCGCTAAGATTATCACTGGTGATTTCAATTATCCTGGGATTAACTGGAGTACCGGTAGTTGTCAGTCTAGCAATGATGAATTTTTATCAATCCTTAATCTGTACTGCTGGTCACAGTGGGTTCGTACCCCAACAAGGGGTGATAATACACTTGATCTAATATTTAGTAGAGATATCATTCCCCTATCTGTACAAGTATACAACGAGTTTGAAAGCAGTGATCATAGGTTAGTAACTTGTGCTCTCCCCATCTGTCCCTCCTACAACCGACCAATTCAAAGAACCTGCAATTATAGAGACTATAAGCATACAGACTGGGACCTCTTGCGCTCACTGATCAAACTCTCAGACTGGGATGAATTCTTCTCATGTAATAGTCTGACAGATGCCATAAACATATTCTATTTGATTGTTAACTCTTGTCTAGACTCCTGTGCACCAATTAAGACTTACAGGATTAGTAAACATTACGTATTAT